TTACCGCGACGTTCTCAACATATGGACAAAGTCCTCGTTTCGGCGGAACTATGCGCCGTTTACGCGCCGTCATTGAGAAAAAAAAATTAAGTATTAATCGGCTATGTCTTAATCCTTCGAGCGAGATTTATCATCGATCCCCCCGTGATATATCTTTCGCCCGAAGACGTATCCCGTGATTTATCTCTCATTTCAGGCGTGCTGCAAAGGCGCGACTCTCGAGATTTTACGATCAGACGCCAAGCGCGCGCGCGCATAACATGCGCATGCGCGTGCGTTTGAATAAAATTATACGCGACAATAATAGCAGCGGGAAAAGAGGAGGTCGTAAAAAGTCGAGTTCATCGACGACGAAGTGACGATTTTCACTAGGCGATCACTTCCGCGGTTGGTCACTCGGTTGGCCGATCGATTTAACCGCGCGGACAAACGATCGGTACGCGTGCAAAATAATCCGTCTCAGGATGGCACAAGGTTGCCGACGGCGTGTCTATTATCGCTACCTTGTAACATATATCTTTTTACGCTCATTAGCGTTCACGCGCGTGACCGCCGAGGTGACGCGCTCCTTCGCCACTTACGAACGAACGAAATAGACTATCAGGAGGCATCGATAACGAGGTAATATGCCCTTAGGTGCAGCCCGACAAAAAGAGGAAGAGAGAGAGAGAGAGAGACGCACTTTGCGCCTTCCATCTTGAATGTTTCGCGCGTGTGACACGCGTTCCTTTAATCCCGCCGATTAATGAGTCAACCTCGCGCTACCCCTGTGTCGCGGTATTCAATTCCGCTCGTGTTTGTCGCGGCTCCTTCCTACATGGGCCTTCGCATAACACAGAAGGCGGTAAACGACGTTCGAGATACAATCGAGAGAAAAACTCGCAGACTCTTGTCTATGTAAGACCCGACCCGCTTAAATCGGTAATCTTAAATAAGACGAAACCGAATGCACGCGCTTGTCTGCGAAATGTCAATGTATTATTATTCATAAATTCATGGTCAACGAACAGGGAAAAAGCGTGATGAGATGTTCCTTATGGACACCGTTCCGGTTACCGTTCCGCGAGAGCGCAGAACGCGCGACACTGTGAGGACACCTCCGACGGCCGGTGCGCGGTCGTCGTTTAATGAGGACGTTTACATTAGAGGTGGACAATAACGATGATTACGACGGTGCCATATGCGGCATCGACGCGCACTACCACTGTTATTAAGCGTTTAATACCGCGCCAGTGATTTTACGGCATTTGGCATTTATCCTGTAATCACGCGTTCCCGCTTAATGCGGCTTAATGATCCCGATGAGCAATTTTTTCTTCTTCTTTTCCTCGTTCCTCTCTCTCTCTCTCTCTCTCTCTCTCTCTTCCTCTCTCTCTCGCTCCGAATTCCGTAATATTCCGCTCACTCGATTGTCATATTCACTCTTGCCACGTTAATAAGGAGAAAAGATTTTTATTTGGCCGGGGCAGCGAGCTCGCGCACGATGACAGCGTAATTATCCGGCATACGGCGGAAATGAGGAATAGCGTCGCTTTAAAAGATTGGCGACGCGATTAATGAGGATATCGCAAGCTGCGCGTGCATTTTCATAATGTCCGACATATGCACCGATATCAAACTTAATGCCATACCTTAATCATACGGGCACCAAGGACATTCCCGAGCAAAATTTCTCTGCGCGCACGATATATTACTCTTTCCGACGACCACCGATCAAGAGGGACGTTTCTCTCGTCGGTTCGTTCTTTTCGGATACGTTAATAAACAAATCCGCTTAATACGGTTGCGAGGCCCCTATTATTGCGTTTGATTTTTTGCGTACAGTCCCATCGCGAGTGTATCGCGAGGTTGAAATTATTTTTATATCCCGCTTGAAAAGATTTTTCTTGGGTGTGTGTGTGTGTGTGTGTGTGTGTGTGTGTGTGGATACGCACCTCTCCCTCTTACTTCAATTTAGCACGGTAATAAATCTCTGCATGCATCAAGTGTGTATGCGCCACTGGCTGCAATTTTTTGCGTGAAAAAGAAAATGGATTTGACACCTTTTGGAAACAAGTTGCGCGGGTACGAGTTCAAAATCCGTTTCAGAGTATCGCGTTACACACGAGCCCGGCACAGGTGCGGCGCTTCGAGGCTGACCGGTGTATTGAGTTCCACAAAAATTCCTAACGACGCCTCATCTCACTCTCGCGACTCTCGTCCGGCTATTTGCGGCTCTCTCCCACCTTTCGTTCTCGCGCGCGCGCGCTACGGGGGACCTTTTTCTTCAAGATATATCCACTCGCGAAGAAGTATACCTGTCACCTATCGTGATTTCGAGCCCGATGTGATTTCGTCACGAAACTCTTGCCTCGCGATGCCTCGCGACGCCTCGCGAGCATAGCCACAGCTACGCCCAGATACACAAATCTTGTATTTGACATTTTAGTTTGACGCCGTCTCTGCTGTTAATTTTTTATACCGCCTGTTGCCGCGGGAAAGAATATCAGTAATCCCTTAAGTCTCCGAAAAAGTGTCGAGAGAGTGCATCGAGTGCGATTTTGTACGTCAGAACGATACGCATTGTTGCAGACAATTGTTAATTGCGGCTACGAATAAATCAATCGCACGACCGTGCCGTGATTTGTATACGCTCCATGCTATTGTGCGCCTAATTTGGCGTGATCAATTACGTTAGCGAGCAGTGACTTGAGATTAATTGAGATAATTTGTGCACAATTAAAGTCGATGCCGCGCACTCGAAGTCGCACGCGGTAGATCTGACGGGAGAGTAACGGAGAGAAACGCTACAGATCGTTAAGAAGATTTAACATCCCGCGTGAGTACCATTAAGCCGAGTTTGTTTAATGCGCCATTTCTAAAGACAAGGCGAGCATTTTTCACCAAGACCATATAATCGAGCCTGTAAATAAATATATGAGTCGCGCGCGCGTGCGTGAGCACACCGGTTCTCTCGCGTACGCGTATGACTTTAGCATTCAACAGCGGTTCAATTAAATCTTCTTTGTTCGCTCGAGATTGAACGGCGGCGGCGGCAGCGGCAGCGGCGGCGGCGGCGGCGACGGCGGCGGCGGCAGCGGCGGCGGTGGCGGCAGCGGCGGTGGCGGCGGCAGTGGCGGCGCGGCAGCGGCAGCAGCAATACAACGGGCATGAAACACAGTGTTTCATTAGAGTCGCCGTACCAGTCGAGCCCAACGCGAGCAAGCGAGCGAGCGAGCGAGCGAGCGAGCGAGCGCGCGCGGCTGAAAAACCGATACCGGCAACGAAAAAGAACGCGTAAACTCGTCCAGTCTGCGGCGGGCAGTCCTTGGGCGGCGCCCAGCCGCGAAGGTAGGCCACACCGGTGCGAAATGCACTTGATTTACGTGCGAAAATTGCCAATTAACTGGCGTAATCGGCATGCGTGGACGTGAACGCGTACGCGAACGCGAAGAACGTGGTGCGACTCTGCACGAAAAAGTCACGGAAATGCCCGCTACGCGTACGGCCCTGAAGTGCAGCGGATGCATCGCCGCTGCGCTTCGGGTTGGGCCCGTGGCTCCAGGCGTGAACGCGCGGAAAGGAAGCGGGAGAGGAACGACGATTTCTTCTTCTTCTTCTTCTTCTTCTTCTTCTTCTTCTTCTTCTTCGTCGTCGTCGTCTTCGTCGAAGGACGGGAACGATGCAAAAACACCGACGGACTGAATGCACACGCGACGACGACCACGACGACGACGACAACGATGACGACGACGGCAGCGGCGACGGCGACGGCGGCGGCGGCGGCGGCGGCGGCGGCGGCGGCGGCGGCGGCGGCGGCGGCGGCGGCGGCGGCGGCAGCGGCGGCGGCGCGCGGAATTCGAGAGCACAGCGTTGTGCAACGATCAAACCGGAATGTCGAGGTGCTCCACGCCCCCAGGAGACGCCGAAATTCTCGTCAATCTTCCTCTCGGACGAAAGAAGAGTGGGAGCAGAAGATGCTTTCGCGGTACACGCCTGTCTTGACGTTGTGAGTTTTGGCCGCGAGTTCCCTCTAAGAACGCGGAGGCGGGAGGAGAGAAGAAAGGAGGATAATCGATTCTCGGATAACGCAGCGCGACGCGGATCGATCGCGATCCAGATGACGGCGATGTGAGCTTGAGAGAGATTGATCGATCGCTTGATTGATTACTTCATTTCAGTCCGGAGGGGCAAAATCCCTCGGGTTATATGGGAAAGAGAAAGATCGCCAGAAGAGACGAGAGAGATGCGCAAAGGCGCATCGGTTGCGACGCATATGGAAATTGCATCCGAGTGATTTCGCGAGACTGAAACTCTGCGCTAATAAGGTTAAAAAGAGCACGAGGGACCTCTATACATTAACGTTCGAGCGCGAATCTCTCCGTCTGTTCGGTTAGCGTAACAGTGAAAATAATAATACGAATACCCGCGCACGTGTTAAGACATCTATACGCTAGAGTGAAAAGCAATTATGATAATCTCTTAAGAAGGAGATAAAACGTGAGATATCCATGATGAGTCAACAACAAGTGCTGGCCGTACTGTGGTGGTAATGGGAAAAGCAGAGAATTAGCCGTATACAGAAAATGCAGAAATCGGGTCGCTAATATGCTCGTGACGCCAAGTTAATTCCGATCGTCGTTGAAAATTGCAGGGTGCGACCTCGCGTACGATATGCGTTGTGGGTACGCCCTCTTCCCTTTTCTCTTCTGTTCTCTCTCTCCCTCTCCCTCCCTGCCGGATCAGTATGTAGGTTAGGAATTAATCGCCAGACGCGAATAAAACGATCCGCGGCCGATGAATTTCATCGGCGCCTAAAAACCGCCCCATTTGCGAGGTGCGAGTTTAATACGCTTAGCGGCACCGACACGTAGCTGTATGTGGAGGTAATGTTTCGCGACGACAGATAAACGACATGCGGTCGCAGATGGAGGACATGCGGGCCAGAGTAGAAGCGGGCAATCGGCATGGCATTATCGCTTGTGCAATCGAAGCTTCATGTCGATTTACGCTTGTTTCAGATCGAAACGACGGCAGTGGCGACGACGACGACGGCGGCGGCGGCGGTAGCTGCTGCCAGTAGCCCGCTTTCCTGGCATATCCCAAGGCCGTCCTTGGTCGGGCGCAGCGAGAGAGACAGCGAAAATGGAAGCTGGGCTCATCACTTGCATCCGAATTCCCCTTCGAGAGGGTCGACATCATCTCAAGGATCGACCGCCAGTACACACGTAAACTCCTCGTCTCGCTTATACGACCGCACACACGCCTCCCCCTCCTCCATCATTCATAATGCCGAAGTGGGCCGATTCTCAATTAAAATTACAAAACGACTCGCTAAGTCGTGAACGCCGACAATTTTCTTAGTCGACAAAATTACACATATTTTGCGAATAATTTAAGATTTCTAAGCTAAGCCCCTTTAAGACGATTGTTTAAAGCAACCTTTGTTGATCAAGATCAAGACGAAGCCAGCTTTCCCTCGTCGTCGTCGTCGTCGTCGTCGTCGTCGTGTGCTCGCGAGCGCGACTACGAGAGCAGCGACAAACGATCGAATCTCTCGTATTCGATTTACAGAGCGCCGCGTCGGGCACGTTGCTGCTGACAGCCGCGAACTTGGCGAATCTCGCCGCCATACACCCGCCCACGGTGACGGCACCACCAAAGCAGATGGACACCGCGTCGGTGGCTAGCAGCACCCACTTCACGGTCGTGAACGGCCTCGGCAGACCGGCCACTGTCTACAGGAAGTCCTGGTGCGCGCGAAATCAGCTCACCGTGCTCGTATGCACCATGAGCTTTCTGTTCATGGTCGGTCTGCTGGCCGGGATCCTTTACATGGAAAGTGAGTATCTGCGGCAACAGTTGCCGCGAACGCGCGCCGCGAATTGCCATCCTATTGCCACATCTATCTATATGCTGCTGCTGCTGCTGCTGCTGCTGCTCGCCGCGGCGGTAGCGGTTTCGACACCGTAAGCGCGCGCGCGATCTCCGCGGATTCCTCTGTCCACAAGCCTCTCCGGTGTTTACCTCTGATTGCAGTGAGGGCTCGTGACAAGTACAACTAGGCCGAGGGTGACGGGAGGAAGCGACGACACGTGACCGTGAATGATGATCAACGTGATAGAGACGAAAGTGGCGGCGGCGATCGTTTTTTCATGGAGCGAGGAGAGGACGCGCACGACCCAGTCACGGATATATCAATTCGAATTACTTCGTATTTATATGTATTGTACATTATTCGCCTTTCGCGGATCGTCGACGTTCTCGCGCGCCGGCGGTTAGAGCTCTAAGTATCGATGTATTGCACCGCGACGAAAGTGTGGTACGTGAAAACCCAGTAATTACATTTGTGTAATGCGCGACGTACTATTAAGCGTCGTTTAAAAAGGATTAACGACATCCTCGTGAACAGGAGGGAGCCTTGTATATTTATGCTGAAACTAACGAATTCCTCGGATCCTCCTGCAAGATACGATCCGACGGATATTGTAACGTTCTTCTTTCTCTTTTCTCTCTTTTCTTTTTTTACGTTCATCAACCAACCCCTTTTGCCGTGTGTCACACGTGTCGCGGAGAACAAACCGGTTTTTCTCGGATTTTGCTTACCGTTCTCTTTATAATTATAACACCTTTCTGAACACGGCGATATGTTATCTCGCATTAGAGAAGCAATATATATATATATATATATATATGTATGTATATATATATATCATATATATATATGTATGTGTACATGCGGGGTACGGGGTTACGCGCGCGGCGGACGCCAGTGATGCACGGTGTGGTTCGTGATCGCTTCGAATGAAATGAATATTCTCAGTGTATACGACGCTTCTGCTGTTTAGCTCTCGACCGATTTATTGTTCGCTGTAAATTGCGTCGACACTACCCGTGAGTTAACGAAGAGAAGTGCGGAGAAGACGAATATATCGGAGAATATCGTTGAAGTGATATCAATCACTGGCGGCCGTTCGGCGAAAATTCCAATCTGTTTGTATTTTGATGAGCAACGAATATACCGACGGACAGTTCGAAGCAATCGACGAAATGAGACCGAGATAGCGAGTAACTATTTAGGGCTCATAAATTAATTCTTATTAACAAATCGCCTTAATCGAATGTGGATTTCCGTCGGAATATCATTCCAGGGATAAATAGAAAGTGTGTATGAAAAAGCAATGAGGGGCGGTCGCGTCGATCGCTTTTCGCGTCTGTGATATTACTTGCGTATTAATTAATTGTCGATTCAACAAGAAACTGTCAAATGCACTAAATTGTTGTTTCATTTTAACCTTTCCGCAGCATATCGATACGATACACTCATATAACCGAGCGAAACATTATCATATCAATGAGTAATATTGCGGTAAGTATTTAAATCTACCAGCTTTGTCACTTGTTGACGCATATTCTCATATCATAACATAATTATTGTGACATTTGTTATTTGAATAAATTCAAGTACCATTAAATTACTCTATATTCGTGTATAGAACAGTAGCGACAAATTTGTATCTAAACATATTTATATCTGTTTGTCCTTCGAAAGTATTTCTCAGAACCATGATTTGTCTTGTCTTAATCAATAGACCATTCATTCGCATTGTCAAAATGTACAAAACACTCACCTCTACTTCCCCAAGAGTCTGTGTCCATCTGTAATTTGGCATGTCCGCACCATTACCACTGTTAGGCTTCAGCTTGTTCTTCTCTTTCTCATCTTCCTCTTCCTCGACGTCTGAGCCATCTGCCTTCTTATCATCATCATCATCATCCATATCTTGATCATTATGTTTACTTGTATCGTTACTAGGCCCAGCAACAGCAGCTTCTCTTGCTAATTTCTGTAAAAAACAACAGAATTTAATTTACACATTATCGAAACATTATAACGGACAGCTAATCAATTCTATATCCATCTTCTGTGATGTACAAACCTTACTGTCTATTTCCTCTTGCAGCTTAACAGCTTGTTCATCCGTTAACTCCACTATTTTGGAATCATTATCTAGTTTTTCTTCCTCAACTTTATCCTCTTTTTTTTTCTTCTCAAGCCTTTCCTTACGTCGTCTTTCTTGTTCAGCTCTCTCAGCTTTATCGGAGGCTGCTTTCGTTACTGCTACGGCTTCGTATTTCTTGAATATGCCGATAAGAAGCTGCACATACGACGACAATTCGACTTGTTAGTTGTTAAACTTTTCCAGAACAATAACCTCACAAAATATTCTTTGCGCAGTTTTCCGTGTTACCTTTTCAGCTGCTCCCTCACCACCTCCAGTGTAAAAGTCAGTTTTTCTCGCCAAGAAGTTGAAGATGGTATCTAATAACTGAAAAGAAATGAGATTAATGAAAAAACTACATTTGTTTCATCACATGAATTAACCTCAATCGGCAAAAGAAGGCAACTTACGTCTTGCACACCACCTTCGTGTTGCTGAGCCATCGCCAGCAACATTCCATCAAATTGATCTTCCTTCTTGGTCATCGTTTCACAATAGTTACGCTCGATATCACGCTGTATTTTGCGACAAAGTCACCGTTACTACTAACAAAACGCTCGTTAATGTTAATAAAGACCGCGAGTCTTGTGTGGGATTAGCGCAGCTTGAAATTTTTACAGTACACTTGCGCCCTCTCGACGATATTACCGACATAATACTCGATCGATAACTGTCGGTAAAATTATGTGACTTATGCCCGTTGTTGCCAACCATGATCAACTTAACCGACTGATTATTCCAATGGAATTGACTAATATAGTATTTGTCGTCAACTATAGAACTATATAGAATTAACAAAACGCAATTCCGTCAATTCCGATGGAATAATCAGTCAGTTAAATTACCAAAAACCACCAGTTGATAGAAATGGATATTAATGGAGAATTGCTTCTCCTTATTGCAAGCCCAAGTGAATTCGCCGCTGTCGAGATGAATAATCCAAAATTCCAATGATTTCCAATGCGTTCTCCTCCTTCTCTCGATGAGTCTGCGCTTTTTGTGTGCGATATTCGAAATATCGGGGACATTAAAAACCTCGTTGGGCCTCGTTAATCTGTTTCGTTGATAAAGTATTTCGATAACAGAGGGTGATTTACTGGAGTAATTGTAGAGTGCTGACATTACTGGCTGTATATCGATTATCATACAATTTAAGTAGCCGAAGGACGATATTTTTAATTTATAAGCTGGCATAACGTGTACTAATCTCGTGATTCTTTGACGATATCTCGTCGCTGTTGAATCTAAATTAAAAGATAATGCATACAAGAGCAGAAAAGTATGTACAAACGTGATGAGCCTTTATATCCCCAGTATTAAATACAGTATTTATCAATTCTTGAGAAAAATCACAAAGTGAGATTCGGAGTTATAGAGCTCAAGTATTTGTTAAAAGCCGCATAGAGTTGTTTGACCCTTTGAACCTCTTCAGCGCTGAAAATGACGATAAATATCTGATAAAATATATTTCAAGAACAGTTTCTTGTTTTCTCGCAGTTGAAATGATTATGTAGAAGCAGAGCCAATTAGCAAACTCACCGTAATTCCGAGAGATTACGTTCTTTGCTGGAAATAATATCTTGAAATTGCTTCCTCTCCCTTTCTCTCTCGTGTAATATTTCGGTGTGAGTGGCTTGAATCTTGTTCAATTGCGCGTTCAATATAGCGATCTGTTGATTCATCTTTTCCATTTGGAGATTTTGGTTCGTTAGTTTGGTATTCTCCTCGTGAAGTTCTTGCCTCAATCTCTCATTCGTTTGCCTTTCTAACTCGAGTTCCTCTTTGAGCAGATCTTGACGTCTCTGTGGCTCGATTAGCTCGCTCTGAAGTTTTGCGACTTGACGCTGCAAAGAGGACGCGGTTTTGCACGTTTCGGCTAATTTCTCCTCCAACGCATCCTTCTCCTCTTCTAATTTCCGGCATTTCCCTTCCAAATTCGCGTACCTTTACACAAAATAACATATTTAAAGTAAAGCAAGATCTATTTTCTCTCCTGTTGAGAGAATTTCGCTGTTTCTCTCGGCTCGTAAACGAATGTCAGTCGCGATATTTTTATACGAAATATTTCTATGAAAAGCAAACACTTTTCATATCAAAGAAACATAAAGTACAGGAGGAAAGTTATTTAATTATTAGCAACCTGAGAATTCTGCATTCCGCGTCGTCCAACTTTATCTTTAAAAGTGCCTGACTCTTGGACAAATCACGTGATTCTCTCCTGCTCCTTCGCAGCTCGGTCTGACAATCCTCTAGAGCCTGCGTAGTCTCCTTGAGCGTGCTTCTCAATACATTCTGCTCGATTTTATGCTTGTTATCGCGCTCTCTCGACTCTCTTCTCAGACGGTGCATCTCGGTTTTGGTCTGCGACAGCAAATCATCGTACGCCCGTGTAGCAGAGATGAGCTTTTCTCTAAGCAATTCAATCCTCAACGAGCCCCTGTGAATCTCCGTTTCATATCGTCGAACCTGTTCCGAGCGGAGTTGTAAAAGAATAACATTAAATTTTATTCGGGAAACTCTTCTCTGAAAATCAAAACCGACGTGTACGCTTCTCTATCTCAGGAAAACGAAATTAATTTGGGACAAGCGATTTTACTTTGGACTCCGCATCCTTTTTGCTTCGCGAGCACTCGTTAAAGTTGTTCTTCAGGTCCTTGTAACTTTTCCGCCAATTTTCTTCCGCCTGGTCGTAATTTCTTCGCAAATCCGCAATTTCTCTCGCTTTATCCGAATCAAACTTTTGCTTATCCTCCTGCAACTGATTAACCTGAGTCTGTAGCACGTTCAGTTGTGCCCGCGTGTCATTCACCTCCGTGACTTTCGTCGCAATCTCACCGGTCAGCTGATCGATCGCCGCGGTACGTTCCTGCAGCATCTTGCCGAGATCGGCAATCTTCATGTCCGTCTCATTCGCTCTGTCATGACGATCTTTCGACGAGATATTTACACGCGCGTCAGAGTCAATTTTGCTATTGTCCTCAAATTCCACGTTCATTTCCGAGTCCACTTCCGGGTTGCCTTTTGAATTTATGTCCTCAGGTACTTGTTGTGCTCGCGTCTTAAACTTCTCCCTCTGTTGCACCAGCAGTCTTTGCTTCCGCATACGAGCAGCTTGGACAAACACGTCGTCGTCGCTCGTTATGGACTCTACGAGATCTTCTTTCTCTGTTGTTCTCGGAGACTTGACGATCATCTCCACGTTGGCGGGTAAAACGAATTCGCTCGTCGCGCGACGGTTCTTTCGACGGTTCTTTCGCAGCCGTTCCTCGATCGCGAACGCGATGTCCTCGGGTATACAGTTCCCGCGCAGCACGAGCTCGGTGATGGTCTTGTTCTCGCTCATAGCGTCCAGCAGCAGCCGGCCGCCTTGCAGACCCAAGGTGTTCCAAGATAAGTCGATGCTCTTGAGGGACTTGTTCGCGCGTATTATATTGCAAAGGTGTTCGGCGCAATGCGACGATATCTGATTGTACCTGTGCATACGAAATTATTAGCGTTCTCGCGCGAACGTGCGCCCAAACCGTATGCGGAAACACACCTGAGGTGTTACCTAAGATCGAGCTGCTCGATATTGTGATTCTTTGCCAGGCCGTTGCAGAAAGCGGTAAACGAGTCTGCGTCCGAGCCAACGCTATTCCACTCGATGTGCAGCCGTTTCAGCGTATTGTTACACGCAAAGACCCTGCCCAGCTGGGCCACAGCAGGCCCGTTCACGTTGTTGCCCTTTAGATGCAGAGTCGTCACGGTGGTGCCTTCGCAAAGCGCGTCGAGGATACTGGCGAGACCCTTCGACAGTAACATGCAGTCGCTCAAGTCGATAGTTTTGATCGTGTGACTGGATACCAATGTCCGCGCTATGATCTTGCAGACCGGTATCATTATCGACAGGCAAGACAATCGTAGCTCCCCGGTGATACTGCGAAATATCACGACTCTTATGAATCTCTAATGCAAATTCCTAGTCACGGTATAATGCAACGATCGTAGATCGTTGGGCTATCTCTTTTTCGTCTTTTCGAAAAATTAAAGTTTAGCGATACATTGTTGTCGTAATGAAGAATTTCGTAATTTGGATTTTCAATGCATCTAAAATTCGTAGAATAGGAGAGACGAAGACGAAATTGACTTGTGAAATTTTTTTCCATATATTTATGAACATTGAGAGATTTAATTTTGCATCCCGCATAATTAAACAGTAGACAGTAGTTGCGCGCACCTGCCTATTATTAATAATACTCGAGGTAACAAAGTGAGAGGGGAATGTCATCACCAAATCATGCTCATCATCACAAATATATAATTTTGCTAAACATTTATGCTGTCAATTACGTAATTGTTTCATTAGACTTTGTACTTTTGATACATCAAAAGCAAAGGATACATCAAATTATATATGCTACCTGCTCTACTAACCACCGATTAGTAAACAATATCATCAGCACAAGCATGCTATCGCGAGAATGTAATAACAATATGGCATGAATACCTGCTAATTTTAATCGCGTCTATGATCTCGGGAATCAGGGAAATCCCGTGCTTCTGACACAAACGAGAGAAGAGCTCGTGATCCTGGAGCATTCTCCTGTTACTCGCAATTTTCCCAGTAATCGTCCCAACACACAGAAGCGTCCGCGTCGACGGTTCAATTCAATTTCGGTCGGCCGGCCGACTTTGACGTGACTCACGCGTATCGATCGCGAGTGTGCTCCTTCATGGTTCGCTACACGTTGCTGCCAACATAAGTTCGTACATACTCGTGGGCAAACAGTTGTTCCATCCCAAACGAATGAAAGCTGAATGTTGCCTGAATTGTTTCGCCTGGAAAACTTAAGCTTTGCGATGCACGCTTATGGGTCTACAGGAAGGTTTACAAGAACCTCTCGCGTGGAGACCCGCGAAATAAGCAGACTTTTTTCATTTTCGAGCATTTTTTTCTAAAAAAATGGCTCTCTCTCCCTCTCTCTCTCTCTCTCTCTCTCTCTCTCTCGCGTTAAACAAATAAAAAAGGATAATTTTATAAAAAATATATATATTTTTAATCATTAAACACTTGCTTCTCTATAAGCAATTTTAGCAATTATAGCAATTACAGCAGCGCACAAACTCTACAGGTTTAATAATAACATCAGTTTACAATGCAATGTCATACATTTCTTTCTTATCGTTTGGGAAGATGAAAATACTTATGACCTCTTTACGCTTTCTTTTTATACGTAGGTAGAAATGGTACGTGAGATATCCACTTCCATCTGAAAAATATTCACCATTATCATCGCGAACCTTTCAGACTAAACTAAACTAAAGATATATGCGTCAATAATACCTTCTCAGCAAATTCATCCCGCACGGGAAATCAAAAGTATTCCAAACGTAATCCGTACCACTGTCGATTTTCTCGTCGCTCGTGCGATCGATCAGTTCCATTTCTTTGGACCAAGCCACCAACCCACGTTCTTCCGCAGTACCTTGATTGACAAAATTAAGAATCCGACTAACATCGCTGCTCTGTGATTCGCGTTTAACAGTACCTGTACGCGTTTAACGATACCTGGCACGATATTATCCAAGAAACAACCTAATACACCGCCAACCAAAATGGTGGTGCTGAGTAACACGGTGATAACACTGTCCGCCACTTCGTTTCCCGTTTGAATTACGTCCGGATGCTTGATCATCCACTTGGACAGCACCTATACCAGAAAACGAACGATGAATTATGATCGCGCGCACCTAATCTAGTGCCTATATAATTCCCTCAAAAATATAATCACCATGGGGAAGAACATTGAGAAGCCCAGAATATACAAGTTTCTTGCCGAATTAAGATCTATATATTGTAACGCTGACAATCCTAAAAGTAAAAGTATAAAATAAAAATATGCATATATAATAACGATATAAAGTGGGATAAGAATCTTTTTATCCATTTCTCCATTATTTTCCCATTCTCCTCGCTTTTATAAATAAAAATTCGTTACTCTCTCTCGCTAATCAACAACTAATCCAAACGAGAACTCACCGAAGGCGCAAATCATTCCAAACATTACGCAAAATATGCCGCCAATTATCGGCTCAGGGATTATGATAAACACTGCTCCAAACTTGCTAATTACTCCTTGCAGAATCATCAAGAAGCAGGCCCACTGTATGACCCTGCGGCTACCGACTTTCGTGACCCCTGATCGTTTCATGTAAGTACAACGTTACAATCTATCAGATAAAGCGTTGATACATCGAATTCGCAAGTCTAAATTAAATCAACGCTCTTTACCTATCGTACCGACGTTCTCCCCGAATGTGTTTGTGCCGTTACCGCTGCCCCAAAGACCGGCCAACATCGTGCCGAGGCCTTCTATGCCGATACCTCGATTGATCGCGTGAACCGGCGGCGGCGGTGCTCCTAAAATTCGCTCAATCTATTTCACAAGCAATACCCAATCTACCGTTCTCTCGTACACGCGTTGATAGTTTACGTAACCCTCTGAACGATTGTACACACGCAATTATGAAAACGCATATGCAGGAAATCATGTGGAATGACCTAATTTATTATTGAATCAGTTGCCAGTACACGAATAAGAGAGCACGCTCTTTTGTAAAACATCTCGAGAAATAATTTCACTTAAATATACATGTAAACGAGTTCGAGTTAGTCGAATTTATGCACGAGATGAAGAAGCTACAACTATTTATTCCTACATGGATAACTCGCGATATTAAAAAAGGAAAAGGAAAAAAATAAATTTCTCGATGTTTAAACAAAATCGCTCTTCAAAAATTTGTATACCTACCGCACATCCTCGCGGTGGTGGGATAATAACTGATAGATTCGACCGTGCACGCTAATACACCCGCCAACATACCGAGTACTCCCGATAACGTAACAGTGGGTAAACCCCATTGTCCAGGGTACGGTATGCGAAACCAAGGCGAATCGCTAATAATTTTCAATTTGCTGTCGGATCTGGCGGGATGACCGACCGGAAGTGCGTCTGTTATCGTTAATATAGTACAGATTATCCACATAACGATAATTGTCAGCAAAACCTGCAAGTGAAGAGAATTTAGTAATTTACACGTGTGTGTGTGTGTGTGTGTGTGTACATATATTCACACATTGAAAAGATCTTTCAACTCCGCAACACTCCGTTCTCTCTCTCTCTCTCTCTCTCTCTCTCTCTCTGCCTCTCGCTCGCTACCTCTTTAACTTATATTACTTGCCGGGAACAGTTTGAATAATTCAAACCAAACGACTTGGAAACCGTGACTCTTGCGATATGTCACGAATGGGACTAACACGTTGACCATTATTTGTGAATACATCGTCAGCATTATTATTGTTCTACAAACGAAAAGAATGTAAGCGAACGTGATGTGCAATATTGCATGACGCTTTTATCGTCAATATTTTCACACAGAATTGCGTACCCGGCTGCGATACCCCAGTGCTGTGACGCTGCATCCGCCGCGTTCTCGAATAAGGACAATCCGACCAACGAGACTGTCGGCACGATCGTTAACGGAGTAATAAACTTCAGCAAATACCCAATGATACCTGCATACGCAGAGACAAATATACAACACTTTGATATTTGAGAGGATCGGCACGATTCCGATAACAAAGAGAAGGAACATCAAACTCACCTCCGAAGCCAAGAACTATTTGGAATACGGCGGAGACTGCAATTGCACCGGACAGCTCTCTCATTCGCACCTGCCAAAGCTCCGTACGGTTTTCATGGGACATTTGACTCAGGATTTCTGGCGCGGGACATTGCCATTGCGGCAGGTTCAATATCGCTAAAGTCGGCACCAAGAACGATATGGTGCCTCCCTGTACCAACGGCAACCTGGTACAAGGGAACTTTTTACTCTTCGCAATTATTTTTCATGCTCTTGATAAATGATAAATTCCGCTGAGCAAGTTAAACGCGCCTTTGTTATACTTTCTGGCAATTTCTCTTTGACGCATTTAAGTATCCGTCAACATGTCTAATTATAGCGGTTGACACCGCGTTATTTCTACTAATTGCTACTGAAGCAAAACTTGATTGACAATCGAGCTGCTAAGGACATGGTAAAGAAAGGTTACTCGAAATTCGTATACCTTTTGTTTCGTTTTACCAGCTCTGTTGGCCGTACAATATTTTTCTTTTTCACTGTAATCAATCCTGCGCCAATACTTCACTACCGATTCTCCATTTTTTGAGCATCATTTACATACCTACATCCTACGGTGGATTGGATGAGCGTCACCAGGCCGGTGACGAAAATCATTGTGGAAATGATGTAACTCCTTGAGGGATCGTCCTCAGCCATGCAAAGGGCTGGCGTTAATATAAAAGGGATCGAAACGATAGCGCCGATCATGGTCAAGTAATGCTGCAAACGCGACTCGTTTCATTCTCACGTCAATTAATAAGAATATATGAGGACGTATGGAAAGCAGCGAACGACTGTAACTACGAAACCTGCAATGCCATGAAGAGACACAAATACCACGGCGGGATGTCATCGATGCCATAAGTGAGGCCAGAAGTTTTATTGACCTTGTCCATTGTTTCCTGTGGCGTCGAAATGAACTCCGGGTTGTCGATATTCTGAAAAGACTGGAGAAACCGTTCGTGAGAGACGAACATTCTTGAATTATGTCAACGAGACGAGTGTTCAGCGAGATGGCATAAAAATATTAATTGTGATAATACACATAAATCCGAGTGCATTATTACGCACGGTGAATCCTGATAATTTGATGCATACGTTATCGTAATTCTAATTTGATCCATCGAAGATAAGAATATCGTGATTCGTACGCTTTCTTAATATCTGTCCAACCTGCTGATACAATAATCTCACCTTAATCTCAGTTCAAAAATAAGCTTGTATATTCTGACGAAAGTTACAATCTTTCGACGGTAAAATTAAAACGGCTATCTCAGTTGATAGTATTGCAATGTAAAAATATATGTATGCAAAAAATATAAACAACGGCAGTGACAGTTGAGACTTTAGAGGAAAGTTAGAAAATAGATTTTACTCAGATATGGAAGAGAGCGATGTACCAAGTTTAGCTATTTGCTGTTTTTAATATTCTATGTTGTAATACATTATTCATCCAGTAATCAATATTTAAAACGTTTCCGACCACTCATACTCTATGAATAATAAAACGCATGGAAACGCATCGTAAATCAATCCAAGATAATTTATAGATCACATATTTGAACTCGAGCCGCTATAAATGATAATTCTTGCGGTAAGAAAAAATTGATTTCCATTTCCATAAAACTTTTAAAGTTTTCACAGGCATAATTAAAAAAAAGAAGAAAATATATTACTGAGAGACGAATAAAATATATAAAGTAAAGATCCAATCGAAATTCACCAAAGGAGGAGGATCCCTAAGGCCTGTTTTCGGCACCCTTCAAAATTGGACCAAAATGGCTGGAATCACTTCCTTATACCCTTGGAAGTAACATTCAGTCAATTCCAGCCTAAACGGAAGTATTTAGAGTGTATACTTCAAGTATACATGGTGCATCAGCGCGCCCGTATCAAGCATTTCTTTGGAAAACTAAGCGTTTCTGAGAAAAATGTTTCAGATCAAAGTTGTATGGTTTCAAGGGGGACATAAGATGGTGTCATTGGTTTGATAGCCTTGGATAGTCATTTGAAGGTCACGTGAATGTCGATTTCAATATTTTATATAGAACCCCCTATTTTTACATATCTTGTAGCTTATCTCGAGAGCTTTCCAAAACACTTATAACTAAGTCATTTTTCATTAAGTACTTTGCGAGTTATGAGACTTCTTACAGATAGATTTGTAGAAACGTTAGCTTAAGGAGATCCAAGATTGAAATCATATTATTTATTCTTGTTGATTCTCCACACGTGAACAGTAAAATCGTAAACGTAATCTTCCTTTAAGAAGCCACGTAGAGTGGGGTGTTGGATTTACGTGAATCCCCTTGCCTTGCCTGTCACTTTTTATCAATTATCAATCTACGCTTAACAAAAACCCGAAGTTTAGCCAGGGAAGGTACAACAACAAGAGGCGACTTAGCTTTGCAGATAATGCATTTATGTGTCATAGATGGTCTACTAAGAGGAATAGATATTGTTTCGTTTGCAGGAACATTAATATTTTCTGCCATATTGGAAACTATATCTAATTATAAATTGCAATTCACTGTAGAACATATCTGAATAATTATGCAAGATTAAAAACTGAAGAAGGAGAGAGAATAAAGAAGAAAAACTCAAGAATAACAAGATATCTTTTTGCGTAATAAGAAAATCTCGAAAAGCAGCTCTGACAAGAACTAGTTGTATTTTTATCGTAACCAAGTCCCTGGATACGCGCATACATGCATTTTGTATATCTCTGACATTAAGATGTGAGTTCGGGTCCGATATAAAGCCATGTACATAAGCAGAACTTGGTCTATTTAATTAAAAGCTTAAGGGGCTTACCTAGTGTGACCACATGAAAATGAGGGCGATTTTCGAGGATTTAGAAAAGAAAACTATTCAACCATATATTTTAAAAGTTTGAGGCTATATTAAGTAACATTTGAAGAAGTTATAAAAATTTTATTACGAAAAAATATTGACATGTATTGGAAATATTAGTAATTTCTCGGAGGTAAAAAAAGAAAAGTAGCCCAACTGCTGCAGCGACAAGTGACGTCAGAGTGCCTGAAATAAAAAAAGGCAAAAAAGGCGTTAAACTAGATAAGTTTTCCTATACAGTGAACTAGGATTATGAAAAAATATTGAAAATTAAAAAAATTACGGTGTTGTAAAAGAAAAAGTTCGAATTTAGCAAAAAAAGTGCCCGTTTTTTGCGTGGCAAATTGACATTTGTTGACGGATTGAAAAAATCCTAGTTTACTGTATGACAAAACATGTACCGAGTATGCCTATCAAATTCGGAGTTGATTCATTAATTTGTTCGCGAGTTATGACTGCAGCAAATTTCGAAAACGTTGTTTCGAGAAAAACGCGTTTCAAGTTTTAACTATTGATTTTTTTATTATAAAAGAAAATTTGTTATAAAAGAAAATTTATCATACTTACAGCTATTCAGCTATTCCAGGCCCATATAATTCACCTTCCTCTTGTTCGAAAAATTGTTGCTGGGCCGCTGCAGCTGTCCTGCGAGCTGTCCTAACCTCCTTTGAAGCCTCGCGGTGCCGTTTTTCTGCATAATCTTTGGCAGAGGGCCCAATAATCACTCCCATTGTTTCAAATGCTTTCAAAATAGCTTGGAAACCTTCATTAAAAATTGCAACAGCAAAGAAATTGGCCAGTTCTATTGTTTTTAAACCTCTGTGAAGATGTTTAGGAGCAAAGTGCCACAACAAACCATTATAACTTTCGTTATTATTTTGTGTATTACTATCCTTGCACCTATTTAATAATTCAGGCCTACTTAAATCACTATAAATTGGCTCTAGAACTTCTTGAATCTGTAGGTCCAGAGGGAGATAGTCATGTTTAAATGTCGTCATGTCGTACTGGTGTACTCGGTCGACTGCTCCAGCGTATGTCGATTTCCCTGGAACTTTCTTTTCTTATTGGTACTTCCCTGCGCTGGAGTATCGTGTGTGCCTTTTTGAACACTAGATTGACTTTTCCCACTCATTTTGAATGAAATTCGCGCTGAGATGTGCTCTGCACAGTGGCTAAAAATGAACTAAACGGGCCGCTTACGTATACCTGCGTCGAGAGGCTTCGAAACTTTTTGAGCTGGCAACAACGCTCTCGTACAAACATAAAGGGATTATTGTGAGTCCTTGGAACTACCAGGCTCTCTTTTCTATCTTTGAAGTATAAACGATTACGTCAGAGCCTAAGAACTACCGCAATTGCCCGGCGTTCTGCCTCGCCGGCGAGAATCGAGTTTATGGCTCTCGACCAGCTGCGCTGTCGTTCCATACCTGCCGTTTCTAAAATATTTCAGATACGGCCATAACACTTCAGAATATTATTCTACAGATGTTAAACTGTCAAAAAATGCAAAAAAAAAGAAAATTCGATTTTTTCAAACTGTCACACTAGGTAAGCTCCTTAAGGTATCGTAGTTGCTCAAAAAGGTGCATACAGTTCTTAAAACAGTTCTTTTCAAAACTCCGTATTTAACCTTGCGGCAGAAAATACGTCAGCCATTTCTTTCAGAAGTATTTGTAATAAGTGTTTCTACGTGATCTACGATAGTGTTTTGGAAGGCTCTCGAGATAAGCTACAAGATATGTAGAAATAGGGGGTTCTATATAAAATATTGAAATCGACATTCACGTGACCTTCAAATGACTATCCAAGGTCAAACCAATGACACCATCTTATGTCCTCCTTGAAATCATACAACTTTTATCTGAAACATTTTTCTCAGAAACGCTTAGTTTTCCAAAGTAATGCTTGATACGGGCGCGCTGATGCACCATGCATACTTGAAGTATACACTCTAAATACTTCCGTTTAGGCTGGAATTGACTGAATATTACTTCCAAGGGTATAAGGAAGTAATTCCAGCCATTTTGATCCAATTTTGAAGGGTGCAACCCTCAAAACAGGCTTTAGGGATCCTCCTCCTTTGTACCGTAGTTTCGATTCAAATAAAATATCGTCCCACGAAAACATCTAAAGTACACATCTCCATTTACGAGATATTTCTCACAGGTATTTTGAAGATTTTTCCATGTATTTCTATCGTTTGCACAATTTACGCTTATCTAGAATATACAGATAATTTTTGCACTTATATCAACAGCTATTATTGCAGTTGATTTGTAGCGCCCATTAGCATTAAATGAATAAGATTATGGCATTAGCATTAAATGAATAAGATTATGGCAAAAATGCGCAAGAGCTACAACATTACGCAACGCAGCTCGTTTAATTTTTTCTAACGAGCAATTATTCCAATCGTCTATTTTCGATCACGAGTTAGTTTTCCAAGAACAAAGATGTTATCGGTTGTTATCAATTTTATGATCACCCGAGCAAAATGACGCATTTACCCAGATAGCACACGGATGTCCATTGGACGTCCGTTATATGTCCATTTTTTTTACAAAAGACGTCCATAGGACGTACGTTTGTCACAGCTTCGGACATAGGACGTCCGATGGACGTACATCGGACGTGCTACAGGTCCGATGTCCAATAAGGACATCCTTGTTACATCCAATTTATGTCCGTGGACATAAATTGGACGTGAAACATACATCCATTGGATGTCCGGTGCTGTCTGGGTAATCATCAAAATAAGATCAAGAGGAAGATGCGGAGAGAAGATAATCATTGAAAGATTCCGTTTGCCATCTTGTCGCTGCGACAAGTAAGTCTGTATAATTCTCATTTTGTATACTTGACACTAGAGATGCGCGAACTATTCGAATTCGAATCGAATCGAATCTAATGTAATTCGATTCGATTCGAATCCAAATCCTTATGATTCGAATCCGAATAATTCGAAAATTCCGAATCGCGAAGATTCGAGTACGAATCAAATACATTAGCGTTTGCGCGCATCAACTGTAAAACGAGCCATCCCGGCCTGTATGCCATGTTTGAACCCTCAACTTGTAATTAACTTAACTTATAATTAATAACTTAATTATAAGTTACTTTAAATATTTAAATTCGAATCGAATCTAATGTACCATGCGGATGTATGTTTTAACTATTCGATGTATTAACTATATCGATATCAATAATTTTAATGAAAAAAGCCAACAAAGAGGTATCTACTGTTGTACAGTAGTACGATAAAGCCATTGGAATGTGTGACACGTGCAATTTTTTGTCGCGTGTTACTCACCATTTCGGACATTTGCATTCTGTTTTCCGGCATTTCGATGTTCCGTCTCTGTGAGAAAAATTCCTTCGGGAAGCAACGTATGATCGAATTAAATATAATGAAATGAACGTACAAAACTATTTTATTTTTTTCTAATTTCAAACACTCCCCAAAAGTTTGTTGTGCAATAATGCTAATGCTACACTAATGTCGTTCACAGAGCTACTGCGCTCTGTGAAACCGCGATTTCGGTAGTGTTTGCACTGGTAGCGTTAATAGCGTTTTCCTGACCGCACCCGATATTTCATTAAATTATTTTCCTGCTGCGGTACGGACGCGCCAAGAGTCGTCTGTGCGTTTACCGTTTCTATTAAAAAATTATTCAGATGTAACACATTTCACATATATTTTCCTCGAAGATACACCCGACTGTGATGAACCATAATGCTCGTGCACGGCCGTACTCCCACTGACGATTGACATCGGTTTTATAAATGAAAGAGAGGCATGAAGGTGAGAAGATTGCATAAGAAATAAGAAGAAAAGTGGGGCGAAGAGAATTATATTGGTCGTTTCGGTTAATTTGGAGAGTTGCCGATTAGTAGATTGCTCCTATAAAGATAAGTCTTTCTTCTACCGTAGAATCCACTTATTGTTAGATGGAAATTTTGGGAAAAATTGTAGGGAAAAGAGTAGACGAAGAATAATATTCTAATAGAGTCTCCCTGAACGCACCCGATATTTCATTAAATTATATTCCTGCTGCGGTACGGACGCGCCAAGAGTCGTCTGTGCGTTTACCATTTCTATTAAAAAATTATTTAGATGTAACACATTTCACATATATTTTCACCTTACAAAACCTCGAAGATACACCAGACTGTGATGAACCATAATGTTCGTGCAAATCTAGTTGAAATAATTTAAATAATAAATAATAAACTATTTATCGTTTAACCCTCAAAATTAATCGAAACATTTAATATTTAAAACTGCTGGATCCATAATCACACAAGCGAGTCACGAAATTTCCGTTGTTAATAACTTGAAGCGAGCGAGCTATGCAATAGTTTAAATGTAAAGTATTTATAACTATATGTAAAATGTCAAAATATTGAGACAATTTTTGAAGTCTCCTGTAAGGTATGCAAAAGGAAAAATAATGCAGTATCGTACTTGTTAAATGGAAAAATTGTCGTTTCTTGGAAAAATCTATAATTATCCTACATAATATAACAGATTAAGACAATATTGTGATGACGTCTGATTAAATCATCTCATCGCCGTCGTACTTATACAATTGACAAGAGCATAGCTGTTTTAATGAATAATCGTTATTTATCATCAGCAAAACGATGTATTAGGTGTGTGAATTAATTCGGTCCATCTGGCAGTCAATTGCTGTACTATGTAATGTTCTAACCTCTAATGTCTGCAAAAGGCTTTATTTTTTAGTTTTGATATCTGGCAATCATATTCAGTTGATAAATGTTTGGGTTTGTAACAATAACATCGTGTTTATCTGATTCGAAAATGTCGAAATTCGAGCCAAAAAAGCATCGTTTCCGGGAAGTTCTCGTTTTCTGTTTTCATTTGAAGAAAACAGCCGCTGAAGCTCATCGAATGCTCGTAGAAGCTCATGGTGAAAGTACTCCCACCGATAAATCATGCAGAGAATGGTTTCGACGTTTCAAAAGTGATGATTTCAGTCAGTCGATGACAAACCTCGTCCAGGTCAGCCGAAGAAGCTCGAGGACGAGGAATTGCAGGCGCTAATCGATGAAGATCCGTGTCAATCGCAACATGAGCTCGCGCAATTGTTGAATGTTGATCGGTCAACAATTTCTGTGCGTTTGGCAGCCATGGGAAAGATTTATAAAGAAGGAAGCTGGATGCCATACGAATTGAAAGAAAGAGACGTCGAGAGGCGAAAAGCCATATCTGAAATCTTGCTTGCTAGGCAAAAGAGAAAAGGTTTTTTGCATCATATTGTGACTGGGGACGAAAAGTAGATATATTTCGATGATCCCAAACGAAGGAAATCCATTAGCGACCCAGGAAAACCATCCACATCGATACCAAAGCGGAGTATTCACGGCAAGAAAGTAATGCTCTGTACATGGTGGGACCAGAAGGGTGTAGTGTATCATGAACTATTAAAACAGAGCCAAACCGTCACTGCCGAACTTTACAACAATTGATCCGTTTAAACAACGCATTGAAGAATAAGCGGCCGAAATATGCAAAGAGACACGACAAAGTGATCTTCCAGCACGATAACGCTCGGCCACATATTGGAAAGATTGTAAAGGCCACCTTGGAAGCACTTGGCTGGGACGTTTCACCTCACCCGCCGTATCACTAGACATTGCTCCATCCGATTATCACTTGTTCAGATCAATGGCACACGAGCTTTCGGACCAGCACTTCAACAATTATGAAGAAATAGAGAAATGAATGGATCGCTTCGAAGAACGAGTCGTTTTTCCGGCATGGAATGCAACAACTGCCAGACAGATGGGAAAAAATAATAGCAAGCGATGGCAAATACTTTGATTAGTGTACTTTTTCATGTTTTTTCATACTAAAGTCTTTTTTTGGAAGAAAAAACGGACCGAATTAATTCACACACTTAATAGTTTAATTGTTAATAATTGATATTTATCGGCACATCTTTCGTGACATCTTAGTGACGACATATTACCATCGAAAGGTTTTCGCTTTTATCAATAGAGGTCGGAGATATTTGAAGAAATCAATGTTATCAACTATTCCGACTACTCCAGCTGCGTTCCAATATTCACCGCTAATACTGAAAATATATAGTTTATGTGACATATACTATAGATCTTCAGTACTGGCGATGAATATCGGAGCGCAGTGAATATCGCCTCCGCGCTCCACCACCTCTTCATAGACATGTGACAATTAAGGTAAGAAAGAGCGAAACATTAGCTTCTTCACTAATCATGTAAAATTCGATATTATTAAGTATATTTTAAAATATGAAAATATATAATAATTAAACCGTAACAATAATCTTTTATGTTGCAGATGATGTCGAATCAAACGCTTATGAAAATTGCGAGTATCGGAGGGTTTGTAACAGCGGGTACAGGTTATATCTTCATCTATCGTATTCAAAGTGATATAAAAAATAGCGAAACTTATATAGATGCGATGAATACCCTGTATGCTCATAAGAAAGCCGTACCCTATTTTGGAGAGCCTATTAAAGTGGGTCGCATCAAGTTTGGTGATGGGAAGCAAACGCTGGAACATACAATACCCTACAAGTGGTTTAAAGTCCCTATTATAGGTACAAATACCAAAGGAAATGTATATTATGAGGTAATATTGAATCAGAAGCTTGAAAATAAACCTGAAGTATCTAAGATTGAAGTTACATTTGACAATATACCAGGAAAAACATTTGTAATAAGGGAATATTAGACATAAAATAATAAGTAATTAATATCAAAGAAAATGTATAATATTTATTTGAATATAACATATAAAAACATGTCAAAAGCATTAATTTCTCTTATATGTAATTGTTCTAATATAGATAATTATTATATATATGTAACAATTTTGATAAATATATATGTCAAATCATAAAACAGATGCATGCTATTTATTGCAAGTTGATGATAAATTTGTTGGTTATATCTGTTATATATATATATATATATATGTACATATAGTATATTATCGGAATGTCTGTAATGGTATATCTGTAACACCTTTGGGAACTGTCAAACCACGTCTCATATGACCCAAGGCTGCCTGGATAACATGTATCGCTGCTTCCACAGTAATTTTTATGTCTCGTGCATCACCAATTTGTGGATTGACCTCTACTAAATCAATGGCACTCAGTCTATGGGTTCTATATATCTGCTCCATAAGATGAATCGCTTCTCTAAGGTACAGTCCTCCACGAACTGCAGTTTATAAATGTGGGAACATTAATGTAAATTATATATAAATTTGGAGTTAAGAGAATGATGCTTCTATATGATACAATTGCCAACATACCTGGTGTACCAGTGCTAGGTGCTTCAAGTGGATCTAGTGAATCTATGTCGAAACTGACGTGTAGAGACTTTTCATTGTGAGGATCTATCTTATTGAGGGCCATGTGGAACACATTGTGAATACCTGAAAAAAAAAAAGTTAATATTAATGTGTTACACACTTTATACAATACTCCGTGAATCAAGTTGTTTTACGCTGCACGAATGTATTACCATAATGCTCTATATCTTCTATACCAAAGGCTGTGATACCATGCTTCTCGATCACTAATCTTTCGTAACGATCAACGGATCTTAAACCTATGTAAGCTAGGTTTCTGATGGGCAACCTGAAAGAAAATCGTGCGTTGCCTAAAATCAATCTCTTAAATTCACTCGTCGATACATTTTTGAAGATGGAAGTTGGACGAGCGATAAACACGTTCGCATATTAAAATATTACATTGGCTTTTGCCAATCCATGCCGGGTAAATACGGCCAATAGTCGGACAGTTCGGAAATCAACAGTGCCGCAGGCATTCCATGTACGTTACCACTGTCACTGGTCTTATTGGTGTTCAGATCCGCGTGTGCATCTACCCAAATCACTGCCACATCTTGCTTCTCCTGTGAGTTTCAATGTCTCTGGATTAAGACTGATAACCCACTTCGGTTTTTGTATAAAGACAAATATTCCTTACCTTGATGTGTCCGTCGATAGTGCCGATAACAACGCTATGATCTCCGCCAATTGTCACCACCTGCCTGTCATCTCGTATTACTTGCTGAACACACTCGGACAAACGGCTGGTACAACTAGCTACGTGGCTCAAATGGGACATATTATTCACATCGTGTATGTCTTCTTTGTCGTAATTTACATCACCGTAATCACGCACATCCAACCCTTTTTTTAAGAGCAGAACACGGTAAATGTACATATATACACGTGCATATAAAAGGATTAAATATCGTACGAATTCATACCTAACACTTGTAATTCCTTTATCAGTCCCGCTGCTCTGATTGTCTCAGGTCCACGAGCTACTCCTTCTTTTTTCTGGAAAAGATCGCACTCTTTGCAAAATACGGTAGGAAAATGCGTGATACATCTTACTTTTGTCGTATTTATCCTTGGTGAAAAGTAATGTATAGATAAAATTTTAATCTCGCAACTGAAATGTTGCATTATGTCTCGTTCTATATGTTTAATATATTTACCTGACCTTTATTGAACGGTACACCGATTATACCGACTTTTCCACTGTGAAATCGAACACTTAATTTTGTAAAAATCACACGAGCTCTCGTCAATGTATTCATTTTCTATCTATATCTCTTATTCGCGACTAGAGAGTTCCGACGGTGTTGTTTACGCCAAAGTGATACGTACGGCTTTGACCCGCAAACTTACTGATATGAGCTGCGTTCGGAACTGTCATTCGCATGCATCTGCCGTATTGAAGAATGAGATAAAGAGAGAAGCAGAGTACCCGGATAACATTACCGAAGGCAGCCATGACGATGTTACCTTGTACGCAAGTGTTATGCTGTTCAGTAGGATTGAAGCCCCGAAGCCCCGAGCGAAACCTCGATAACAAAAATAATTTCTAGAATTCCTAATTACGTAGCTGATGCTATTCGACATATATCGAGAAGGAATTGATATTATAAATCGTAGTTGAAATAATTGTGAAACTCAGCCTAAAATTTCAGATTCTGAGAGACCTCGAAACGACTTTGAAACGGCTTCGTGAGTCTTAGCGTTAATACGTCAATCTCCTGATTCTAGAATACGTTAAAAGTAGATGTAATTAAGTTGTTCTGAATTTCCTTGAACATCGTTATCTTATAAAGAATGAGAAATTATTTGGATCTTATCGGATGTGGATACTCTGTTATATTTCCCTTGGCATAATTCTAATAGATTTAAGAAACTGTAAAAAATTCTACGAAGTCTCTATCTATTTTCTTTTTTATGAGTAGGAAGTTAAAGTATTTATTAAATGCGCACAAAAATGCATGTACTCATATTTGTTTCTGTTAGAGAAAAATGCACTTTTCCCGTACATATTCTCTTACAGGACACGTCATACATACGAAATATTTGGATAGACTGAAGACAAATAGTAATATTTTTTAATAATATAAATTTTTATTTAAAAAGTTACACATGTGCATGTGTACAGAGACTTTCTTCTTCTTATATGAAAAGAAATGTATTATCAATCCGAATTATATATAATATAATTTAGCATGCATGGTTTGTGATGTAGAATGTGTATATTTATTATAAAAGGAGCAACAATAATTACCAACCGTTGTTAGATGAAATGAATTTTCGTTCTCGAATTTTCAATAAACAGTAAAATTGCCTCTTTCTTATATAATCTTATGCAATTTTTTGTTATTACACAAGATAAACAGTAATCGTTGCATGCGTGTTTACATGTACATGCACCAATGTACTTCTTGTTTGTCGGAAGAATCAGTGATAAGATTCTGCGATAAGAATTAGATTGTTTGCCTCGACAATCTTTTTTCACACAATTATTGACACAAACATGTGTGAGAGGATTTCATTCCTCATAGATTTCGTTCTTGCCAATTTTCTTGTAAAATTTGCTCGATCGCTTCCTGTTACCAAAACATTTACCGAGTATAACTAAATATATTTTTTAAATAATACTTTCTGTACTACAATGACGTTAGTTTTGTTTCTTTTTTTTCTTCTTTTTTAACTTTTATCCAACTGAAACGAGCCGATTCGAATGTGAATCATTTTCTGTCTTGCCAAAAACGCTTGTCAATTATTTGGAAATGAATATACGACTTACGTCCAATTGAAAGGGAATTGGTGTGACGAAACCGGACATTAAACAATCAGTACGCTACCTTTAAGTTTTCTTACGCTTTTATGAGAGAGCGTTTTCTCAATCTAATATAAAATTTGATCACTGTACGAAACTCCATGTCCGTAGAAGTCAATTACCATTTTGCAAAATTCGTAGTAGTAGTTATTAAGTTATTAATGATTGAAAATTACCACATCTAGAGGATTTTACAATCGATAATTTGAATAATTTGATAATTTGAAAATTTAATTTATTTGCAAAATGGTAAAGGACTTTCCTTAATCTGATTGATCTTCACAATTTTTCGTTTCCAAAAGATCCGTAAAAGATCCCGGGCACTCTGTATATACATATACGAAAATGATGCCATATAATACGTTTTTCAAAGAAGATAATTTATGAATACTATCTTATCATAACAAACATATACTTTAATTTTTGAGTTAATAACTATCGTACGTCATACATACTATATATATATATATATATATATGTGTAGTGGCGAACACGTGCGTGTTCGGTAAAATCAATGTTCTGCAATTATCTCTGGTTGTTCGCAAATTCGGCGATAAAAGTAGAACACCGGTATTATCGACATTGGACGCGATGTGAATCCTTCTCACACAGGGTCACCTAAGTCTGACCTGTATGTGACGCCGACGCCGACGCCGACGCCGACGCGGCACGTTCCGAGGGGAAATGAGAGATTAAATAGTAACAGTATTCAAAAGTTTGAAACACGTTCATTCAAGACTTAGCCGTTTTCTACTTGAACGTACATATAAGCTGCGAGGCCTCGTCGCGTGAGCAAAATAGCAGGATTCGTCGTTCAATCGACGTTCCTTCTCCCTGAAGAAACAGTTCGAACGTGCAAGTTTTAGGTTTTAGGTTATAGAGAGAGAGAGAGAGAGAGAGAGAGACTAGCGTTCAGCTCAATGTAAACTAATGTGAACGGCAAGGTGGAACGATCAGTCAATTCTGTCAGTTCGGAAACATAGCAAGCCTTATGTATTGGAATAGAACGACGGCCGGTGTTGTGCGCGAAGAAATGCCGCTGAGTTCGATAAGTCATACCGCGAGTACGACTACCACCGACACAGTGGAGAGTGTAAACCCTGGTACGAGCACGCAGATAACATCAGCCTGCTGCACCGTCCTACCACCACCGCCTTATCATAATATTAATTTGCCTCTCGGACATCCCTCCACGTTGACCAATGAACGTGGTGCACCGCCGTCATATGAGGAAGCGATAGATCCTAATGGTATGTTGTCGAGACCCTTCTTAGTCTTATTTTATATTTTGTCGTATCACGTTGTCCCAGATGTGGTAAATATCCTCCTGATGTCGCTTGCAGCTCCACCGCCGTCTTACGATTCCCTGTTTGGTCGTATGAGGGAAGCTCGCAAAGTCTCGAAAGGCATATTTGACTTTTTGAAGAATATCATCTTCCTACTCCTGGGCACAAGTGAGTGTTGTTGTAATCCAGTTGTTCAGCCAGTTGGCTTAGTATCCACATATAGATATGACTCGACATTTATAAAATACAAAACATGAAACTGATACTTTTTAGTCGGCTGTACCATCATTCTTGGAGTAACGATAGTGGTGCCAATTTGTATGATGGTCATTGGGGGACTGTATCTTTACGATTGCCCACAGGGTGAATACATTCCCGTATACTTGTTAGTGGGTGGTGGATTCGGAGTATTTAAACAATTGTTACACTTGTCAGCTAGAGTGAGACAGCGTCAAGAAGAAAGAGACGAAGAAAGGATAAGGCAATCACCCACACAGACTCTGATCAATTGCTTTATGCTTGGTTGGTTTATTATTGGTAAGTAGATATAATTTTAATCTGTCGACAGACTCATCAATCCATCGTATCGATATCATTTCAACGCACCTAATGAATTTTTGTTACTGCAGGCTCTATGTGGGTATACAAAGAATACGAGCCAAATTATGATCCAGCACTGGGAAAGTATTGCAACAAGACGTTATATCTGTTCGCCTTCTGGCTGATCACATCGGTCTATATATGCTTGGGTGTTGTAACAGCTGGCCTGTGCAGTATCTCCGTAGCTAGTATCGCATTTCAGAGATCGCCGCCGCAGGTCTGAAACAGTGCGGCCTCGTGTTCGTGTTCACTTCTCTGAAATGGCATGTCCTACACCCAGGACCATCCGTATTTAACAAAAGTCGAGAACACATGCAGCTTACTACATACTCATACGATAAAGAGATACATAGCTCATGTTGTATGCGTTAACGGATAATCAGAAGCGAATGCCGTCTCGCGTTACGTGATCCTCGATTTCTCATGGGAGCGTCAAAACTCCCTCTTGGTCGTTAAATACGGATCCATTCTTTTATACACCGAGTACGCCAATAATCGGATCGAAAGTTTAAATATGGAGGCTATCTCCACTTTGTACATAGAGATATACGAATGTACATGTTGTAAACGTTTAAAAATCTCATTTTGGGAGCAACCGACGAAAGTCGCTCGCTGTGAGCGACCGCGACATCGTCTTTTCGTCGAAACGAGTCGCTTTGGAGGAAAAAAAGAAGGGGGGAGGGGGCGGGCGCAAAAATTTCGTCCACGTTTACGTACCTGAGATGCTTAAACGACTATTTCGGAAGAAATCGTTGGCACGTTAAACGCACATAGAGTATTCGCGCGCGCGCGCGCGCGCGCACGCGATACGAATCTCAAACAGAAGATTGTCTAAAGGACTTGACATTCGCGCAATGAGGCGCGGTTGTCCTCTTTTAAGTTAATTCGATAATCAGACGACGCGACGGCGTCGCAACGCCAAGTAGAATCGATTCGATTTTATCGAGAGTTATTATATTTCCCGGGGGAAATTGTTGAAAATATGACACATCATCAACATGTTAGTTCTCTCTCTCTCTCTCTCTCTCTCTCTCTCTCTCTCTCTCTCTCTCTCTCTCTCTCTCTCTCTCTCTCTCTCTCTCTCTCTCTCTCTCTCTCTCTCTCTCTCTCTCTCTCTCCTCTCTCTCTCTCTCTCTCTCGCGTTTCTCTCTTCCACGACAGCCTACGCTGGCTGAGAACGAAGGGTCGAGAGACGAAAGCGGAGTCGGTTCGACCGGATTTAAGGGCTGTGTGTCGCGTTAATCGCGGATTCTCGAATCTTGTGCCAAGTGAAACGCGGAGTCGCAGACCAAAGTATTTTGCTATAACGGTGTTGTTCGCGCTAGCGTGTTGCGTGTGCTCTACGGTCTCTATATTAACAATAAAAATTCGCTCCTCTTTCCTCCCTCTCTCACATATCCCTGTCGGAATTCTCACCGCGGCGGATTGATGGTGCGCGTTAAGGACGCACGCGACTCGCACACTATACTTACGGCGACGCGCCGGCGCTTTGATACGACGGTCTAACACGCGCAACTCCGCGCTAATAATGTTAGTCATCGCATCGACGCTATCGTTCTCCTTTGACTTTTTATCTATGTTAAGCACTTTATGGACAATGTACAGTCAAAGTACGCAGCACTCCGCTTGCTCGTGACGTAACTTATTCTTAAAAGACTGCGATCCCGCGCGACGATTTATATTTATTCGCCCTCCGTCCTCTTACGCCTCTATAGATCTTCACTGATCTGTTTTGTGTCTATACATACGATTAATTCTTTTTGTTTTCTTAAAGACTAAGATCCATATTCAGAACATGCTTATAACTATATTAGTGCGCCGTTAACTAATCAGAAGGTATATTACGTGGCTTCTAATTGGTTAACAGCGCGCTAACATAGTTACAAGCGTGTTCTGAATATGGGCCTAAGCGATTGACTAGGAGAGTATGAGAACGTTAGATGTTTTCTTTTCTTTTTTTTTTTTTTTCTTTTTCCTCGAATTGTCCATATCCTGAGGACTAAGAACGACAGTATTTGTCAGTATTGTTGGAGCTTGCTATTTTTCGAAAAGAGAAGAAAAAAGTCAGCACGCTCAATCGCGTCGTCGAGGCATCGTCGACATAGTGGACTTATTTGTAATTCTATCAAACAATTGTATTATGAAGTGTATTACGAAGAATAATCGCTGTAAATACTTAATATTACTGTTCCTTCTACTTTCGTACGACTTGATCTGCTTTTCCGACTCGAGTTTAGTCTTCCTCTCACCCACCCAGTCCGTTTATAAGAACACAATTATCCCGAGCATAGAATTAGACGTAAGTGTAGATGTAGACGTAGATTGAGGCGAGCATAGGAACAGGCACGGTGCAATCGTGCCTGTAACGATGCGACGAGTCTCACTATTATGCTTATGCGAATACGATTAACAATAACCGAGCTTGACGCATTCAATTTCGCATAAATATAAAATGCAACACACACATACACATATATATTGCTAAACTTATCGTGTGATAAGCGAGTTAATTGCAAGTGTAATTAATTGCAACTTAATTACAAGCGGAATTAATGACAATTGTAAATCGTTGCACAAACTACAACTTGACAACTCGTAAATTATAAGAGTTGTGACATATATATATATATATATATATATATATATACACTGTCACAACTTTTTAATTACAGGTATAATTACAAGCTTATTACACACACAAGAAGCGATAAGATGTGCGGATAAGATGATCGGGAAGGGGATGATTTCTTGCGCAGAGATAAATCGAGGATGCGAAGATTGAGCGTTTTCTCGTTGGAGGTTTTAGCAGTGTTCCCGAGCGATAGGAAAATCATTCAGCACTCTTTCAATTTATTTTCGCAACAAGGCTATCAGTTTTTCCTTTCTCGGTTACGCCGCGAATTGATTCATGCTCTGCGTACGACTCTATTTACATGCACTAACATCGCGTTCAGCAACGCACGAACTGGGGATGACTGTAAATAATACGATTTAAATGTATGATTATTGATCGAGCGGATACGTATTTACGTTGCATTTATTATTACAAAATGACGAAATTAATTTACAAGATAATGCAATTGCATTCCTATGCTCTATGCATAGCATAAAAGCATAACGCACATTTGTTGTTACGATTTCCTAAATAAAACGCTTGAAAATCAAAATCTCGCTCTCCTTTTATTTTCGGTACAAATCGGCACGAAGCTACACACTGCGACTTACACAGAGAAACGCGCACGGTAACGATATTGAAATCAAGCATCGAATTTTTATCTACGAATTTCAGATCGCGTGGATCACAATCACGCACTGTTACTCTCAAACGGCACTTTCTCATGAGAATACTTCAAGTATCCTTCGTGATATTCTTCCTCCGGATATTCAGGGTAAGGCCAATCTTGGATCTTGGGCCAAATGTCTTCCTCGCTCTTCTCAATTGTGGATTCCGTCGACGTCTGTCGCGAGTATCACGACGAGAATTCGACACGTTAGTACGAGATATATTAAGAATCGCAGGTGTATTAAGATATATTCCGATCAGAGCACTGGATACCAGTAATGTAATCGCGATTATAAATAATAATCACGAATGAAATTGAATAATCAAGCGCAATAACGCAATAACGATCAGATATTGCCGATTGCTAATTAATGCGATTGCTGATTAATTGATGTTTAATTCGTCGGAAAAATTCATTTCCGTTTCCATTCCCGACGATGCAACCAATGTAATTGGATTGGAGTCGGCTGTCCGAGGACAGAAGATTGTTCAAGAGGACACGTGACGAATTCATTACCTCCTCCCGTAAGACTTCTGCTTCTGGTGGCAACAATTCGGGATTGTAAGACGTGATACAACGTGCGCGCCATACCGTAGGCAGAGAGCCTGTCTTCGGCGTTTCCGTGTGCTGTTCGCCTTCCTGCACCTTCTCCCGCTACAATAGTATATTTCCTTGACAGATGATTGTAATTCACGTCGCACTCGCAACGTCACAGCCTTTGTGTCGTGTCTCTACGTCGCAGACTGCAAAAGCATCTGCTTCATAGAGGACCTAACCGTACGAAACTTGGGCCAACACAAGCAAATATATAACGCATATAATATATAATAACGCATTTAAGACGGTTGTCTGACCGGCTCGCTTGATACTCGCGTTTTAATTCATTCAGATAAGAAGTGAGATACTCTTACCTCTAACTCCGCGATTTTATCTGCGGGGATCGAAGCTGGATCGTAATAATATGCGGAATCGCTCGCATGTACGTAATGACCGTGCTGCATGCAAGTGTTCTCGAAAACGAAGCATCCACGTCCGTACGGCTACATCGTGCGGTAAAATACATCTGCTTAACACACGCAATTAACGCTGCCTCGTATTTCTAATATTCTTCACTTTTCACCCGGAGATCTAACATTTTCTGCTCAGACTTTTCTCAAACGAAAAACGAAGCGAGAAGAAAAGTTCTGGCGCGCGGTGGAAGTGCATTGCCTCGAAAAATTCAAATTCCATCTAAAAATGTCTTGCACTCCCGCTATTCTTTCCAGTGACTTTCCAGGAAAATACCCCACTCTTTAAACTTCGAGAGATTTCTTGTCGGGACAACGTATATATATCCGCGCCGTTTTGACGATGATGACGCGCGATGTTACGATGTTTGATTCGCGAAGTACTCCTTTAATTTGCATTTCGTACCAGATTCGACTTCCAAAAACCGTGAAAACGATGACGTGGGTAAACGAGTTGACCCGGTCCTTCCATACGGTCTTTCATCCACGTACCCGTAAGCTTTGCTCCCGTATCGACGTACAGATACGTTCCCATACCGTGACGGAGATCCTCCTTCCACGAGCCCTCGTAGATGTCATTGTTCGTGTAAAAATAAACGCCGAAGCCGTGTTTCATGTCGCGCTTCCATTCTCCTACGGGTTCCCACGCGTTCACCGCGTTACCGAAATACGCGGGTGCGCCGACGTTAGAAAAAGAATCTTCAGGTACTGTCGTTCCCCCTCCGCGATATTTTGCGATAGATTGAGAAGGGGAAACCTGGCGGAGAGAGGAGTGCGGGCATACTCCCTGTCGTAATCATCGAGTCGCGATTCTTCGTTCAAATTCAAAACTGAGGGATAAGAAGACTCGCGAGGGAGAAGCGAATAGAAAATTCACCGCATCTATTGTGAGTTACGAGCTGCGAGTTACGAGACGACAATTATGAAGATACCGCGAGAACGTTGTTATAGGTATGCTCGTTCTCGCGGAGACATTGCGGATCATCACGTACGAATCGCGTATACACATGGTTCCTTCAGAATTCTTGGCACGCGCGCCCTCCTCTAGATATCCGATAGAGAGAGAGAGAGAGAGAGAGAGAGAGAGAGAGAGAGAGAGAAAGAGAGACAGAGAGAGAGAGAGAGAGAGAGAGAGACAGAGAGATGTCCGATATAAAAATAATTGTACGAATATGCGCGCGCGCATACGCACATATGTATGTGTACACACACACACACACACACACACATATGGACGTGTATCGACCCACGTGTGTCCCGGGGCGCGACTTCCTCGGGTCTGATTCGGCTCCTATTTTTGTACATTCTTCCGTACCTTCGTATCGCGTTCCATCAGGATACCAAAAAATCCCTTGGCCGTATTTGTGTCCCTGCCTCCAATCACCGTTATAGCGGGCGCCATTTTTGAACGCGTAGACACCTTTGTCATGCCTGAGCCCATTGCGATATCGGCCGATATACATGTCGCCGTTCGGCAGCAAAGTTTTTCCGTTGCCGTGCCGCTCGCCTTTCTCGTTTCTCTCGCCTTCGTACACCTGTTCGTTCACGACGACGACGACGACGACCACAACAACACCGCCGTATGCGCCGACGTTACGACGTCGGAAATCAGTATACGGTTATATCACGTGCAGCGCTGACAAGGTCTTTTTTATCAAACGATGATGTATTTTTACAGATAATTCTTTCTGTATTACCCCGAGTGTATGAACCTCCGTTTCTCCGTGGCGATCTGGCTGGTCCTCCGGCCGGGGGGGGCTTTCCATTTTGTATTCTGTCACTCGTCGCAACGCAGCTGTCAATCGGAATTTCGATCGTCCGTGCAATCGCAACCCCGCGATCGTCTGCTAATCGATCTTACATTCAACCGATTGTCCTTTTACACAAGCGGGATACACTCTAGAAGATTAACGTTGTTTATACCTAAAACATTTGCGACGAAGAATGAGATCCAGTACACGGCGGATTTTCGTAATTAAATTAGATATTTATTAATGTACATTCTTGTGAATTAATTCGTAGCAAAAACGAATGCGTCATCTTCTTTGCGTCTTCCTTCTGCTTATCATCCACACAGCCGTTTAAAAAAAAAAAAAAAGAATAAAACGCGACCGCCCTTGAACAATACCGCAATATCGCTCAATCTTCTCGACAATGAGATTTCAACGACCAATCAACGATTGATCATCGGCCAGTGAGTAATCCAATCAACGCCTGCTTCTCCTTCTCCTTTTTGCGCACAGTCTCCAAATTTCTCTGCTTCCAGGAGCTCTTCCGCAGTTTTATCGGACGCGATCCTACGTATCGTCCTGAAACACGAGAATTATGTTCCAGGTGAGTAACATATCTCAGTAGCGACGACGGACTGCCGCGGTGACGTTGCTCGCACGTCGCACGTCGTTACTATTATCGGAAAGTCGAGCATCGTGCACAGCAACAGGTGATGTTTCTTCGTGCCAAGGGTACTTTGTATCCCACGATAAGAAAAATAAATAAAAACGGGCCGTATCGTATATAAGATATACAAGATTTTAGAAATACGATTTAAAAAAAGACCAAAAGAATTTTCGTAACACGAGAGTAGCTATCGATCGTCAGAATACCTGTCGCGTGCGCCGCACACATTATTTCAAATTCATGATGTATCTGCTTATTTTCGTGTTCGCGTATTTCGCATCTCCTACCTACGATCCCGTGAAAAATTCAAGAAAAGAAGAAAAGAAAAAAATAAAAAGTAAGTAATAAAAGGAAGGAAAGTTAAACCGAGAGTGCACCGAGATCGCGATAACATATCCATGGTTGCATCGAAGTCTCGAGAAGGCGCAGAGCGCAGGATATAGTATTCACGCGTCCAAAAATATCCTTTGGAATAGTCAAGCATCAATGAGAAATTTTCCAGCAAAGAGAACGCGTCGCGAAGAGGCTCACGACCTCGGCTCTCTCATTCTCTCGCTTCGCACGGCGATCTCGATCCCGATCTCGATCTCGATCGCCCACGCATCGAACTCTTTGTCATTTCCGCTGCGTTTCTGCAAGAGGCGGACGCGAAACGAAGTGGTCCCCATTCAATCATGCCTCAAATTAAGTCACTCTCGCACGTACATACATTCACATACGCGCATGCGGAACCGAACGTTGCAACCGCAATTTGTTCTTACTTACATCTGTCCGATATCTTAACAATTTAATTTCTGCATACAATCGAGAGCAGATGCTTTATTTTATATTATATTATTTCTTTTTCAAACATCAATAAATTCAAATCTTTAATTTCAAGCGAAACTTCAATCAATTCTTAGTGATTAAATTCAAAATTTCGCAATTAGTGAATTTCGATTTTCACGATGGGTTTTGAATTGAATTTTAATCAATTCCACTTCAACGGGTGCTTATTCGATGACTAATTATTTGAACGATTTGAAATGGTCACGTGACCGAGAGAAAGCACGACAGTATGTTTAGCCAACAACGAGATCAAGCGAAAAATCGTTTGAAACAAGACGAAGCGCACGAAAAAATGGACCGCGAGGGATCGCGGATCAGCTGTGTGTAAGTTTCGATCATTGGCAGCCGCGAAGTTACACCGCGGGCCAGCGATTAGCCTCGGGCCTCCACGAGTACCTCGAACGACCGCTTCATATATCCGTTCGATTATGCATCATATCCGCGATCCCCATGTCTCGCGAATGCGCCGTCATGGTATTCGCGTGTGTGTACATCCTCCGTCACGTTCATTCGTATGTTCGTTCCGACTACTTGTTGCTTCGTCCGCTTCGCATTTCGCGGGATGCTGTTCGTGAAGCTGAACACGCGAGAGACCTCTCCCTCCCCTCCCTCTTTTTGTACTTTCTTGTGCATACAAACAAAACTTGGAATTAGAGTTGCTGGATTTGTTCAGATTCTACTCATCAATACTTCCAACTGTCCAACTGATGTCCAAAAAATGTCTTCTTTTTGATGCGCCATATCCGATCTCGGACGTTGGCGATCTCTCTTTCGTGTACCTACAGGTGCGTCGCGCGTACCTAGATTATCCACACACATTATACGGGACCTACAGTTTAACGCCGACTCCGAACGGCAGTATCAGAGAGATTTAGGCACTAGGCATGGATATATACTCCTCTCTCTCTCTCTCTCTCTCTCTCTCTCTCTCTCTCTCTCTCTCTCTCTCTCTCTCGGTGGTTTACCGCCATTGCCTTCCGAGGAGAGGAAAGCGGTTGTATGTATACAATTTTTCGGTTCTCGGTCGGGAATTGAACCCCCGTGATCTTCGTGATTTGTAAGACACCAGTGCGCTGTATCTATTGTGCCACGCTCGCTCTCAAATTCTACAAATGTCTAGATTATTACAAGTATTTCTCACCCAATTTTCACCCAGATCTAGATTCTCTTCAATTTTTGAATCCGACGGCCCTACTCGAAACGGATCATCGGTCCAGTCAGCCAGAATTTCGGGGGATCAACGAGAGAGACTTTCTCAAGGGGACAACACCACGTATGTTCGCAATGTCGAATCATGTCCGACGACAATCTCGCCCCCGATTTCTTTCAACGGACTTGCTCAATGGGAGGAGAGAAGCTTTTTAGTCGGTATTTTAGGACATTTCGAGTCTGGAATAAGAAACCTCGCGATTGCTCCGCGATTATGCGACAAGCATGCGGCGTTCTCGCGATAAACCTTTCCGCGAAGGCCCACGTTCCGCGCGCGATTCGACCGCGACTGCAGAAATTTCGGCAGATTTCCGCGCGAGATCACCGCCACCGACGTGCTGTGTGAGTCACCGATCTTTCGCGCGCGCGTTATATTTTATCGCGCATTAAGCGCACCGCAAAGCTGAGCGTATAACTCGGCAAATCACTATAAATAACGGCACTTTACAACGTTGCGTATGCGTTCCTCGCATACCTTTTAGATATGCGCTTCTTCGTCTTCACGTCCGAAATATCCGAGTGATCGATCCAGAAAAATTGCACTGTACATTTTGTACTTTGCTTCACATCATATCACGTCGGTAAACATCACGCGACCTTAACAACGGATTTGCGAGTTTTCACGAGTTTGCACAAACAATCGGGAAAAAAAAAAAAAAAAAAACAATATCTCTACCCTGATTGAATGAATTCCAAAAAGATTAAAGAGACTGGGGCTCTTTGATTCACAATCGCAATCAAAGAAAGGAAGAACAATAAGAGACCAGTGTATGGATAATGCAGTAAAGTGCACTGCATAAAAAAAATAAATTCTGTAAAAATATAACAAACTGGTAATCAATTCGCCACCCGAATCGCAACGCCATATTCTCACACGAAAGGAAAAATCCATACGAACCGAGAGAACTAAGAAAGGAACGCAAACGTCGTAACGTTTGACAATGATCACAGCGATGTCGACGTCGACGTCGACGACGACGACGACGACGACGACGACGACGACGACGACGATAATTGATGATGAGAGCAAATGTAAAAATAAAAAGAGACGAAAAAAGAAAACAGAGGAAAAACCAAAAGAGACCACGAATAATTGATTCGCACAGCCTGCCGCGAGTTCTTCGATTGGTTCTGGCCAAGAAGGTGGGGTATTACGGGAATTTATAGTAGGAGGTAGGGGGTTGTTGAATGAATAGCTGAACGCTTCGGCTCTTGACGCACTTGGTCGCACCCATCCCGACGGTCACCTACGAACCATATATACGAGTTTCACGTTCGAGCAGCAAATCCGCCCTGAACTATCGCCTCCGGAGTGCAGCCGAGAAAGCAGAAGTCGAACGAACGAACGAACGATTGATATTTCGGTGTGTTCCGAAGGTATGTCTCCCCCTGCCCCCTCGTTTTCTCTTATCTTTCCTATTTTCTACATCTTATTAATTTATACATCAATCCAGCGGATTCTCTCCCCAATTCATTCGAAGATCCACAACCTTGAAATAATATATAAACTATCATACGTTTGTATGCCTGTTTGTACTTCTGTCTTGGATTCATAATCAGCAGCATAAAAATTAATTCAATATGTATATTTTTTAAGTGCTTGAGAAGATCCTAAGATCAGAAGGATCAGAAGAGCGCCTAGTAAATTACGCTTTCTCTCTTCAACTTTGTAGATCGGAGAATCGAACGTCAGCTACACAATTACGGAGGTTCCTTCGCAAATTTGGCAAATTGCTTAAGAGCGTGATATAATATTCGCTGGGTATTACCGTCGATTTTATTGTAACTGTGACGCAACGTTATCATTGATACGAAAGAAATCGTACATATCACCTTTAATTCTTAAACGACAATATTTATTCACGAGATCGCAACGTAGTCGTGTAGCGTCACTCTCACACACACACACACACACACACACACACACACACGGAGTCGAATACATGCCCTATGTTCGAGTAATTGCCGGCAAGTGAGAGAAAACTCAGTGACTTCGGATTCATTAACGTGATAGCCCCCGCGAGAAATCTCCAGCAATCTTTCACGACGTTGATTCTAGACGTGCGCGTATCATTTATCCGTCCGTCGCACGCGACCACGCGTCCAGAGCGTGTACGTGTCGCGGCGATATCGCGATGAAAAGAAAAAGAATCGAGATATTTAATGACATCGCATATGTATCGCGAGTATCTCGTTATTGTCGCGAAAATCGTCGTCGACGTCGCATACACTTTTTCATCTTCTCGTTTCGTCTAGCAACGTCGTCGTAGATAACGTTTTCTCCTTTCCTATCGCGACGTTGTTTCTGACGTGGTTTGTGTGTGTGTGTGTGTGTGTCGTGTGTACGAGTTTACGTGTAGCATGATGTTAAAATTAGGCGGAATGTTGTATAAATAGTATCAACCGTTGCAGAAATTTCGCGGGAGGAACGTAAACAGCGCGGCTGTCAACAAAATCGGACCGTTGCACGGAATAATTACGAGTTCGATCGACGAACTCGTCGTTCGCTCGCTGGCTAGGATGCGTCGAATACGTACGTGACTAGAAAGTTAACGAAAAGTTATAAATCAATCACCGAATCTGTTGAAAGAATGGACGTGAAACTTTCGACTTTCGAGTCAAATCGGCGCGTTCCGCAAATTCAAAATTTCGTTCGCGAGCAAGTTTTGTGCCGTCGAAATTTATCGATAAATTTGCGAGGTGTACGCGAGTGTATGTTTATGAGGAAAAGCTCAGAAAGCGCGTGACGGATTTACTCCAAGAGGGGAGAACAGATTTTTATCGACAGGGTATGCTTGTGACCCTGGTGAACCCGTGAGTGAACGCGATGAACGACAAATCTCGAGAAGACCGGATATTTGCGATTTCGTAATCAAGTAATAATAATTGTTCTCCTCAAGTTTCACACGTTTCATGCTTCGCAAAATTGCTTTATCGTACCTCTTTATCGTACTTCTCTCTTCTAGAAACAGACGAAATTACGCAAACGGACGACGCGCTCAAGTATCGCGAATACGAAATGGGAATGAAGACGGTCTCCGGCCTGCTCTCGGTGCTGATGTTGAACGTATTGTGCATTACGGCCGGCTATGCGGCGCCGTTACTAGTAGACGCGGAAGATCCCCGAGATGTCTCCGCACCTGTAACAAAATGCTCTCCCGATGGACAATGCTGGGAGTGGTTGCCGACGTTGAAGACGTACGACGACACCGTCTTAGTTACCGACGAAGACGTCGATACGTCGAAGTAATGATTTTGTTGCGGTCGTTTTTCTTCTCTTCTAACGCGTCGTACTACAATGAACTACTGAATCGAAACATTCAACTTTGGCGGCAGGTTGCAATTCCGACGGCAAGTCGCGAGTCCGGCATCCGAGTTTGCGCTAAAGACGCGGCAAGACGGTACGCTGGTAACGACGGGGCAAGTAACCCGATCGCTCGCACCGACCAACAAGCAGATACCAGTTAGGATCATGAGGAAGGACGTGTTCGGCTCCCGCAACTGGGGTGCCGGTGGTATGCCTTTTTCCGTTCTCTACATGAACCCGCATCATTCACGATCGAATTCCGTTATAACCAAGTCAAGTGAGTGTTCATGAACATCGACACGAAAACATTTCCCTTCGTACATATCCATAACATACTGAAAATCTATTTTTCATGACAGCAACGCAACGACCGGAAGCCAGTACAACGACCAGAAACTCGAATTCGTCACCCGTAGAACGTCCTAGTTATCAACGAAAGCGTCAACCCGCCGTACAACCAAGAAGACAGTTTCTGACCATACCGCAGCTCTTTATATCGTATGGCTGGGATGCTTATGGAAAATAAGGACGAAATGTAAAAACAGCGATACTCTCAGCACCGAAAAACTATCGCAACGAGAGCAAAATGAGGAGAGATAAAGAGACGCATATTGATGTTCACGGTATATCTGACAATGTGCAAGCAAATAGCGCGAAGCGATCAAAATTCTTGTCACGATCGATTTGTAACGCTTGAGATTTTAAATTTCGTTCCTTTCTCTTTGCGAAGCTTCATTCGTTGTATACAACATTGCACGACAAAAGTTCATCCGCCACACAAATACGTCGCGTCGACACTAACTCAATTGTTCTCACGAGTACTCGTCGAAAGAGTCGTAGAGAGCAATCATGTATGATAGGAAACAAATATTTGTCTGACGTGCACTGCAGCTGAGTCTATAATAAAGTTATACAATAATAAATATTTGGCTTACCATTCATTTCCTTCATCGCTTTGATAAAATCTTGTGGATCCTTAAAAGACACGAATCCGAAACCCTTGGTTTTATTTGTTCGTTTATCTCGGACTACTTTCGCTTTCTGGAAACTGGGATATTTGCCGAATACTCTTACCAACATCTCGTCAGTAACATCGTTTCCCAGATCCCCGCAGAATATCCTGAAATCGTCTGTATAGGATAGATAATGTTAGCTGTGTATGGTGTTTTGAACACACAATTTAATTTGCGTTTGATCTATTTTCTTTGTGATAAGCATGCTCATTCGTTATTCACCTTCGTCCCATTCTAACAAAGACGGATCCTCCCATGTTTGACCACCAGCCATTCTTATAATTTTCTTATTTTTCTTTCCTCTGCCCTTAGGATGAGTCTCCTCGGCACTAGCATTAGCCATAATGGAACTTGCTTTCCCTTGGCTAATAGCTAATTCCGCTGCTGTGCTAACACCCTTAACTTTTGGTTTCTTCTTACCCTCGTCGTCAGGTATCTTTGTATTGATAATCTGCTCAATGATCTCAGGATGGATCATTGGTGTTGACGTAGATTCGTAGGTTTTTGGTGTTGCACTTAAACACGGATCCACCATATTTGACATATATGGATTACTTATTTGCGCAGGTGAGGAATATGTCGTAATAGGAACTGAATCTGCAACAAATGCACATTATGATCGTGAAGCAAGCTCTGCAGAATCAGGGCAATTCTGAATGCTGAAATGAAAAGAGGGTACATAGCTTACTTTGTCTTGCTACTTGTTGAGGAATTAACATTGGTGGTGGAGGAGGAGGAGGCGGAGGCGGTGGTGGAGGTGGAAATCCAATCATTGGAGGGAATGCTAATGTCGCAGCAGCAGCTGCCGCGACTACCGGTGTAGGTAGTTCGTGTTGCTCCAGTTGTCTAGCAACTTGGTTGTACGTATTTGCGCCTATCACCGGTCGTACAATTGGTGTTACAAGTTGCCCTCCAATTTCAGCCTCGAATCTGAAATTTATACACAATGAATCAATTAAATGCAAACACATCGTTCAAATTGTTATGTTATTAAGAGAAAAGAAGTTTAAAGAAAAAGAAAAGTAAAACAAAAATCCGCAAATCAAATCAGGATTTAGGTTATACTAAATCAACAGAGCCATCCTACCTGTTCATTTCATCTTCCATTTGCCGAAGTTTGTCGTCCATATTTCTGAATGTTACTTGTTAACGAAATAATTTAAATATAACGACTACAAGTATCCCTGAAAGTATAACTTTATATGATAAATAAAGTTTACAACGTTCACCCTCACTCGTATCTATACTCTGCAGATGGAAGTCTTCTTTTTCTTCGTGACGAGGAGTGGATATCTCCTTCTCTCTTCTCTCCTTCACTATATCACACTCTTTCTCACTTTCTCCTAGTGGCTGTGTTCCGAAATGCGTTCCGTTTACGCTTGCGCTGCGTTTCGATATTCACTGCCAACACTGAAATTCTACAGTGTATGTGACACAAATTATAGATTTTCAGTACTGACAGTGGATCTCGGAACGCAGCCTTGGACGTTTACGGACATATACTATTTCTGTTCACAATTTTGGTTTTGGCTACTAAATTTGTAATATTAGGCAGAGAAACAGATATATTTCTCATCAGCTGATCACGCAATTTCGTGAAATTATTTCTTTTAGGGTCACTTTAACCAATTCCGTTGTACATTCAAATAATTACGGTTACAGACGGCCGAATCGAGCAATGCGATTGGTCGAAACCTTACGTCTTACATGTGGGGTAGCCTTTACTAAGCTGCGGTTGACTAACACCCGTACTCAAGGTTCGTCTATATTAGCTGTAAGAGTAAGGCCACAGTATAAATATATACAGTATTGACACTGAGCGTCGGCATCTTTGATGCAGTGGGTCCCTGGTCACATGACTCGACGCCATGTTGAAGGTAGGACAAGCGCTTAAATTAGAGTTACGTTAACATATAAAATGATTTATTTTCTAATAAACAGTTTACCGCTCAGTCGTATCATAGGCTGTATTCCGATATTTACAGCTAATATTGAAAATCTATAGAATACGTAACATAAACTATAGATTTTTAATACTGGTGAATATCGTGAATATTAGAACACATTTCACATGGAATATCAAATATACATACACTTCATTAGGAAAACATTTTATTGTATTAATATATAATTGTATAAATATATCGATCTGTTTGATATTTCGTCAACTTTTTGACAGCATTCGTATATATCTGAATCATAAAATTAATCCATTCATAATCAAAACAGTGAAAAATGACTAGATATATACAGGATGTTGTTAATTAACGCCCACTATTTACACATTATTTACAATGTTATTCTTAATAGAAAATTGAATCGACAAATTCTGAACTATTTTTTCGATAGACGTTATAATTTATGATGATTTTTCAAATTTCAGCATAACAATTTTATAATTAAGCTCTAAATAACAATTTTGTTATAGTAGAATTCGATTGAAATTAATTCAAGAAATTGTTTTGTTATCCGTTTGGTTGACCAAAGCATTGTTTGCGAAAAGCTTTGCTTTTTAGATCGCATATGTCTCGTAAACTACTAACGACTTAATATTTTCGTCCAGTAATTTTAAAATAAATTTTTAATGAATAATAACACTGTGAAAATAACGACCTTTGACAAACATTCTGTATAGATTACCATCACTTTTCCTCTGTTTATGAAAATATTTTCTCAAAATCAGCAACTGAAACAACAATAAAATATTAGGCAACAATTATTGCAACATAATTATAAATTTACTTTTATTATAGTTTCATAAAATAAGAATAACAATATAATATAATATATTAATAACATTTTAATAATATTATATATAATATTAATATTTAATAATAATATTTAATGAACACAAAGTATCTTATATATATATAATAATAAACACAAAGTATCTTAGACCTATAGTAATGAACACAAAGTATCTTTCAGTCATGATGCAAAATAACCATTTTTTTACGACCGTATTGTGACTTAAATCGCCTGTTAATACATTTTATAGTATAATATAGTCGAACTCTAGCATAAAGTTTTATTAAATAATTTTTTGGAAAAGACGGACAAGGAGGAATAAATTCGACTTGCCTAAAAAGTCGAATCAATTTATTTACGATAAGTGGTTGCAAAATATATTCTTCAATTTTCTTAAAAAAATATGTCCTCCAAAGTTGTAATATATTCAATAAAATTATTATTTGGCATACATAAATTACCAAAAAGATTATCATTAGTAGCATTATACGCTCTAAAGAAACAATAGTATGAGGTATCATTTAAATCTACATATTCTTTGCTGTAATTTAAACACAAATCGCATGAATGTATTTTTAAACATTTACAAATAAGGTATCCATAAATGTATCGCAACGCATCTTGTTCGTTAATATCCATTTGACGATAATCATGATTATCTAGACGTACAGATACACCTTCACTTTCGTCTACTTCATTTTCAACAATATTCGTATATTGCGTTACAAAATTTACCATAGCCGTTAACATTTCATCATTATCTTGTTGACAATTCCTCGTTCTTGGCACACAGTAATTTACAGAAAACAGTTTTTGAAAAGAGTAATAAAATTGGATAGGTGTAGGCGTTAAAAGCGTTACCATTCATAATTCTGATTTTACCAAAGAAATTCTTCAATGAGTCTTGATTAAAACGACGCATTAACAAAAATTTTATATCTGTGGCAGTAACACATAAGTAATCCCACATCTTTAAGAGGGAATTTATGTTTTGACACCAATATTTAAATACTTTAACTTTTTTCGAAATATTAACTCCTTGTTTTGTAAATATTGTTAATTCACTTAGATATTTTTTCATTTTTGACGAAAATTCTATTTGATAATCCTGACCACTGAAAGCTTGTCTATATTTTATCTTATGGAAAACTGTAGATGAGTTGAACATGTCAAATAAATCATTCATGTTTTGAACAAAATTAACTGCAATAAGGGCTTCATATGAAATATTACAAGACATTACTAGTTTATTTAAAGCAGCATCTACTGTTCCACTCAAAACTTGCGTTGCATAGCGAACTTTCATTCTTTGAAAATTAGTAGGCATAATATGTATATCTGTTAGTTTGGGTGCTAATCTATTTTCGTTATTTTGTTCTGTATCGTATAGTTCTTTAATGTATTTCTATAAAATAAATTTTCCGTTATCTTTAATAATATTTTTCAGAAAATTATTACGACTAGCTTTCAAAGCACGTGGTGGATCAATGAAATGAGCTATTTGTTGATCATTAACAACAAAAAATGGTGACTCTGTTGTAACATTTAATGCTTGTACTACATTTATGAAATTTTGTCCCGTATCACTTACAAAAGCAATAACTATAAATCCAAGTTCTTGCAAATTTTTTATACTTTGCGTTATATCTTTTAATTTAGTAGCATGAAATGTGAAATTTAGAAAAAAATATCCTATAAGTTGTTTCCAATTCGTGCATATACCTCTAAGCATTAAAACTGCAACGTTACATGCTGGCAATGCCGATTTTCCTTCACCCCAATCTTCAAAACCATATACCGTATCTTGACTAATATATTATAAAATAAATGTGCTTTTAATACAGCTTCATCCATACACAATGTACAATATTTATCAAGATTAGTTTTAACAGTAGATACTTTAGCTTTTAAAATATCAAAAACATTATTTTGCAACCCGGGAAAAATTTCAAAATTTTCGATCATACGTTGTAAAGTTCTTGTGCTAGGCAAACAGAACTGTTTTGATAAAACTTCATGGGTTTTACGTTCACTGAAGTATAAAGTAAAACACATTTTTTTAAATTCCAAAGAAAATTTCCTACCCTTTGGCGACTTTTGAGCCAGGTGTACTTGTGCTTTCACAAAGGTCGCAACAGATGGTGGCAATATTTGATCTGTTGCATCACAATATTCTATTGGTAGAGAGAGCTTCTTAATCTTTTTTGTATAACTTGCTTCCTGTTGCTTTAATTGTTTCTTAACTTTCTGTAATTTTTTTTGTAATAAATGGATTTTCTTTTTCAATATCTTTTTTCGGAGTGAATTAATAGATAATGTGGAATCGGTTTGTATTTTCTCATCTTGTGTAACAGATAGTTGTTCCTTCCTGATCCTTTCGATTATCTTCATCCATAACGTTTACATCCTGCTCTACAATTTCAATTAACAATTGGATTATTTAATAACGTGTAGTTGTTAATATTAATTTAGAGTATTAAAAAGAATAGTCGACAAAAATTTCGACAAAAATAAAATAAGATTCTATATTATCGTAGTTCGGCTTACCTTTACATGAAAAAGATATGTGATTATCAGAATCTAATAAAAAGTCATGTACAGACTGATCTATTTGTTGATTCGTTGGTTTTTCTATTTGTAGACCTGTACACGTTTGATTGATTTTATTTGTAGATTCATTGGTTTTGGAACTACGTATAGTTGGAGGCGATTTTTTAAATCATTTAAAAACATTGTAGAATCAAAATGATTTCCACAAATCCGGTATGTTTTATATAAGTTCTCTATTGGAACTTTAATTGTACGCCCGCAATTCCTTAACTATAATCTACATCTGAGAAATGGAAATATATACATATATAAGTTAGACTTTTTGGCAATTCCAAAACAAATATGTAAAATTAATAAAAAATTATTATTTTTACCTTTCTACATCCTTCGGGAAACGAAAAAAGCTTAACCCAGGTAAGGTATTCGTCTTGAAATATTCGGGCATTTATACATGGCACAACTATGCCAACCTCGAATCATTTTGTTGATATTTTGTAACAATTTCTTTTATTTGTACCAAAGATTTATTGGTACATCACATACAAATAAACATATGTATATGAAACATTTAACCTAAATACGTCATCTATGGCGGCTGCCATGTTCCTAGTAGGATAGAGCGACACATGCGCACTGGAAAATGAATACCACTTAAAAAGTTCAGTGTCAATGGCCGCGTTCAGCAGACCAACAGTTGGACAACATTACTAGATTTTGCACTGAATCTCGCTCCTGATTGGTAAATATTTCTGGGTCTATGAAGAATCTAAAAGAATGCTCCAATCACAGACAATAATCACTAAGCGCTCTCTGATCACTTTGTTCTACTGAACGCGGCCATTACTGTGTACACTTAAGCCAGCGGCACACGGTGTTTGTTTTCACGCTGGATTGCTTGCTGGATGAAAATACTGCGTTCTGATTGGCGCATTTCCATCCATCTTCGGAAATGTACCAATCAGAATGCAGTATTTTCATCCAGCAAGCAATCCAGCACGAAAACAAGCACCGTGTGCCGCCGGCTTTATACTGTGGCAGCACACGGTATTTGTTTTTGTGCTGGATTGCTTGCTGGATGAAATACTGCGGTCTGATTGGTACATTTTCGAAGATAGATGCACCAATCAGAACGCAGTATTTTCATCCAGCAAGCAATTTAGCACGAAAACAAGCACCATGTGCCGATGGCTGTAGTTCTGAGCTCTTCGAGAGAAAAACGGATTCAGTTTGCTTTGCCAGTCTTTTGTTCGCCTCCGTGGCGGTTGGATGTGGTACCTGTAACTACGCATATTATTTGATCGTGGGGACTGCGTACGCGTTGTCCCTGTTTTTCTTTTACCTCCATACTACTGGCTAAATAGCCTTATAGAATTTCATCTAATCTGTCAGGAAGACCTCTTGTTCGCTTCCGTGGCGGTTGGATGTGATTTCTGTAACTACATGCATATTTTTTGATCGTGGGGACTGCGTACGCGTTGTCCCTGTTTTTCTTTTATCTTCATAATCGTTGACTGGCGTAGGGGATAGAGTGTAACAGCTCTGCCCAGAGCCATTTGTTGAACCAGAACCAGAATTTCATCTATCTACATCGTGAGAGTGGCGTTGCAGCTGTACCCTATTTTGCCCAGAGCCATTTATTGAATTGAATTGAAGTTTGATTTGCACGTTCAATAAGTTTCAACAAAATAAGGTCTCAACAATGGGAGAGGATCGTTTCATCGAACTCAAATAAAAACCGCATGAACCTTTTTGGTAATAATATATATTAATATATATGGTGCATATATATAATCATCTTGCATAGACGAATATATATTTCTTTTCTTTATGCATATGAAAATATTTTAATGTTTTATACACACATCATGTATCTTATATCTCAGCAGGCATCTTATAAAGTCTATTTTTGAGAAAGCTTTTTTGTAAACTAACAACATATATTTTTCCATAAGCCAATGCATTTTGCAAATTTGTTCAAGTTGTTAGCTGAAAACTTTGTTGAAAGGATCAAGTTGAGTTAAAATGGAAACAAATGTGGATGTAGATACAAAAAATGCACATACAAACAGCATGTCTACAGAAACCAAAGGTAAATATATAAGTACCCAGCAAACACAATATTACATGTAACGTACATGTTAGTTGTAATTTTCTACTCAACAATATAACAGTTATATTGTTGAGTAGGAAATTACAACTAACATGCAGGTTACATGTAATATTGTGTTTGCTGGATATATTGGTCTGTCTAATACATATACATTTAGATAAAATATTTTTATGAATGTTTCTTATTTGATATATATTTGAGGAACATTAATTGGATAATTATCATTTTAAATCATAACATTTATATATGTTAATAGGTAATTTTATATTTCGTTTATATTATTTTACTAAATATATATGATATATTTGATTTATTAACAGATATTGAGAATAAAACATCTCTTGATATAATCGCTTTAGAATACGAAGATTCTGATTTAGATGTGAAAGAAACAATACTGAATAAAGAAGAGGCCAAGAATCAGCATATTGTGAAAATTATAGATGCACAGATAGATACACAGATAAATATACAGGCAGATGTACAAATAGGTTTGCAGGCAGATGCACAAACAGACACACAAGCAGATGCACAAACAGATACACAAGCAGATGCACAAACAGATACACAAGCAGATGCACAAGTAGATACACACACAGATATACAAAATTTGCATCAGTATCGTCAAAAGATAGATGAAGTATTATTGAGTGACTCTAGCGATAGTGAGAGTGATTCCAGTAGCAGTAGCAGTACAAGTACAAATACTAGTAGCAGGGATAGCAGTAATTCTTCAGACAATGATAGTGATAATTCAGATGACAACGATGACAATAAGTATGTATCGTTATTTTTCTATAGGAAATAAAATATGATATACATACATATTTTTTTCCCTTGATTTATGAAAGTTGAAGTACAAACTTATGATTAGTGTTTTTAGGATGAAGAAAAGAATAAAAATGAACACACTTAAACCGGTACAAATACAAAGTGAATTGAATGGTCTACCACCAGTGGAAGATTTAAAGATTAGTGTTTCAGAAGTTACCTGTGATTTATTTGGTGAGGTAATAATGTTGTAAGACATTGCTTTATTTTATTTCCATATATTTAAGTACTGCAATATATTAAATGTTCTAGATTATTGGGATAGTGGAGGAACTAGTAATTATAAAACCTCGAGCCGAAAAGCCAGCGCTCCGAGAGGAAACAGTTTTATTCATAGAACAGGGCCAGAAAACACTCGGCAAAATATTCGACATATTCGGTCCCGTTAAAGAACCACATTACACTATTCGTTTCAACAATGTCGAACACATACAGGAGAGACAAATCACTGTGGGCACGCCAGTTTATTATTGTCCTGATTCGTGCTACACGTTTTTTGTTTTTTTATCTGAACTGACGAAGTTAGTATTTTATATATTTTTATTTCCATCCGTATTCATATTACGTTATGGAGTAAATTTTTTATTTTATAGAATAAAAGGTTCCGATGCAAACTGCGACGGTGGCTCTGATGGTGACCATCCGGATTTTTCGGACGACGAAGAGGAAAAGCGTTACTATGAAAAGCTGAATAGACAGCGAAGAAACCCCGCACGCAGTTCAGGCGATGGTACACAGAAATCGTCCAAACGAATGTGTACATTGAGTAAGTGTTATATTTCTTCTCGGTCTTGTCTCGATGAGTGACGGAAAATTTATGACCTGTTTAGATATATAAAAATTTGTATGTTAGAAAATAAATCTTTCTTTTTCTTCGCACAGAGACAATTAACATTGATCCTATCCTTTTATAGATTCTACTCCCACGTTAACAAATTCTACGGCAAATACAGTTGGTTCGAGAGCTCCTACTCTAAGTACGTCCAGTTCGAATTCAACTGGCTGCAGGCCGAGAAATGCGCGAGACGGAAACTATCAATTTCAAGGGCACAGTGAATATGGACATCGACCGACCTGGAGAAACAGTGGTCAATTGAATCGTGCAAATCAATTTAATGTGTATCGGCCGTTTTATGGTAATCCGAGGAATGCGTGCTTCACATATGACATGTCGCCGCTACATCGAGCAAGATACCCCACACCACCTTTCAACGTGCCGCCGTCGTCACAGTATTCTAATTCAGATGATTCGGATTATAGGAATCAATATTATCCGGCTGCTGATATGAACACACAATATGATTATGTCTCTCGATATCCCAATCCTTCCTTTGCCGACCAAACTTCTTGGAACCCTTTGTTTTACAATTCCAATTATCCCATGGCGTTTGTACATTCTAGTGCTCAGTATACCCATACATTTTGGCCGTCCGCATCATTACCTCTACCGCCGCCGCCACCGCCTCCACCACCGCCTTCGCCAATGGGCTCAACAAATAATCAATAGAACTCAGTTTGATAGACGTGTTATGGACGGTGTATATACAATTGTATATATAAATACATATATATATATATATGTGTGTATGTTTTTTTCCTTTCTTTTTTGTGAGATATTTTAAAGCTGAGGTCGCAACCAATTCATTAGAAAACCAATACTTGAGAATGTTTATAATTTTACAGTTTTTTCTCACCGTCAAAATAGAAATAACGAAATATTTGTTCATCAAATAAATCTGCAGTTTCTTCTCATTTCACTTATTTGATTAAGAAGTCGTGGTCTTTTAACTTGTTCGTAACAGGCTCATCTAATCTCTTTTCCGCGATCGCGATATCGTTCTTTATCTCTTTGATGAGTTCCTCTGCAAAGATAAATAATGCCGAATGATAATTGCATAGAAATACGAAATTATTTCGAATTCTTTTGGAATAATCATTAATTTATTGGTATATATTTTATATCCTTCGCTGTATTGATTTTATATTAATTATCACACATAATTGTATCATGTATATTACCTTCAGACGAGAAGTCCTTTTCTGGTCGTATGTAACCAGCTATAATTACTTTAAGTTCTTCACCGTACAAGTCATCTTGAAATTTGTGTAGTAAATGGACTTCCTGTAACACGACTCAAATGTGATACTTCTCTCGCGTGATGCGATGAATATCTTGATGTTTATAATTTCATTCTATTTGAATAGTAGTTAAGCGTGACACTATATATTTTATGACACTATTATATTATGACAATTGCTTGTGATTATCGAGAAAAATATCTTTTTACACATCGTTGTCATTTGTCCTACCACTGATTTCTTCTCATTCTTATAATATGGATTCCATCCGATACTTGCGACCATCTTATAAATTTGTTTCTGCAACGAGGCCCAGCCATAATAAATTCCAGTGTTTAAGTCGTCTGGCAAGGTATTGACCACGGATTCCGAGAAGTTAGCTAATGTTTGAATATATCAGGTAGTTTGAATAATATATGTTATTTTTATTAAATTAGTGAAATTTCTTCGACATTAAACAGTGATCAGATACGAATTTAAATATTTGGAATATATCGCGTTTGTAAACTAGCATCGTATCACACGTATGATCGTTATGGAAGAAACGAGAGGGAAAAGAACAACCACATTCTAGTTTTTAAAGAAACAGTTTAATTAACGGACACGATACTGTTAGAAAAAGTATGAAACGAATTATTTCAGCTGTATAAAGAGAAGAAAGCGAATTGACGAGCGATAAATATAAACTGTGTAGACAGAAATCCGAAGAAGAAAAATGAATGTTAAAAAGTATCGCGGATCGATGATCGATATTTATTTGTCAGCGATAGAATAATAATGTTCGCAACAAACAAATACAAATTGATATGTATCTCCACTAGTCTGCAACCGCAATATAGTCTGTATTTAAGGTTTGCTGCGATTCAAAGTTCAAATCTGCTTCGCGTCCGTTCGCAACGCGAACAGATTTTGTCGATTTGAAATTAATCTTGCACACGGTTGCGCAAAACTTCTAACTCGTAACAAATGAAAATCTTCGATCATTGTTCGACATACGGATTCAAGAGAGTAATGAAATTCAATTTTAATTCAATATTAATGATCACATAAATAGCAACTCTGATCACTTTTCTCTCTTTTTTTTTTTTTTTCATTGGATAGAATATGTTTTTACCGATATGGACTCGCTGTGAAGATTTAATTCAAATATCTTACATTTCCGACAAAATTCTCAAAATGGGTACTACCTGTCGGAATACCTAAGGCCTTTGAACCTCTGCCAAAGCCTTTGACGATGGTTCCGGCTGCGAAATACGGTAATACCTTGTTGCACATAATTCTCGCTCATCGACAGACACACTAATCGACGTTATTCTACAAGTCGGTCACTTGAAGGCACTATCAGTCGACAGATTGTCGACAAGGTCGACAGAAATATGAGATTGATAATACGACGTAGCATGTGATAACGATTAAGTAACGATGATACGAATCACTCGCTTGATATTTGACTCTTAGCTTTGTGACGACGTAAAGACGACGGTCGTGCGACAATCATTGTAAGACACCTCAAATATATGCCTCCCTGTCTTGTGAAATCTTGTGAAAATCCAATAAAACTTTGCGTATTTTGATGTGTGTCAAAAGCGTATGATAATTGAAAGCATCACTCAATACATTGCAAAAAAATATGGATTTGTCGAAATTGATGTTTTGAAGGTTAGGATAGCTGTCATCTGTGCAAACGGTTGCGTGTACTGCCGCTTATATTATATAACATAACATAACATAATTATATGCGTAATTATGTGTGGTGCACTACATAATTGTATATTGTGTACGTTATATTATGTACAAACATGTAATAAGATTTTAACAGACGAGTTCACATATAGAAAATTCTTTGTAAAACACACACGCACATATACACACACACACACACATATATATATATATATACAGGGTGTCCCATTTAACCTGACAAATCGTAATATCTGGAAAACTACATGTCGGATCAAAAAAAGTGGGTAATGAAATTTGTTCGCCTCGAAGGGGGATATCCAATGATATCAAACTCGACCTCCCATCCCATTCTCAGGGGGTAGGGGTGGGGGGCAACTTTGAAATCTTAAATGGGAACCCCCATTTTTTATTGCAGATTCGGATTCTACACCACAAAATACATAAGTTTCGTCCGAAATTTTTTTTTTATTTGTGATAGATGGCGCTGTAATCGCAAAAAATTAGATTTTCTGCAATTCTCCAGAAATGATCATTGGATTGAAAAATAAAATACCTGTTCAATATTTTTAAAAATATTTTTAAAAAATATAATAACAGTTATTCCCCCCATCCCCTCGGGGTAGGGTGGGTGGTAACGTTCAAATCTCAAATGAGAACCCACATTTTTCATTGCAGAATTCGATTTTACATGAAGTTTTTATGGAAACAATTTTTCTCATTCGTGATAGATAGCGTTGAATTTTTCCGAGAAACTACTTTTAGCGTTACCCAGGAACAACGACGAGGACGTAGTAGCTTTCTGTTCCCTTCGGGGTGCTTGTTTTAGGTGAGTTCCCTCGCCTCTCACCATCGGGGTGATTTTGCATAATTAATTTGTTAGTGGCATCTCTCCATCGTCCGCGCCCATAGAACTTAAGAGACGATCATTATTAGACACTTACCTTTCTAACTAGAAGAGGTGCTTAATCAATTTTTGAAGAGTGTTCCATGCCACTATCATTTTCTTCTGACTTTGCATCATGGATTATGTAACTGTGCAAGAAAAAATTGAAATGATTTTCATTTATGGCGAATGTAGGAGAAATTTTGACGATGCTGTCAATTTGTATGCTGAGCGTTTTCCTGAAAGAGTACGATCACGTTCTTCTTTCGTCAGAGTTGTTACGAGGCGAGGGGACTCACCTAAAACAAGCATCCCGAAGGGAACAGAAAGCTACTACGTCCTCGTCGTTGTTCCTGGGTAACGCTAAAAGTAGTTTCTCGGAAAAATTCAACGCTATCTATCACGAATGAGAAAAATTGTTTTCATAAAAACTTCACGTAAAATCTAATTCTGCAATGAAAAATGTGGGTTCTCGTTTGAGATTTGAACGTTATCACCCACCTTACCCCGAGGGGATGGGGGGAATAACTGTTATTATATTTTTTAAAAATATTTTTAAAAATATTGAACAGATATTTTTTTATTTTTCAATCCAATGATCATTTCTGGAGAATTGCAGAAAATCTAATTTTTTGCGATTACAGCGCCATCTATCACGAATCAAAAAAAAAGTTTCGGACGAAACTTACGTATTTTGTGGCGTAGAATCTGAATCTGCAATAAAAAATGGGGGTTCCCATTTAAGATTTCAAAGTTGCCCCCCACCCCTACCCCCTGGGAATGGGATGGGAGGTCGAGTTTGATATCATTGGATGTCCCCCTTCGAGGCGAACAAATTTCATTACCCACTTTTTTTTATCCGACATGTAGTTTTCCAGATATTACGATTTGTCAGGTTAAATGGGACATCCTGTATATATATATAATTAAAGCGGTAAATTATTATTTTCATATTTTATTCGTCAATATAGTATCAAATTTTATTTGTATTCTCGAAGGATATGCACAATATTTGTAAATATTGTACGACACTGTTATACAAAAGATATTAAGAAGTCTATATATATACATAATAATAAATAGAACTCTGTATAAAATGTTGTGTGCGTGGTCAATATACATGTAAGCATATTATACATATATAACCAAATTATGTTGCGTAAATCATAATATCAATCATAATATATCAAAAGGATCAACATTTACCGGTCTTTGCAGTTTCTACTTTCCAACAGCTATTTAGAGCACTATACTGTTAAGTACGAGGGCAGTCTGAAAAGTTCTCGGCCTGACACATAGATGGCATTAGAAACTGTCAAACTATAATTGTATTGGAAAGTGGCATCCCTGATATAAACCCATGTAAAATTTTATTTCGATCTGTCAAGTCATTCGAGTAGTAGCACCAGTTTCATTGTCTTTTTTAAAATGGAAAAAATTGAATATCGTGCAGTGATTAAATTCTTTGTTTTCGCACAGATGGTTTAACACCAACAGAAATTCATCCGAAATTGTTAAAAGTGTATAAGGATGCATCACCTTCACTTTCCACTGTGAAAAAATGGGCTGCTCTTTTTAAATCTGTACAAGCCTCGAAGATGATCCACGCAAAGGTTGTCGGCAAAAACTGCTACAACACCACAAAACATTCAATAAGTCCATGATATGGTGTTAGATGATCGGCGAGTGAAAATGCGTGAAATAGCTGAGGCCATAGGCATCTCGAAAGAACGAACTGGAAATATTTTGCATGAAGAATTACATATGAAAAAGCTTTGTGCAAGATGGGTGCCGCATTTGTTAACAATTGACCAAAAACGCATTCGAATGCGTATTTCTCAAGCGTGTTCGGATCGTTTTAAGCAAAACGGAAAATGGATTTCAAGCGTCGTTTCATAACTGTTGATGAAACTTGGATCCACCACTATACACCAGCGCGAAAAGAACAGTCGAAACAATGGATCGAAGCCGGTGGACGTGCACCAAAGAAGGCAAAGACGGTTCCATCAGCACCGGCAATCAGGAAAGCAATCAGGAAAGATTATGGCAACAGTTTTTTGGGATTACAAAGATGTTTTGTTGTCGATCGATTATCTTAAGATAAAACGATTAACTCTGAATATTATTGTAACCTTTTGGATCTATTGGATGCAAAAATTCGTGAGAAAAGACCTGCTTTAAAGAAGAAAAGAATCGTTTTCTATCAAGACAACGTGTTCATACAAGTGCACGTGTTCATACAAGTGTTTTGACAATGGCAAAATTCAACGAATTAAAGTACGAATCGCTTCATGAACATCCAGCATATGCACCAGACTTGGCTCCCTCTGACTATTATCTGTTTCCAAATCAGGAAAAAGGTCCAGGAAAAAATTCCTGGTTAGAAAGCATTTTACATCAAATGACGAAGCTATTGCAGCCGTGGATGAATATTTTGCAGACCTTCCGGAATCACACTTTAATAATGGTATTGAATTATTGGAAAAACGTTGGAATAAATGTATTGAAGTTTTAGGAGATTATATTGAAAAATAAAAAATATTTCACGGCAAAAAAAATTTTCTTTCATTGTTAGGCCGAGAACTTTTCAGACTGCCTGCGTACAAGGTGAGGAGCAAAAATCTAAACGAGGAGAAACACATGTTCACACTCTCTTCATAGTCTTCTAATAGTTCTTTATTTGCTGTAAAACTATGTCTTTAACAAATTGCAGAATATACGTGTACGTATGAAATATCGTCAGTCGTTTGAATGGCTTTCAACACGACCGAATATTGAATAATAACGAAATTACTCGGAAAACGATCCATGGAATTCCGTGTTTGGACATAGCGGATCATCCACCATCTTCTCCTCGCGGATTCGATGCGCTTCATAATAACGATGAATAATACGCGATAATTTAAACCGACATAAATTAAATATCACACACATAGGGGGTTTTGTGTTATAACTGAGATGCCCTTATAAGCAAAATTATCCGTAGAAATTTTACATCTATGCGATACTCTGGATACTTCACACTGTTACTCTGTTACTCTTCTTTTCTCAACCGTCTGTCTTTTATGTAATAATCGCGACACAGACTTTGTGACATGCTTTACAAAATGCGGCGGATCTTTTGACAATTCTACATGTATACACGCGCGCGCGCACATGCCGCAAGAGTGATTACACACGTACGGTATACTGCAAACTCGCCAAGTGTGTGTGACTCGAGTAAACATTGCCTACATATACAGATACAGACGATACAGATAATGTTACGAAATCCTCGCTCGATCTTGACGAACTGTGTAATTAGTAGAAGATAAGTTGAAAGAAAAAGAATCGAATTGTACGAAATAAAATCGAGATGTGTTCCCACACAGAAAAAAAGATGCATCTCTGAATAGTCGAACATAGTACTTTTCTGTAATTCTCGATTATTTTGTATGTCGATGAGAAAAGATTTACACGAGCACACCTCTGGAACTCAAGCAAAGAGGAATACATGGAAAAATTAATTGTATTATTTACATGGTATGTACAGGTACATGAAATTACAAGCTCTGCTCGACGAGGTCTCCCCTTGCCGGACACTCGTGGATTGAAAAAAGCGTAGAGTTCTATCTGGTCGAGGATTCTCAAATAACTCCCCCCCCCTCTTCCTCCTGCAGAATTTTACAATTTCGCGTACGACGATGGGCGAGATATTCTCTCGACTCTGATTCCCGGCGATGTAGATTCGAGAATTGAAACCGATGTCAGTTTTCCGCTCGCTCTCTTTTTCCCTTTTCACTTCTGTGTTCATCCTTGCGGCATCTCCACTGGGAATAATCCGAACTGATCTCGGGATATCGCGCGTAACACACAGCGATTTCCATTCTCGTTAAGATTTTCCTCTTAAAAAAATACACGAATAAGACAGCTTTGCTATGCTTTACACGCAGTATATTACGTATTACGAAAAAACTCCCACGATACATGCAAGATTTAACGTGTCTTTATTACATATGAAATGACCGGCATATCTTCTTTACTGCGTTATATTATTATTATTATTATTATTATTATTATTATTACTGTTATTATCGTTACCATTATCGTTAATGTTATTATTACTATTATTATGTTTAATCAAACTTGTTCTCGATTCTCTACGGCTTGACTTAAGCTTCTGCAGACGCACACATTCACATTCGCGGTGACTATCTGATTCGATGTCTTCTTTTATTTTTATATTTTTATGTTTGGAGTTGCTGCATGCGGCGTACAATAGTAAGAAAACTTTCTCATATACACGAAGATCAGCATAACAGCCGATTAACATTATGAAGTTATATCGTTTTAGAGTTGCCCATATGAGATGTGTTTGCCCTCTAGAAGGATATAACTTTATATGTTAAGATCATTATGCTGGTCTGTGCATCCCGCATCATTCCTTCCCGCATCCTCCGACGTACGAACGTTTATCTCAAGGAAACACGCGATTTTATTATTATTATTATTATTATTATCATTATTATCGATCTAATTTGGAGAAAACGCAGGCATTTTTTCGGATTAAACTATTCAAGGCATGCCGCATGTACAACTAGCTAACTACAGAATCACTATTATTTTCTATGGTTTTTCTTTGTCACATTATACTCGTCTGGTTACTATAATGAAAATGATACAATAACTAATAAATCGTAATATTTATACCACTAATCAATGATCAATTAATTGAGATGGCCATTCCTCATTCATGAAGGAATAATTAATAAGTAAATAATCTTTATATCTATCTTCGTAGCTTTAATTTCTAATCTTTTTTTCTTTAATATAAGTGCTTATCATATGTATTTTCAACAAGGTATCCTCGACAGTATTTAACGTAACAGTCTGCCAACAGCGCAAGGATCTAAAGTGCATCTCAATCTTAATTTTCGCTCTCATCTCTCTCTCTCTCTCTCTCTCTCTCTCTCTCTCTCTCTCTCTCTCTCTCTCTCTCTCTCTCTCACCCATTCTCTCTCTCTCTCTCTCTCTCTCTCTCTCCCCCTCTCCCTTTCTTTCAGTCACTGTTTGAAAGTTCCGTTTCTCACTCGATAAACTCTTGGCCGCAACAGTATAATCTTTCAATTCAACCTCAAGATCAATGAGTTAACAACGCAACGTGTCATGCAAGCATTACTGAAATTCTGTAATATTGATTACATTTGGCAAAGCGACATGTAAACTCGCTGTTTAATCTTTCCTATTCGTAATAGGCCCCGCGTGTGCGGAGACGTATATTCCTCTTTTTTTTTTTTTCTTTCAATTTATTATATCGTGAATGCATTCCACAGGCATCTAGGCACAACAGATATAAAAGTAATACACTCAGAAGTATCCAGATATTTTTTTTTTCATAGCAATCTATTATCTTTAAAATAGCACTATCATATACATCCTAAGATAACGCACATCGGCGTTTATTCTTTCTCTTTCTTTTTTTACTCCTCGCATCTCTGTCTCTTTCTCTCTCGTTATCTCGTTATTTGCTCTTTCTCTTTCTTTCTCCCCCTCCCTCTTACCCTCCTCTCCTTTCTTACTACAACGAGCCTGTAGTGTTAAAGCAAGTACGTATATTATTTATTATACATCATTTATTATATATCATTTTGCACATAAACGGGAACGTCATTCGCAGAGGTATTAACACGACAAGCTCGCATAGCACAATAGTGGGTTACAACATCGAGCATTTACAATACGGTCTTACAATTTCGATCACATTTCCCGCGCGATTAAACCTCCCCATGTATATATATATATATATTTCTTTTTTCTCTCTCTTGTAGAATTTTCCAAATCCGTTACAATCGCGATATCTGCAGTATTGTTTACGTACATTATTCATGTATTATCTTATATGAGAGATGTAGAGCAGAAAGATGTAACGCGCGCGCGCACCCCCGAGTGTCAACCAACGGTGGAGATTCTACGAGTGAAGTATTTAGGACCTTTTTCGCTTACTGTGTACGCGCCTCATCACGTTGTCTCACAGCGGGACGCGTGATTGCGATAATGTCTCCTGTCAGCTGTAATTTTCGTTCTCACAATGAATGAACAAATAAATACCAGACATCTATAACGAACGAGTAGCCATCACCGTTAGCTCCTACGATACCTATACACCGTTTCTTTAAATCGTATGTAAACACGACGAGAGAGAACGCACAGCATACACGGAGGTTTCCCTATTTCTCTCTTCCCCTCTCAATTAAAAGAAAATTACAATATGATGCATGTTGCGATAACAATAACGGTATTATTAATGTTGCACAATCGAGATGACAGCCGAATTATTCGTTTGTTCATTCGCGTTATCGCCGTTTCTCCCTCCCGAAAAGAAAGCTAACTCCCGATGTTGCTGCAGCAAAATAAAGGATACATGGGAAGGGGATGCGGTAGAGACTAGCAATTGTTAGGATCTGGCGGCGTGACAAGATATTCATCAGCGCGTTTGTGGTCGGACAACGCTCGCATCGTGTACGAGTCCTGCGGTAAATCACTCTTCCTTCGTAAAAGCGGTTTCACTTTGTTCACATTTGTCATTTTCTTCGCCTTGAAAAAGAAATATAATACGCAAAGCGTTACAAACGTTTATTCCTTCTCCCCCCGTGGTAGTACAATGTTACCTCGAGCAATTCTTTCTACACAACGACGTAATTGGATAACTAGATTGTACCTCGTTAGCCTTAGCTTCGATCTTCTCCAAAGTGAGCGGAGATTGATCCGTGTCGCCGTCCTCGTCAGGCGGCGAATTGTCTATGTGCTGTGGCGAAATGTACGAATTGTTCGTTGTGCCTTTATTAGACAAGTTATAATTCGGGTGTCTCATCGCAAGCGCCTCCACGCGCATCCATGCCTCGTCCCGATCTTTCATGAGCTTCCGCTCTCTCTGACGTTCCTGCAAAGAAAGCACAAGATCGAAATAGATAAGGATCTCACAGGCGCAAGATAGCGCACGGCTGTCGCCGTAGCGTGCCGAGAATAAACAAATGCCGGCGCTTACGAGACGTACGTGATAGTAATGCGTAGTACATTCGTCGAATACTTTTTGATTCATCTCCATGAATAGTTTCAGGGCGTTGTAGATCAGACCGTGTATCGTCTTGTTCCAGTGATTGCGGGAGTTTCTATAGAAAGCTGGATACATGATCGGTAAGATGACCGCGTAATTGTCCGATATCAGAGACATTATGTACTCGTTGTTCCAATAATAGAGAGCTCTTTCCGCCACCTGAAACAACGAGCGAACTGTAGAATGTCGTGCGAAATAAGTGCAAAGACGGACGGACGGACGGACGCACGCATGCACGCACGGGTGCGTAATACTTACTTGGAAATGCGGCGACGACACGCATTTGGCTAGCTGCCTGAACAACGGATCCATGACTTTTTGGAATTCGGCCGGCTCAATAACATCCAATATCTCCTCGAGCTCGTTCAAGAACATGACTTCCTTCGGGGAATGTGTTTTTGGCCAGAATTTCAATAGGTTCCTGATCACAGGCTCCGTCAACGACGGGTCCTTCTCCAGAAATTGGACGACACAGTACGCCAGTTGCGGATGGTATACGGACAATGACTTAGCTTTATGCAAGGGTAACAGAACTTTCAACAAGAATACCTTGTGCTCTTCCTTCAATGGCAGGGCGAAGCCGTTAATAATACTGCGCAGGAAATAACATACCGCGATAAATATACCTCGCCTCTTCCAACGAGTGAAGAAATCGAAGGAGATCGCAAAAGAGCCTCGACTGTACAGTCTTACCTTCCTAAAATCTCGAGTAACTCGGCAATACCGTTGTGATGTTCCGTTTCGTATATGAATCGATAAAAAACGTTGTTTATCTGTTTCCTAATGTACGCTCTAAGCCCCAGAAATTTTCCATAGATTCTATGCAGAGTCGTCTTGAGGAAGTCCCTCTCTCGCGGATCCTCCGAGTCGAACAGTTCCAACAGCTGCAGCACAAACTTTTGGTCTATGTAGCGCTTCGCTATGGACGGTTGAAAGTCCTGCGATTCCAGCAGTCGCAAGAAGAACTCGTAGACGAGCTGTAAATGAGGCCATGCTGCCTCTAACGTCGGCTCGTCCTCTTCGGGATCGAACTCGGCGCCATTGGGATTCGACGATGGCGGTAACGTTCGGAATAAATTTACGGCGAACTGCAAGTAGTAATTAACGTTTCATTCGTCATCGTGGAGTCTCTCGTCACTTTTGAATTCACAAGAGCAATAATTTCGTCTAATCATGCTCTTGCGCCTACACATAGACGGAGAGAGAAAAAGATAAATAGATAGATGGATAGATGGATAGGTAGCGAGAGAGAGAGAGCGAGAGAGAGAGAGAGAGAGAGAGAGAGAGAGAGAGAGAGAGAGAGAGAGAGAGAGAGAGAGAGAGAGAGAGAGAGAGCAAGAGAGAGAGAGAGAGAGAGAGAGAGAGAGAGAGAGAGAGAGAGCAAGAGAGAGAGAGAGAGAGAGAGAGAGAGAGAGAGAGAGAGAAAATTGGAAAGATGTAATGCCGCTTACCATATTCACTGCTTCAGGATAAATCGTTTCGGTAATAACGTTTTTATTTTTGGTTACATACTCGACCATCTCGTGGAGAGCGGTCCGTTTCACTTCCTTCCATTTCAAATCCGATAGGGGATCGGACTCGAAGTCAAAGAGCACACAGCATTGCCGCAGCTTCTGTATGAAAAGTTCCTCCCGCTCATTGCCCTGTTGTGTTTCTGAAATCAGATTGCCTGATGATTGATCGCACCGTACTCGGCAAGCTTTTACTTCGGTGAGGAAATGAGAACGATAACGGCAGGCGCGGCGAACGCGCGTCTGGTGTGCTCATCGTCGTGTCGCTATTAATCACGTCTGCATGAATATCGATATGTGTGCAATGCCGAATACGAGAGAGACAACGGGAATTCATTTTTCTTTTCTTTTTTTCTTTTCTCCCGGTCGTTCGCTCGCCTTCGTACGAATTACTTCGCCGACGTGACCAACAGCTTCTCTCAACCATCTTCGCACCTGCGCGAATCATGACCATCTTCTTCTTCTTCACACCATTGAGATACAATTTTTTCGATGATATTAAACCTGCAGAATTGTTTACACACATGCCATATTTCAGCGTCGTGACATCATCGATGCGCCAAGTTTCCATTCTACGGCGGAAACACGACGACGAGCTTACGACTATTATCGCGCAATTACCGCGTTGAAATACATTATGCAAACACCCGGTATATTAATATCCTCTGTTCCGAAACGGTCTTACGGTCTTGCGGTCTTTGACTAAACGAATGCGAACAAAGTCGCCTTTAATCGAGAATTCTTTCGATAACGAGGGGGGACGCGCTCGCGCTAGAGCGGTATAATTTTCTGCCCACAAAGACGAAGAACACGCGATCGTAATCGATATTTTATTTGCTTCTCCCCGTGTCTTTTGATCCAACGTAAAACCGGTCGTTCCAGATGTTAATGGAGCTCCGCCGCTTTCGGCCGGTTATTCCATCACGAAGGGCATGTGCCGTTACCGCGCGAGGCCGCTTTTGTTCAATATTTAATATATGCAATTCTTAACGGCGAACTTTCCGATTTGAAGTTTCAAAGAGAGAGAGAGAGAGAGAGAGAAAGAGAGAGAGAGAGAGAGAGAGAGAGAGAGAGAGAGAGAGAGAGAGAGAGAGAGAGAGGGCCAGAAGGACTGTCGTTTTTTTTCATTTAATCAATCCCCGGCTTCCGCGACCGAGGTCGATCACGACCTTCAAAACACGACCACGACACCGGGGAGGAGCATTATTTATCGCCTACTATTCCGGGCGATCTCTATGGCAGAAGTAATGAAATCGATTGTCGAAGTTACCGCGAGTGGCCATCACTCAACCATGTCAACGTGAACGTCAGGCCCCCGTCGAATGACCTCCGGAGACGAGCACGGAGAGTTGCTTCCGTTACATACATACAACAACGCCGGTTCTTGCGCAATGTAGTAAAATTTAATCGCTCAAACGACACGATTAAATCTTACTATGTCGTGCGCAAGAAGCAAAGTCAAGGACTGCAAGAGCAAGACTACGCGAACGATGGAGAGTAGCTTTACCGATCAGGAGAGGCTGCAGCGGCTGATGGTGCAACGCGAACGTCACCGGGTATGCTTTGTTTGAGTCCTGAGGCAACACCGTCGCCAAGGCGAGACCCTGGTGGAAACTGGGGCTCTTAGGCAGCCCACCGCCCAGAGACGGACTAATACCACCCACGTGAACCATCGCGCGATATCAATGTACACGCAGAGACAGAGAGAGAGAGAGAGAGAGAGAGAGAGAGAGAGAGAGAGAGAGAGAGAGAGAGAGAGAGAGAGAGAGAGAGAGAGACAGAGAGAGACAGAGAGAGAGAGAGAGAGAGAGACAGAGAGAGAGAGACAGAGACAGAGAGAGAGAGAGAGAGACAGAGAGAGAGAGAGAGAGACAGAGAGAGAGAGAGAGAGAGAGAGAGACAGAGACAGAGACAGACACACACACACACACACACACAGAGAGAGAGAGAGAGAGAGAAAGAGAGAGAGAGAGAGAGAGAGAGAGAGAATCAAGTCACGACTTTACACTCGCGCTCTTACTCCGACGATGCATCAGCGAGTCCTCTCTCCGATGCGCTCCACCTGGAAATCGAGCGATGTACGATCCGTTTCGATGACTTCTCGTTGTGCCGATCCGCGACTCGCGGGAACGTTCACACACACTCACCGGGATTTATTTATTTATTTACTTCACGGGAAAGATCCTCTTTATTTGACGAGAGATAGTCGTTGTTTCTCGATGACGTAATTGCGATCAATAAAATTGGCTGCTTCGTTTCGTGATTTCTTCGCTCTTGAATTTCTTTTCAGAACCACAGCGCGTCGTCGTTTGTTCGTCAGGACACAACAATTCGAATTTTGAACGGTAGAAAATCGAAGCATCCGCGTCAGCGCGGAATTACAATTTAGTATTTCGATCGCCAAAGTAATCTCACACGACGGACGACGGAATTGCGGCGGATCTCCCGGATTTGACGAATCCGAAGCTTTCTGGACGGCAATTTCCAAAGAGTGTTTTTATCGCACCCACCACGATCATCCGCCGATTTGTCCCGACGGGGATACGTAGAGTTTTATTAAACCGCGGCGATCGGTGTCGGCCTTCAGCAACAGATCCCGCGTCACTTTTACCAGCTCTTCCCACGTCGATCGCGCGCGAGCGAGGAAATATGTGCGTGCGATCTTATGCGTCTCGCCAAGCCATGTGGAAACATAACTGTACCACGACGTAAGTCAGACGCAAGTCTCGTCCACCCTCGAGCCACGAGACAGACGAGTCGTTTTTCTTCCCTTTTTATCGCCGAATCGCGAATTACACGGTCGCGTCAAACGGCAGCAGCAACAGCAGTTGCATCGTCGTTTCACTTCCAGCGGAGTCACTCGTCGAAACGCGCAATTTCTCTCGGCAAAGACTCGTCGATCCTGTTTCGCCGAAGCGATCAGCCTTTTCTCCCATGCGAGTCGACGTCTACCGAGTCTTCCGCGCGCTACGAGAGCCGATCCATGGAGGCGCGCCCACCCTTAACCGAAGAGATCTCGATGAGACAACGGCCGTGGATTCACCGGACAGCCGCTCCAACGACGCACCAGCACCGAGCAGCAGTAGCAGCACCTAGGTGTCTACCGCTGATTCTTCGACCGAAGTAGTTCGTTGTTTAACGCTCGCAACAATCTGTTGCTTCATCCGCGACGTACCGGCGATCGATCGGCCAGGAAGAAAGGCGACCACACACAAGCAGAGCTTTCTCTCTCTTTCCCTTTTTCTCTCTCTCCTCTTCCCGGCTTCCTCTCACTTCGGGGTTGCTCGGCGCGCTGCGATGCCACCCCCGTGACACGCCGGCGAACACTAGAACGCGCGTTCCTCCGGAACCCGGTGACCGCATTCGAGAGGGGGCGGCGGCCGCAGGAGGAGGGGTAGGCGAGATTCGCCTAAGTGGCATCACCGAGGTCGACGAACTCGCTGCCGGTCCTCGCCGGGACCTCTCTCTCTTTCTCTCTCTCTCTCTCTCTCCCTCCCTCTCTCTCTCTCTCTCTCCCCCTCTCTCTCTCTTTCTCGATCGGTCACGGGGTCAATACACCCTTCCGGATGCACTCGCTGCGCCCCAGGTGTTAACCAGGTGGAGCTCTCGCTAGGGTGCTGGACCCAGAGCGGCGGCGGCGGCGGCGGCGGCGGCGGCGGCGGCGGTGGCGGCGGCGGCGGTGGTGGTAGCTGGAGAAAGATCGGAAGGGGATGTCGCGAAACGGCGGCGACGCGACTGTTTACGTTGTTGGGAAAACGGGGAACCATGAATCCGGACGCAACCGAGCGCTTGCGCGAACCCCGCCGCACGCAATCGATAGACTCTGACGTAGGTAGAGAGGCACTCGCAACCCCGATTACCCGGCATCACGTTGGGAAAGGGCAGGAGAACCGATTTGTCGTCCTCCTTCTCACTCCCTGCTTCTCCCTACGTCTCCTCCTCCTCCATTACCCATTACTCTCCGCCTCTCATTTTCTCGCGTTTCATCCTCTCCGTTTCTTTCATATCATGCTCGTTTGCCTCTCGTGATCTTTAGCCTGATCTAATTGTTATAGCCACCTGTTACGTGATCGGTTTCTTCCCGCGGTTTCTTGCAACGCGTCACTCATGCTGATGTCAGTTGTCGCTAAAGGGATATATGTGCGTGCGGCCCTTGTCTTTTCACCCCTCCTCGCGCCACGATATGGATCACCGATGACGCGAGTGTAAAAGACAACGTGACGTGTTCTCTCTCTCTCTCTCTCTCTCTCTCTCTCTCTCTCTCTCTCTCTCTCTCTCTCTCTCTCTCTCTCTCAGTCCCTTCAATATCGCGCGCTTTCAACATTGGAATACAAGCACGCCACTCTTACGATACCTCGAAAGGGTTCTTTGGTTTCTCTATTCTACTCTATATTCTATTCTAGCGCCATGCGTTAAAAGAGTTCTACAACACGGGGGCTAACTCACCGGTCAACAGTGGCAGCTTCTGCAGCTCTCGATTCTTTGATATATTGAACCTCGAGCTGCTTTGCCGTTTGTCCTTCTTGATCACGGGCCCGCCTGGCTGATACTTGATTTTATTGATGAGCGTAGGTGGAGGCGGTGCATTGCCCACCGGCGGCCCCCCGGTCACCTTGTTCGCCTGTACAGGATACAAAGTAGAAACGTCAGCAGATGTGGAAATGTTCAATTAATTGCGACTTAGCGCTATGCGCATAAGTTATTTTTTTTTTTATATTTTTTTCTAAACGATCGCGCGAGTTCCGACATTCGGACGTAATCGTCCGGTTAAAGTGTGAAATCTGAACAGAAGCTGATGATTGGCGGCCACGCAGTGCAAGCGGTTACTCGTTCTCTTCTATTTAGTTTCGCGTCAACCGTTCAGGTGATCGATCGATCGCGAGCGATCGCTTACTGATCAGATCAACGTTACACAAATGGAACGCGAGGAAGCGACGCAACGCGATATGTGACGATGTGTGTAAAAAAAGAAATAGATTAGAGACACGCAATGCTTCAATAATATAACATTGTCGGAGCCGTAGTGATCGTCGATAGAGAGCGATTATTCATCATAATTATTGTTATTATCGAACAAACGGGAGAAAAAAATTTCCCTTTAAAAAATGCAGAAATGATTACGCTTATACTTGATTGTGATTAAGAGGGAAGTTTAAGAATTAAACAAACTAAAATATAAATCAGAAATATTGAATCAGAAGATAACTTAATTGTAAAAAAGCGTCATTGTATATATATATATATATAAATCTATTATAGAACAAGATGGCGTACGAAATTATTGTTCTACTATCTGATCCGACAGCAATATCGAGGACGAACTTTTAGAGAATTAAATCTCACGATGTGCCGCAAAATTGTCACTCCACCGCGAAATCGTATTATGATTAACCAATTTATCGACTTCATACGAACGAATAATGAATACTCTCGCAGATGGAGAGGTCGGCCGCCAAAGTTCACGGTCGAAGATTGCAGAGCCGTCAAGGCTCTATTATTTCAAGGAGAATTCCGCTGAGCAAGGAACCCTCCGACTGAGGGATGCGACACGCGCGGCGTCTCGCCTCTCCTTTTATCACTCAAAAGACATTCCTCGTTTTCATCGAGAGTCACTCGTTACTCGATGCGAATGCGGCAACGGTTGCAACGGCGGCGGTCGCGATCAAAATAGAGAAGTGAATATGCGCGGGGCAAGAGCCGTGGGTGGGGATAGCGCCGTTTGACACGGAGCCACCGACGTTACCACTTTTTTAACGGCTTTGTTCCAATTTACCGATCTCTATTTCTCTCGGCCGGTCAGAGTCGCCACCGCGGTCCTCGCTACGAAAGAACGACGTGCTGTACTCTGCCCACTAGTCGATGTGAAACGTGCAATCGAACGTGCACACAAATGACCTCTGAGACTTTACATTCTTTCGACGCGATTTACAAACGAAGGAAGGGTCGACATGCGCCAGTCGCGGGGTCGTCGACTTTCGCTCCTCCGACCGCTCATTCACTGCGACGCAATTAACCTTTGATACCTCGCGCTCGCAATCGAGCGAGTGAATGCTACGAGTACTACACTTCCTAGTCTTTTACGTTACTTTACGCAACAGACAGTCTTCGGCGACAATCTGCTGCATCGCGAAATAAATTAATGCGCACCCGATATATCGATATCGAGCGTGCACTCGTTGCGATCGTCATTTCACGTACATCATCGCAATACATTCCTCAGATACATTCCTCCAAAGAGCAGATTTGATCCGGAGGGACTTTGATGACTCGTTTGGCCGTTCGGAAAAAAGAGGAGGGAGGGGGGGGAGAGAGAGAGAGAGAGAGAGAGAGAGAAATTAAAATCCCAGGCGTTGATTTAAATCTCCGGCGGAGCCATCGCGCGGCTTCACTCGGAGGGGACACTTGCCTTCTTCTTGAACACGTTCCCGAAGGCGAGTCCGCTGAGCGTTTGCATTTTGCTCTGCATTCCAGTGCACGTGCCACGGTACGATCGGCCCAGGTAGGAGATTCACTATCGACACAGTCTGTCGGCAGGCCGCCCCAGGAAAAACAGTCTCGCGGCGACGTCGCGGAGCAACATGATTCTCGCATTCGCGATGACTCTTCGGCTGCCTCCTCACGGGACGAGAATCTCAATCACACACGCGGCCCGTGCGATGCGCAGCAACCGATCTCCACCCTGGCTCTCTCTTTCTCTCATGAGCTACCGAGAATATCCACTTTCCATCCTTCGTCTCGCGAAAATCCCAACGGTAAAACCCGAGGGTGCATCCCCCGAATGCACACCCGAGAATACCTCGGAGGAACACACGGCGATTTCTCTTCTTCTTTCTTTCTTTCTTTCTTTCCTTCCCAAGCCTAAAGCAGCGAATCGATTTTTCAGATACACTCTACGACCGTGTGCTGCAGTGTGTGTGTGTGTGTATGCGCGCGCGCGTGTGTGTGTGAGACCTTGCGAAACGCAAGGTTTTATCTGCCGATACGAGGAAAATGCGACTCGGTCGAGCGTAGTCCAGTGGCATGCGAAAAGTCGACTTTCAAGTTACGATTTCCACTCGGACATAGAAAGCTCACTGTGTTTCGACCGCTAATAAGGCGTTAGCGATCACATTTCGCGGGATATCCACCCGCGCTCGAAAACAAACGCGAGCCAACCGGCCTCTCTCGTGTTGCTCCTCTCGAACGTTACGAATGCATTTTACCGCGAAGTTCCGAGCTCGACCATTGAGCAGACAAAGTATGTCAACGATTAATGACGAGTCACACGATCTATTTGCAACGGCTATGCCGACTGGCGGACGTTTGCTCTTGCAACTAGGTTTGCGCGCGAAAACGCTTGCGGGCGTACGTACAAAAATAAGTCGGTGGAAGAGAAGTGTCTGGGCAAGAGCGTCGTAGACCGTTTCTCTTATCCAAGATTAGGAAAAGCGACACGGTGGCGACGTCTCCCTCTCCCTCTCCTTCTCCCTCTCTCTATCTATCTATCTATCCCCCTTTCCCACCCCCTCTTTCTATGCTGGATCCGACGTTCGCGCGGCGGCGCTTGCTGCTCGCCGCGAGTATTTTAGTCGCTTGACAATCGAAAGTGCGACGAGAGAGTAAATATTATCTTTATGTCGCTGGCCGTCACGCGATGTTCTGTAACTCAATATTTCCGAGTAGCGATATTCGGAAAAGGGGTCCTTACGTGACATAATTTACGAGCGATTTCTTCAGTATCCAAAAATTTGAATGTTTCCCCGAGATTGAACGTTTTCCGGCTGCGGTGATTATTGAAAATAAATCGGTAATCGCGATCCGTACCGACATTGTTACCGCCGCTCAATCCGCGACGTAACTCGGCTCTCAAAGTTTCACGCGGTGTTTCACCCTTGGTTCTTCCTCCTCCTCCTCCTCTTCCTCCTATTCCTCCATCTCTACCTACTCCGTGCTCAGCGACGCACGGGTCTATGATCTCGTGTGTGTGTGTATATATATATATATATATGTATATCCTCTCCGATGATAAACAAAAGCACCTATATATCGATAAACAAATAAACCGTTCAACTTTCGCAACGACCGTAAACCAGTCTCTCCTGCGCGTATCGAATTTTACGGTTCGACTCATACATAAAACATCGACCGACTTCGAAACTGGCTTTATTCAGCGACCGGAAAGCGATCGCGGTCCTCACGAACGATGACGACGAGGAGCAGCAAACCACGGAGCAGGCCTCGGTAGACGCGCGGCAGGGAATTCGCGGCATCCCCGCGCGAAAAGGGGGATATAAATATTTCCTCACGCAGCCTGCCCACACGACGATGCGCAGAGAGTATTCTCGTGGACTGATCTAGCCGCGCGCGTTCTTCACGACGCGGCGGACAAAGGCGCGCTCGGGACTGCCGCACTCGACGCGATGCGCCGCGATGGAAAGACGACGACGACGACGACGACAACGTCGTCGTCGTCGTCGTCGTCTGGTTCCCATTTGAGAGATCCTCTCGCGACACTGTTTTCTCTTGCTACGCACGGGAGAGAGTTTCTCCGAGCGAGAACTCGACCGTCGCGACGCGCGCGAACTAGTGAGCGACGAATAGAAGAGAGGAGAGAAGAGGGAGAAAAAGAGAGATGCGAGCGTGAGATACACACACACACACACACTCAGCACAGAGAGAGAGAGAGAGAGAGAGAGAGAGGAAGAGAAAAATACACGAAACGACAGCGTCGCCGACGTCGCGACGCCCGAGATCGCCAGACGAGACGCTTTACGGTGCGACGATGGCGACCGAGACGGATACGAAGACGAAGACTGAGACGGCGACGGCGACAGCGACAGCGACAGCGACGAGAGCATACTGCCAGAGGCGAGCGGCAGCGTGCACTCGTGACCGAGAATCGCAGCAGCCACTTGCGACACTCTCGTACGTACGTACATACGTACACACCGCAGCTTTTGGCGAGCGATCGGCTCTCGCGGCACGCTGCCGTCCGATCGACGCCGATCGTTCAAGGCCGCCACGTACGACCTTAACCCTCACGCCAATTACGAGGAATTACGTTTCATCTTGTGCACGAGAGAGAAAAAGAGAAAAAGAGAGGAGGGAAGTCAGTATATATACGCACACACAATATGTCTTTTCACGATACACACACACACACACACACACACACAAAACATTCATATACATTCCTACCGCATTTCTCCCTTTTTCTTTTTATGTTTTCGCACTATCTTCGTACGGAACGAGATATTGTCTGGAAAAATTTCGGCTCTCGTACCGGTCACGAGATGCGCTCTTCACGGCAAAAGGACGGTTCGAACAAGGTTTAGAGCTGAGACACGCGAAGAGAATGAAATGTAAAAGATAAGAAAATGAAAATGAAGGTCTATCCTCTTCTTTGGTTTTGCTTTGATGTGCTCGAGATGGAACGACGAGCACACGTCGTTTCAAAGACAGACGCTTGTTAAAGAGTGGTTGTTATCAACGTGGCATATAGATTACGCCGATACAACGCGAATCTGGATTATCAAAGCTAATACTCAGAAGTCACGGTATATCACAATATTTGCGCAAACTTGTAGAATATTTGAGAGTAAACGATAAACATGAAATACGGCAAAACATAATGTAGATCAGTTTGCAAGCGAAATATAAATCGCGAGTGCAACCTTATCGCAATGACGGTGTTGTGTAATGTATTTATATATCCATATATTACTTCGCGTTGCGCGACAGTGAAAAAATTTTTAGAATCAGTAAGCGATAATGACACAATAGTAGTAGTAGTAGTACAATAAGTTGACTTATCAAGAGACGCGTATACGTGCGGACGCATCATAATCTTTCAGAAGTTCATGTGCTCATTCTCGACGTGCGAAAACAGATTGTTGCTTTGCGGACGAGCGAATAGAAATCCTCGGAAATTCGAGTGGTACAGGATTATCTACCTATCTATCTATCTATCTCTCTCTATATATATATATATATATATATATATATAGAGAGAGAGAGAAAGAGAGCAATATTTTTGATAAACTCACATCAACACCTATCTCCCTTTGTCCATGCGACATGTTACATGGTGTTAACACAGAAATACGTATCGACAGAACAATTACGAACGCGGTGGCGGAGTCTTTTGTGTGCCGTGCGTTTGTCTTCCTGTCATTCGTTATTCCCTAACAATGATGATGAAGCGGGTTTAAGCGCCGCATGACGAAACGACAATGCCCGGTTACTATTTCTGAATATCTGTACAAATATGCGTCTCTCTCTCTCTCTCTCTCTCTCGTCATACGTGCACCGGGAACAGTGCGCGAGCGCGAGTTTGTTCATACACGGTTATTAGCAGGGTGACAAAAGCAACACGTGCCCGCCGCGCATTTTGTCAACGAGCCAGTCAATCGCGGTGTGGTTAAACCCGTTTTAGATGATCTATAATTCGCGATAGGATTCTACGCGCGATTTCATTGCGCGAGAGTACAAAAAGAATTTATTTGCGTTTCATTCGAAGTCGAGATTCCATCGCGATTGAGAATCGACATGCGTGCAATATTCACGCAGGGACTGTGCCGTTTCTACGATATTGCTGGTATTTGTAATTCTCGCCTGCTCCTCGCTAAAAAAGTTTTGCTATTTTCGAAAAGGGAGAGCTAACTTTGCTCGAGTCTCTCGGATAGTCGACGAAAAAGCGGCCGACGCGACACACAGCCTGGAATGCACCATCGGTATTGACTATTATTAGCGCGCTTTCTATTTCGCACGACGCTCGAAATAGAGTGCGAGTACGAGAGAGAGAGAGAGAGAGAGAGAGAGAGAGAGAGAGAGAGAGAGAGAGACGCCGTTTTCCACAGCATGCTTTCGGCGGGTGACGAGATTTTTGCGTGACAGACGACGAGATCGCTACGTGATCTCTCATTAAAGCCAGCGGCACACGGTGCTTGTTTTCGTGCTGGATTGCTTGCTGGATGAAAATATTGCATTCTGATTGGTGCACTTCCATCCGTCTTCGAAAATATACCAATCAGAACGCAGTATTTTCATCCAGCAAGCAATCCAGCACGAAAACAAGCACCGTGTGCCGCTGGCTTAACAAGCGTCACGGCGCGCCGCAACGCAGCCACGCGACGACGGGACAGTCTCGTGGTTTCTTAAAAATGAATCGCGATGCGACGAAAATGTAACGTTATTGGTGCGTGATCATCATCATCATCATCATCATCACAATTATTATTATTACCAACTTTAACCGATATCGTATCGTGCAGGCCAATAACTAAAGGCGTTGGCACGATCGTCCATGAAAACTACGCGGAGACATTATCATTGTGTCAAAGTGACAGTTTCACATATGCACACACAAACGCACTTGTTTCAGTACACGAAGCATTCATCACGTCAATAAACGTGCGTCGCAAATTGCATCACTTCGCAAGAAACGTGAAGATACGGAAGTGACTTCCACTTGGACGCATCGCCGTGACTACTATCCGCAGTCTACGTAGTCATAATTTGTGCGCGACACTTATTTTAGAAATATGCTCTCTCTCTCTCTCTCTCTCTCTCTCTCTCTCACACACACGCGCGCTGTCATGTGGCTCAGCTATCGTTAGATATACACCAACACTGCCAAATGCGATAGCTAATCGCGCAGCGATGAGCGGCCACGATTACGTCATCCTTTCACGTCGTCGTCGGTTAATAATTTATCTCATATCGACGCACGTAATGCAGGATCCCGTACACGGGCCTTAAAACATGCAGGCGTAATGCTTTTCCGTACATCACCTTGCACACCGACGAATTAAAGTTCAACACGCGGTTCGCGATCACGTGGCGGATACAGCGTCAAGTGGTAACACAAATATCTATAATGATCGCGCGAGCGAGTGAGCGAGCATACGCGTGTGCGTATGTATATATGCATAAGTGTAGCATGTTTGACATTGGATCAAGGCGCATTTAGCACCATTCATGTCTTTCTGAAACAATCAGTTGGAAAAAAATAGAGGAGCAGAGAAACTATCGTGGATTGTTAATTCCATCATTTTTCCAATATTATTTTTGCGTGTTGGGAAAAAGCCGATTTATTTAAAAATTTTCAAGGAACGTAGATTCATAAATCATGACTATAGTTCATAAATATATTATTATATTTGTAAATAAATTACGAGATGTCGATAAGTAACGAGATACAATGAAAGCAAACGAGAGTTCCTGACTTGCGCGTCTTGAATCCTCGAGACATTGCGAATCGCGATCCCACCTATGTTAATGAAGCGATGATAAACATTTACGTAATGTCACGTTACCGTTACGTGCAAAATTAATGCGACATAAATTTTGTATCGACGAGAGTAGTGCACGCAAAAGATGCGGAAAGATTGCGCGCACAATATACGACGGAATTTCACGCCAGAATGTTCGAAATGTCGAGCGCGCAGCCGGATTATGCAAAACGATTTCTTACATAATTCAATTTTCACAGGAAGGACGTCGCGAAAGTCCCGACGCGCCAATTTTTATCGTGGGTTTCCTTCGTGGGTGCGCGCGATACTTGGAGCACGTAATCGCATGGAGCGGTAATCAGGTATAATTTACGAGGAGAGAAAAAATGAAATCGTTACTGCAGAGAAAAAAGAAGGAAAGAAAGAAAGAAAAAGGACACGAAGTATTAAGTTCAAGAACGTAATCTCACGACGTCGGGGAGTGTACTTAACGTCTCGCTTCTTTGCTCGCGAGACTCGTTCCACCGCAAAACGGACCTGACACACGTGAAAGTTTTATTCGCGAAAGTATTCGCGTAACCGATAAGGCTCAGGCGAGTTTCCCTTTCCATTCGTGTAGATAACGCGCGAATTCTCCGCGGAGCAGATGTTTCCAAAACTTGCGTTCCGACCGAGTCGAGAGAGACTCTTTTATGTCTCTCGAGTGTCGTCATTCTAATTGTGAGATACATAATAAATTAATAGAAGTGATCAGGTGTCAACGAACGTTAGTGTAGACGCCACGGGACGTGTCGCCGTGAGAAGATTGCCGAATAGTTTCGGTTATTCGACGTCTCGCCACCATGAAGTTTATTTTTGCACACGCACGGTAATACGCATGGCTAGCCGTGCTTCTTGCAACATTGTACGGCGTTCGCGCGCGTTACGAGCCCTTGATGTCACAGGTGCGCCATCTAGCCCGGGACAGTTTCAACCATGCGATAACTATCGTTATCTGATTGCTCAGCGAATAACGAGCCTCTATTCTACGATTGTTACATAGCTTATCGACCGATATTACTTGCGTAAACTAATCGTGTCGCGTGTAATTATCGGCAATATAATTGCAGTCATAGAGAAAATATTTATCGCCAGATAATATACGGAATTGTCCAAAAATGCGCAATAAAGACTCTCTCATAATGACTGATATCACCGCTCAAATATAAATAAATGAATAACAGACCGCTGAGAAAAGACTGTTTCTGAAGTAATATTAAGTATTATTTAATACTTTCGTAACTTAACTTTTATACAATCACTTTTTTTGTACAATATTTATAGAAAGGAGAACTTGAATATATCTATCTCCGAAGAGAAACCTACTACAACACCATCCTTTTCTTTTCAAAATATAAATGCGTAAATTGTTGAAAAGAAGCTAATGGAGATTCTTCTCACGTCAATCAAACAAATATCAATGTCATTTATAGGAATTCAATCTTTTTAATTGTATGCTGTTTGATAAGTGAACATAGAAAGAGACATCTGTTACAATTCATTAAATCATTAAATGCTGATAACACAACAAACGGTTTTCTCAATTTGACAATTGAAGCTTAATAAGACATAACGTATAAATGTAAAACATACCGTTGTAGCTATGCTAACTAGCATATAAGCAAATTATGCTTTTTTAAAGAACGCTATTTAACACACAGCTCTGTGCTATTAATGTTGGTTATATAAATATTTCCTTAATCAATAATGCAGTCATAGAAAACTAACTGCTTCAACGCTAATTGCATAAACAGTACAATGCGCAGTTATAGCACAGAGGCCAATGAATATTGTACAAAGAATATTGTATAAAATATGATGTTATCTGCTCCAGCAAACAAAATACATGGTGGCACGTACACCATAGCATCTGGTGATAGAAATTACACAGACTTTTAGTCAATACGAGTATACTTGAAAAACCTTCAAAGCTCTTGGATAAATTCAACGAGGAATTGTTACAAGATATATTATACGCACGTACGGATAAACATATCCATAGGTGCGCATACCAGACAAGGTGGACGTGTCAAGGTCTCGCAGAAAACCGACCAAAAAGTCAGTAAGACACACAAGATGTCGGGACGTCGGCCATGCGGCCGATCTGTCATCGAGAAACTCCTCTTCGATTGCATTCAAGTAGGACACAAAGGGCAACGACGTATACTGTGACGACACGATGAAAACGTAAACGTCACGCGCATCTGCACTCGACAATTTGCGATCACAGAAATTACGATGTATACGGTAATAGAAAGAGGAACAACAAGGGATACAGTGTCAGGCGGGACAGAGAGAGAGGGTGAATATAACCTTACCTCATCACCGGTCTCGGTGTCTTTACTGCCGTTCTTCGTCTTGTCCTTGCTGCCCTTCGTCGTCTCCTGGAACATAGTGAGCACGGTGAATAGCGAAGGACGGGCTGCAGTGATGACGAGGGAGGATGACCCGTTGCAACGAATAGCGTTTGCCAACTCGCACTCTCAATCTCTCGCACACTCGCGACATGAAAAACGGACGGAGACGAGAACAGCATGAGAGAAACGCAGCAGTGTTGTCATTGTCGTCGTCGTCGTCGTAGTTATCATTGGGAATGGAAAACGCGAGCAAGTGAACGAAAGACAGAGAAAAAAGAAAGGTAGAAAGAAAAAGATAGATAGATAGATAGATAGGTAGATAGAAAGAGAGAGAAAGGGAGGGGGGAGAGAGAGAGAGAAAGAGAGAGAGAGAGAGAGACAGAGAGAGATAGAGACGCGAAAGAAATGCACGAAGGAAAAAAAGTATCTTATACCATTGCACTTGTTCCGGGCGCGCGGCCGAGTGAGCAGCGGCGCGCGTCGTCGTCGTAGTCGTCGTCGCCGCGTCGCGTCGACGATGTGCGCGTCCGCAATGAGAGCGACGAGAACGGGGCAGAACACGGAGGCGGTCACCGCACGCGCGATTAATTCCGCTTGGGTGCGACGAACAGGGCCGAAGTGTAGAATGATGAACGCGATGGCGATAGTCTCTTTCGCGCGCGTGGAATCGAGATCGGGTCAAGAAACCGACAGCTCACGCTCTACACCCTCGGGTGATTCACGAGAAGATCCGCCTGCCGGGGTTGTTCCCCCGATTTCTCTCAGTAGAGCGCGAGTGCGACGCTCCTCTCATACTCTCCCTTTCTCAATCTTTCTTTCTTTCTCTCTTTCTTTCTCCCCCTCTCTCTCTCACTCTCTCTCTCTCTCTCTCTTTCTTTCGCACTCTCTTTCGCACTCGCTCGCTCGCTCGCTCGCTCGCTCGCTCTTTCTCGCGTTTTCACTCCCTCCCCGAGTTAGCCGTCTCGGTCTTCTTCGCGCACGCAGCAGAGACACCGCTATTTCTTTCCCTCTTGCTCATAGTCTTTCTCTCTGTCTCGCGCATACAACCACCACCATCACCACCACCTCCACCTCCTCCACCTCCACCTCCACCACCACCTCCACCTCCACCACCGGGGGAGGACGCGGAGCGAGAGTTCCGCGCGCGCAGGTAAATCGTCGACGGTGACGAGGAGCGACGACGACGGCGGCGACCGCTGCGATGAACTACCGTGACGCACGTACCTTGTCTTTCTTCGACCGGTTCGGCATTTTATCGGCGGTATCGGGAACACACGGGTCGCGAACCGGATGACACACGTTTCACGAGCGACACAACTGATCTCGGTCCTGGGGTGCATGTATCAGCGCATCTGACGGCCGATGGGCTAACGAACCGCGCGTTCACGATGGCCATTGGCCAGTTCGGATTCAATCACAAGTGTGATTGAATCCGACTATTCGCGATCGCTGACCGCGTCGTCGCCGGCCGCGCGATTTCGTTCTCTAGCCTTTGTAAGTTTGTAATTAAGACCAATTTGGCGGATGATAACAGTAAACATTCAAGAGTTTCTTTGTAATCTTACATTGCATCATGCGGTACTACATACGTTCATGTCCGAGAGGTTAACAACGGATCCACCTTACTAGAAGTTGACGTCCAATTGGACAATTTCTTTACCACGATAAAAATCGCTATTTCATTAGGAGAAAGAACTTTTTTCATAGGTCTCTAGAGATACTGAAAGACCTAGCAACATCTCTAATCGGTTCTTGGTTCGAATCAGCTGGCTATATATTTATGGAACTTTTTAATGGCTATAAATTTGAAGATGTACAGATTAGAGATAGGTGATACCATGTTATTACTTTGATATCGATTATTATTATCTTACAAAATACATAATCGCATGATGCTTTTTCACCTTAACTATTTCCCTAAACAATAGTTTACTGTTTGATGTTGACGTATGCTCATCGTATGCTTTTCTGAATATGCGTTTGTTGGCCTCCGAGGCTGTTGGATTTGGTTTTCGTCGCTGCGAAGCTACGCTTAATTTTTACCTATTGGGACTGCGTACGCGTAGTCCCTGTTTTTCTTACCGCACTTCATTCTCACTTTTTTTATCTTTTATCTTAATTTATCGTGAAACGGCGTTTGGAAATTCGCCTTAATAGGCGCCGGTAGCCAATATATGGTCTGTTCTTTTTAGCTGTACTGCGGAACTAGTGCAATAAGTTAGAATGAGATAACTATATTTTTCCTCACTTCAATTTATTGCACCAGTTCAGTAGTGCAGCTAAAAAGAACAGACTAATAGGCTGCGTTCCGATAGTCACTGGCTGCATTCAGCAGACTCAACAGTTGGACAACATTATTAGATTTTCCACTGAATCTCGCTCCTGATTGGTAAATACTTCTGGGTCTATGAAAAATCTAAAAGAATGCTCCAATCACAGACAATAATCACTAAGCGCTCTCTGATGACTTTGTTCTACTGAATGCGGCCACTGTCAGTACTGAAACTCTATAATATACGTGACACGAGCTATAGATTTTTAGTACTAGCAGTGAATATCGGGACGCAGCTATAGGCTACGTTCAGTAGAACAAAATGATCAGTGAGCGCTTAGTGATTCTCGCTCCTGATTGGTAAATACTTCTGGGTCTATGAAGAATCTAAAAGAATGCTCCAATCACAGACAATAATCACTAAGCGCTCACTGATCATTTTGTTCTACTGAACGCAGCCATAGAAGGAAGGAAGGAAGGAAGGAAGGGTGAATGTGCGTTTAAAGGTCCATCTACAATGGCTGCAAGAATTAAGGTTCTAAGCGTAAGCAGTAAGAAACAGACCAACTACAATCGATTATTATAAAAGTAATCGATTATGGTTGGTCCATTTCTTACTGCTTAGAGCAAGAGCACAGGTTTCTGCATAACGCATAATACACAACGCATAAGAGAATCAACCAATCAGAGTTCTTCATTTCTATCCTGAGGAGGGAAATGAAGAAAACTAATTGGTTTATTTTCTTATGTGTTATGTATTATGCGTTATGCAGAAGTCTGTGCTCTGGCTCTAAAGCCCCTTACACAATGCCAGGCAACAGGCAATAAGAATAAAAATAGACCAATCACAATAGATTATTCTTGTAATAGTTACGCTTACAACCTTATTCTTGCAGTCATTGGAGATGGGCCTTTAGGGTCTACGGCCGGAATTAAGTCTGTCTTAAGTTTATCTTTCGATACTTTGTAGCCAATGAAACGATTTGTACAGTATCTGAAGATAAACATAAGATTCGACTATCAATTCCGGCACAGACGAGGTAATATCAAGACTGCGTTCCGTTTCACGCAATATGCGCGCATTTTCTACAATATACGTGACATGAACTATATATAAATGCGCGCATATGCGTGAAACAGAACACGGCCAAAGACTGACAGCCCTAGATAAATTTTCATATCAACTGAAGGGGCCCGGAGGTATATAGTATCTCGTCGGTGATTCCGGCCTATAGCAGAATCGATCTAATTGAGCTTTTATTCGCATGCGCAGCCAATTTCAAAAACATCAAACTTCATACGTGATTGTATTGAATATTAAGTCTTACATCTTGTCGTTTAGTTGATTAATCTTCAAATATTATATTTATCGAGATATTATCTACAACAACTTGTTAATGCAACATTAATTTAAAGAAATAACTTATGTAATCGTCTAGTAAAACTTAGAATTATTCATTAGTTATGGTAACTCTTGTAAATCTTGGATATATTCATAATTTTTGCTATAATTTAAATATAATTAAAGAAACATTTAGGCTAAAGCGACAACATGTAAAGAAGCTATTCAAAGGTGGGAGGAAAGAACAGGACTCGTGGCGAGCGAACAAAAAGAGATAATTTTATCTTTTCAATGGCCTCCAATCGAAAAGTTGGACAACAGTCTAGCGGCATTGACCAATGTCGAGTTTGTTATCCTTTCCTGAAATTACAAAGGATCTTTATATGGATCTTTTTTTTGAAAATTAATGAATTAATTTTCTGAAAATATTTTTAGAAAATTGTCCTTATCGACGAATATGATTGAGAAAATAAGCGGTATTAGTACATTGAAGTATTTGAAGATCTTGTCGCTAAGCAGAAATAACATTAAAACGTTCTCGGGACTAGAAGCAATTGGAGATCACTTGGAAGAATTATGGATATCTTACAACTTAATCGAGAAGATAAAGGGCGTTAGTGCACTCAAAGCGCTCAAGGTTCTGTACATGGGTAACAATTTAGTGAAAGATTGGGCGGAATTTAATCGTTTGCAGGAGATACCCAATCTCCAAGAGCTGTTGTTCATCAACAATCCTATATGCGAGAATATGGAGACGGAATCATGGCGTATGCAAGTTATAAGACGATTACCTGACTTGAAGAAACTCGACGCGATACCGATCGTGCACACAATGTACGTTACATCATTCATAAATATAATTCTACCATGAAAAGTTATCGCGTACGAGAAAGCATAAAACTTTTCCATCTATTTTAGAGATACAGGCGAATGAAAGGCAGAACATTTGGCACATATTCGATTTTTGAAAATATTAAAAATTTATATTTTTACATGAGAAAGTGCAACAATAAAACCCGCCATATCAGCAATGATAGAAATTTCATACAATGAAATCATTCGTTTCAACATCTACCCATCATTGTCTCTTTTGTACTTTGACTGAGTAGTACTTCCGATATTTGTTCATCTTTTTCAATAAAAACTTAATAATCGTCGACTTTCATGTCGTTGAGCCCAAGTTCTTCATTTTGCTCGAAGCTTCTGTCATACTTGGTGATCTTTAGTCTATCGTCAGGTCCGTCATCAGAGAGGCTTTGCACGTAGCTGTTGCCAGCTGGGTCGTTCAAAATTAGAGTGATCTTTTTTTGACCATTGAGAACTTGTTCCAGCTGTACGATAAAAATGTCCATCCTTTTCACGGTCTCTGGATCGCTGGTGTCTCCGGTGAAAGCCGTGGACGTAGACAGCTGTTCTTTCATTGCTGCTATGATACCTTCGACAGTCGTGAAACGACCGCCCAAAGTCGCCGGGCCAACCTCCAGTTCGAGTTCAGGTATTTCCATGTCACAAGTCTCGGACTTTAGCAAATCGCGACCAAAGTCTTCTTTACCCGTGACCGTTACTTCGATTCTGACTCCTTGATCCTCAATCCCACTGCCGCTTTTCACTTCATTAGTTCTGTGACCGCAATATTCACAAAGTGTGGCCATTATAACAACTTCCTTGAAATGTGGTATGTCTAAACATTATATATTAAGGAGAAAATCTCAATAAGAACAGGTCCGTGTAAAATTTCCATTAATACTTTTGCACAACTTATAACAGATCAGAAATAAAATATTCATTGTTATTTAAAAAAAATTCTAAACATATTGTAAATAATAAAGTAATAATTTAATTTAATTTTCTGACTAAAGGATACTCGTCAGTTTCATATTTGTTTCGCAAGGACTGTTGCAGTCTGGGCAATTGGTAGGAAAAGTCATCACTTCGCCTTCAAATTGTTCCAGGGAGTATTCACCTTCTTGTATTGGCTTGAGCAAAGCATCTTCATTGTCAGAATAAATTCCTAACATGTGATTTTGTTCTTCCGTTCTCTTAAAATATATTACAGTGCATTCATTGTCCTTGAGCGGTGCTTTTGGATTCTCCACATGGCTATTTCCTGATATATCTTGAAAAATGATGGCGAATGGCTCGTCTAATATCTTTAATGTGCGTAATTTACAAATAAATAAATCTATCGCAACCGCAATATCTGGAAATTCTTCTCGGCGCTTTGGTTGATCTTGCTCCAATGCAGTGATACTTCTGTCTATTATACCTTCCACCGTGGTAATTTTCCCTTTTTGGGAACGCGCAGGAATTTCGAAATCTATGTGGGGAATGGAAATGCTGGTGTAGTCAGACTTAACCACTTGACGATTTAGATCTTGCGGCGATGAGACCTGCAACGTTATTTTGATTCCCTTCTTCCCGATTTTGCCAGCATTTTGTATCTCGTTATTCTGATAGCCACAGTGATTGCAATCGAAGGACATGAGCACTATATCCTTGTAATGTGGAATTTTTGTGAGCAACAGCCTGGTGAGCCCCTGCAAGTAGTTAAATATGGTTAGGAAGGCATAACCGAAAAATATTTATTCATTACATATTTTTTGTCAGCTTACATTTCTGCCGCAATCCGTGCATAAACTCTCGATCTCCGTAATTTCCGGCTCTAGCTCGTTGGCGGATAATTCGCAAAAGATCGGTTTAATAATATTATTTTCCGCTTGCTTTCCTTCATCTGCCATTTCTCAATATGAGGTTCTGTTGTCTGACAGTCTGACCGTCTGACTGCGGCAAGGGCGACAGTTCCAAATTGCGGACGAAAAGAGCACATCAACTACGAATTCTCAATATGTTATCGATAGGCCCTATCTCGGCTAAAAGAGGTTTGAATCTTAACTAAGTGACCGTTATTTTGATTAGTGTCGGAGCCTTCATTTTGAAAAAATCAAGAACAATCGACCCCGTTGGCGATTCGAAATAGTAACGATTGTGTTCTTCTCATTCTCGCGGACGGCCTCGTGGATTACATCATGAGATATGATTGTGTACGAAACGATTTTAATATCCGTCCCGGCTGCGTCGGTCGATCAGTCCCTTCATTTTCATCGATGACGGGCGTTGGTAATCGTAGTACACGAACGAGAAGAAACCTGCGAGCGCGCCAATACCTATCGACGCACGCAACGCGAAGGTTGTGGTCTGCGTCATCGGCGCTGAAAAAGCTCAGGGATATCTTGGAGCATCCTGCGATCGTGGTTTGTACGTCGGATTGTCCGAAGCTAATCGACTCCGTGCTGTGCTGTGGATGCTGTTCTCATTGTCGCACGGAATCAAGTCTTGATGCGCACCGAGTCGCTGGCCGTAATGGAGAACAGGTTTGTACAAGTCTCGCCAGATTTGCGTCTCGGGGGTTATGTTTTGTATAAACAACGCGATTCGTACGTACAGGTTGTCGGACACCTCGGCACCGTGTCATAATTTACCAAGGAAGTCTAAGAGGCGATCCAGTCGTCGAAGCAATGCGACAGACGCGTGGAACTGCGGCCAACAGAATAACCAGGATGGCGGTCTAATGTCGGGTGTGGAGTATCATCACCCGCGGATGCTGTGGTCGTCGAACATGCCGCAGAACGTGCAGGGCAGTGGCCAACGCTTGTTCACCGCAATGTCTGATCCGAGCGTGTGTGGCTATTCGGCAATGCCGGTGACATATACCATGCAGCCGGTTTCACTGCCACCCATGTACAGTCTGTATCAGCCTGTACCATTGCCGAACGTTAGAACCGTCCATCATGGTACATCTAGACCCGTCCGTAGTGAACGTTCGGCAAAAATTTGTCACAAGGTCAGCAATAGCTCCGCCAATGGCTGTGGGAATGCACAGGAGAATGGTTTAGAGTCCACTGTACATATTGCTCATCAGAACGGAGATTATGCTAGTCTACCACCCACTGCCGACAGTGGTGTCAATGGTGATGAACTTAATTCAGAGCATAGAAGATATTCTGATCCTGGACTCGGACCTGCTAAAGTATCCTCTCATCCAGACAGTGACGACTCTGGCGAGAGTGAAAGTTCAGTAATAACAATTGGACACACCAATAAACTTGCGTTGTCGCTCATGGAACAGGTTGGTGTATACATATGTTTTATATTCAATAACAATAATAATATAAATGTATGTACAACATATACATATACACATACAGTGTTTGTGTGTACATAAATAATTCCTTATAATACTTTATCTGCCAATTATTTATAAACGCCTGCTTTGTTGTTGACAATCGTTGACACGTCTATTGCATGTATTATGTTACAGATAACAGACTTAAAGAAGTATAATAGCCAATTGTTCAAAGAACTCAGTGTAACCAAATCATATTTTGAGAGTATGAAAGCAGAATTGGTACAATATAAACATTGTGCTTCTTCAGACTATCAACCTGGAATGTTATCAGGTAGATAAACATAAATATAGCACTCTCTATCGATAGACTGATATATTGAAAAAGTATTCTTACATAGGACAAATATTACATTATATATGCGCGAAATATTTGCTCTAGAATTCATACGTGAAATCAGAGAAGCCAACAAAAAATATGAAGAAGGATTAATCGCTAAGGTGACATCTCTGTTGGAGGAGAGGTATAGTCAACAAGCTAAAGAAATAGAAGCATTGAAGGTATGTGCATAGGGTAGTCATTTTTTCGTGTAGTTTTATGTGGTTTTTCATACTCGTGAAATTTTTGCAACGTCGCACCTTCGCACGCTGTGTTTATATATAATTTGGTGAAGATAGAATTGTCAGTGAAATTGACATCGTTGAAAATAGTTTATTATCCCATCTTGCGGGCAATATCCCGTCTTGAATACTGCTCCAACTATATATTTAGTTTTTATACATCAGATTGTTTATTAAGTAATTATATCAAGGAACCATATATTTGTTTTACGTTATATTTATGTTAACGAAACTTAGCCGAATAGTCGGTAAACATGATGTGACCACAAAATGATTATTATTATTATTATTATTATGCAAAATTATATCACGGTTTGCGCATTATCGTTCTCTTTGTCCGATAATAGAGTTATTGGAAAATCAGATGTACGAAAAGATAATTGAGGTTAAACGGTTAAACGGGAGTTTAATTTGTCGTGTAATTCGGCAACTTGTGGGAACCGGAAACAAACGCAACGATTAATCCCGTTTTTCTCTCCTGCTTTCTCGCGCTCCGTCGTCATTCTGCGACTGAGCCGCGGCGGTAATATGAACATTCGGCTCAATATTTTCGGCACTCGCTCTTCCGGGTCACGATCATGGTCGTAAGTGGTTTGCGCAGACGTTCCTACATTCTGTTTGATTAGGACAGCCAGGTGATCCTGGCAACCATCGGTTCTTACTTACTTCCTCTCTCTCCCGTTTATCATACGTACGCGGAAACCTGTACAATCAATTTCGTTTCTGTCCGTTCGCGTACTTCCACTCATCTTGTTCATCCTGTTAATGGTCCTCACTTAGGCTAACATTCTATTATATTTGGTCTCAGATGAAAGACTAGAGCTACGGGGGGAGGAGGGAGGGGGGCGGGGAGGTTATGAGTATAAATAAAATTGCGGGATATTACAATAAACCAAATTGATCTGTATAATTTTAGGATTTATTATGAAGATTCACGTGCACTCGCAATTATTACCATTACCGCTAGATTAATCTTTGGGTTGTTCTTTATGAATGACAAGGATGTTTCTTATTGTTTCTGTTTTTACCAACGCACCTTCTCATCGCGATATTGATCTTCAAATCAGCCATTCGAGTCGCACACAGTTGCACAGAGTTAGAGGTTGGCACTAGGATCGCCAATCACTATGATCGCGTATCGTTATCGACTAGTTTGCAAAAAAGAAAAAAGAGGAAAAATCAATCTCCCGTGCATTTACTATTTTTGTGCACTTATCGGTAATCGTGATACGCGCTAGAGCAGAGTTTACATTACCAGTACGGGCACGCGAGTGTGTCGTTATATTACGTAAAACCGCATGTGCGTATTGACGCAGCAATAATAACGCAGTAGAGAGGAAGAACTGTGTCGCGTTTTATCCGATACAAAATTACGCTTCTCTCCGTCTCTCCGTAACTGTATCATGCAAGTCCGTAATCACCCTCTAGTTTCAAGCTACCCCGATAAGCATATAGATAAAGATAAAGATAAAATCCAACGCGGAACATACAGCACACACGTGTGTGCCATTTGTTTCGCTTTGAACTCGCTCGAGGTGTACAAAAACGGTGAAAAAGTGTGACTGATGAAGAATGGAGGTCCACAAAACGACATGACGAAAGGTCCTGGAAATAGTTTTCGGAAGTTTAGATCCGGTTTAGGCAGGTTTTTGACTATTGTCTCTCGAAAAACACACTGACTGATTACGATCCGACGCGTGCGATTCTTGCTGGAGAGAGAGAGAGAGAGAGAGAGAGAGAGAGAGAGAGAGAGAGAGAGAGGGGGGGGGGAGGGGCGAGAGAAGGAAAAGGCGGAGAAAAAAGGTCGAATTGACTAGAGAAGGGACAACGTTTCCCGATATTTTTCTCTCTTTTTTTCTCTTTCCGGGAATATCGGGCCCTAGTTTTATCGCAGGAAAATATATCATTCGAACGTTGAGATCCTCCACATTTGCGAGGTGAAGAAGCAGAGTAGTAGGGTCGAATCGGGAGGAAACGCTGCTACCGTCCCGACTGATAAACCGTCGGCCGATATGCCGGAGAACGCACAATGTAGACATAATACGAAATATCTGTGACGCGCTAAAAGTGATTAGGTTTCACATGGGGGCATCCGTTGGGCAGAGTGTTACAGAGGCTGAACGGGGCGGGGACCGAAGGGACAGGGAAAGTGGGATCGGGAAGAGTGGGAGTGAGAAGAAGAGAAGGGGAGAGGGAGAAAATGAGACAGAGGGGCTAGACGATCGCAAGGGTGGAGGACGGCGCACTTAGCGGCTGTCAGGGGCCTCTCCCTTGGCCTCTTTTTCCTCTTTGCCGTGTCTTCTCGGGTTTCAACCATCCATTAGCCTCATCAGCCGAAGCGATGGCCGCTGCCGCCACCGCCATGTCGCCTGCATATTGGCAATCTCGTAATTGAACCTCGGGGACCCGTCCATCCCTCTCTCCCCCCCGTCCATGTAAATTCTGTTGCACGTGAGAGCCGATCAAGGTTGCCGGATTCCTCGCTTTTTTCTTCTTCTCCATTCGTTTTTTTCTTCTTTTTCTTAATGCATGTTGCCGTGATCGCGCCGGGTTTGTCTTTTAAATAAGTCGGGAGTCGGGGGAGATGTATAAGGTGGTGATTGAAAAGTGGTCTCGAGATGATTCGATTGTAACGGTCAGGCAGTTGTAAACATGTTGTGGGTTAGTTTTACTTTTTCTTTTTTTTTTTTTCCTGTTTTTCTTTCTTTCCTTGACCGAGGATAGCGAGGTCAGCGTTGAGTCCGCCATCCGTAAGTTTACGCGTGATATCCACTGTTTCGTTGGTTATTTTTGTCTGGTGGTCTGGTGTCTTTCAATCGCGCGTTAGATTTTCTAGTCTAGTTGATATCAAGAGGTTGGTCTAGGTGTTGTCTAGGTGATATCAAGTTGCGTTCTATTTTTTTTAATCGTAGAACCAATTGTCGAAAGTAACCGACGAGTACGAGGAAAGTAAAAAACGCATCGCCACATTGGAGGAGGAGTTGACGGCGTTGAAGTTGAGCGCAACGTAAGTAACTCACTTGCATATAGCCTAGAAGATTTCACTTCAAACCTGATTTGCATCCATTCTGTTCCGCTCCACTCTATTCTACTTCCGACGAGTGTTTCGACGATGTGTATATCGAATGAACCTGCCTAAGTCTCAAGGAAGGTCTCTTAGAAAGGGAATCTGAGAAAGATCGCTTCGAAAGAACTCGGCTTTAATTGCAATTTTAAGTCCATCACACATCGATCACAAGTAATAGCCTATAATTAATCATCGCTACTCATAATCGCAACTTCGCTTTGATTATATGTCAGTTCTGTAATCGCTTACAATTTATCACACAGCTATATTCGTCATATCCACTCTACTCCTTGATCATGATTTCCGCGCGTAAACGCAGCATGACGTTTCTCACACGTCGAATTTTGCGAACAGTTGTGCTCACGTGACGAAACCGCCGGGTATGTTTTGGGTATTCGGAGCGGTATTCGGAGAGGTATTCGGTTCGTTATTTCATCCCTGCCGTGTCACTAAACGCGCTTTGAAGCTTGTCGAACGATCCGATCTACGTCGGCGGAATCATTGATTGAGTCAGTTTAATTCAACGAATAATTTAATTGATCGAACAATCTCCATTTATCGCCAAAATTAGGGCGAAAGGCGTCGAGACTGTCCCACTCCATCCAATATCTGCACTTTCGCATGCGAACCTTCCACCTCGCCTCGCCACCCACCCACGAGGACTGGTCCTTATCGTTTATCTGCCATTTGTCCATTCGTCCATCCGTCCATCGTCTCTCGTTCCTTCCTCAATCGACGCGACCTTCGAGGGGGTTGCGACCTTCGAGGGAGGTTCCTTGTATGTTTCCGGACGCTTGTATTGCCTTGCTGCGTTCACCGCATAAAAATCCATTCTATTCGCACTAGCAACGGAGGCCGCGAGATCGCAGCCTTCGAGGAGGAGACTCTGGCGCTGCGACGGGAGCTCCAGGAGGCGCGCGCGTCTAGGACCCTGGCCGAGAATCACGCGGCAAAGTGCGTAAACTTGGCGGTACCCAGATCTGTCACGCCTGTAACTTACGAATCGTCCGATATAACCAGCACCCCCGTGCGTACCGCTCTTTCCGACACTCGCTGCCTATCCCCCGTGCCCGACACCTTAACCGCGGACACCACCTCCACGCCCATTTCCACGTCCGTAGCCACTTCCGTTTTTCGCTCCTCCTGCTCCGCGGAGGTGGCGTCTCCTCTCGTCATTGAGACAACGCTGACTCGAAACAGAACCGACTCCGGAGTCGTTGTGTCCAGCGACAGTTCGCCGGAGCCGCAGACAATGGCAATGAAGACGGACAAGCTTGATCAGACCCCAGAGGCGATTTCGGCGTCCTGCCAGCCGGTGTTGGGTAGCGCGAACGACGAGACCGCAGCTCGGTGCAACACGGAGAATCCTGGAGTGACACGCGCAGACCCTGTCACGAATCTAGTGTACTCGGCTCGGTTGGCGAATTTACTTTACTACGGCTTGCTCGACACGAAGGCGATCTACGAGATGTACTGCGAGAGAAACCCATTGGTCGGCGAGGAGAAGAAAACGACGACCAACGTCGCACAGGCAGATGACGATCTGTTCACAGAGATATTCGCGGAAAGCACGGAGGTAGACCTGCCGGCTGCGAGCAGAAACGGCCACGAAGCGGGAATAGCGCCGCTGAACAGCCTCGAGGAACAGAACGGTTCGTCGAAGAAATCATCGGGCGACACAGCGAGCAAGGCGGAAGGATCTTCGACGGAAGGCTCGCCGAGCTCGCTCGAAAGCTTCTCCGCGACTCTGTTCGGCCTGAAGAAACGGCGGAAGAAGAGCCACTCCAAGAGGTCGTCCAACGAGAGCGACAAGCTCGGCAAGATCCGCCAGCGGGACGCCGTGTTGGGCGACAGGATCATGAGCTCGTGTTCGAACGCGAAACACAGCTGCGACAGGATGAACGGGAATCGTTTCGTCGTCGACGACAGTCGCGCGAGCCGAGCCATCGTCGATGTGCCGGACGTCGCTGTGGTCGACGGCGGCTCGTTCGTGCCGAAAGACCTCTGCTCGACGAGAATCCTGACCTCCAGAGTCCTGACAGCACCTTCACGCGCCACCTACACCACCGCCTATATTTAGGTTACGTACGCGCGGGGTCCTGAGCCAGAAAGAAAGAGCAATAATAATAAATAACAACAACAACAACAACAATAATAATAATAATAGTAATAGTAATAGTAATAGTAATGATAATAAAATAATAATAATAATAATAATAAAGCGGAGACTACTAAAGCACAGTAAAAAAAAAAGCGAAACGAAAGAAAAGAAAAGAGCGATACATACGATATACTGGTCGGCAATATCCGCAAAAAAAGGGGGCTTCAAAGGGCTTAACTAGAGGCTACCACTACTCCGTATACATGTCGAATAGCACGTAGGTCTCTCATTGTTCACTCGTGACGCATGCTTTTTTAAAGGTTGTTGGTTTACGTCATATCGTAATATCCGCTATAGACGATTGCGACGCTTGTTGCAAGTAATCATAAAATCATCGTAAAAGTTATTAACTCAAGTCCAATTCTTAGTGAACAGTCTGCTGCGACGTTTATGCTGCTGGCTATGATGGGAGCCATTCAAGCGCTTTTAACGATGCGCTTTTGACGATACATTAAGTTTTACAAAAATATGACGATGTTTCTGTTCTTACAACTATGACTGATATTACGCAGAGGACGTAGAGGAACGTCCTCTTTACGTACGTGCTCGACGTACCTCCTCCCACGCTCCATGCTTCGAATTGCGCCTAAGCTTTACGTTCGCGACAATTCGCGTTGTCTCCCGGTTGTGTCGTTGCCGAAGATCATACGCACGACGATGCATACGGCAAACGGTGTGAATTGTCTCGTTCATTTTGTTAAAGAGGAGAGACTTTGTTTGTTCTCGATTCATATCGTGTTGTCATCGAATGACGGGAACTTTTTATCGTAATGCTTTCCCGCGACTCGATAGCGATGAGTAATTCTGGATATGTGCGAAGTTAAAATGAGGCACGGTTACTCGTGAATGTAAATATATCGGAAGAATTCATATTCGTGCTGCATCTCGTAATTTTCGTGTTATTGTCGAGAGAGAAGGAGGGCTCAATTATTATTATTGGAGATTGGGACTGTGTCATCTTTAACAAAAATGAGCAGTTGCGGGCTTTGTAGTTTTTAATTCTATATATTTCTTTTTTCCTGGCAGTAAACGTTGTAGCCCTATCTGGGAATCGAGGAATAAAAACGAGGAATCAATCGATTATTCTTAACGCCCAAAAAAGATTTTCGTCGTCGTCGACATGGGTCGACATAGCGATAGTCCCAATTGGCTAAACGCGCAACTACATTTGCACGCATCGTTATTACCGACTACGCACATATTTGTACAAATAATTCAATACCTTTTGTCTCTCAAGTATTCTTGCTTCTTAATCATATGTACAAAGAACATTGACGGCAAAGAAATGAACAAATGAATAAGTAAATTTACATTTAACATGCAATATATATATATCTTATATATTAAATGTTAAATGAACAAAACGTGGATATAGGCATACATGTATATAAAAAGCACTTCCTCTAATTTTACTTTACGTAATAAAATGTCAGCATGGCTTTGGCAGCGCTTGGCATGTTCTCTTGTTACGTCTCACACATGCACATATGTACATGTATACATATATTACATACTTGGTTGCTTACGTGTATGTATGTATGTATGTATGTACATATCTTTTTTGTCATTCGTTTTTTTATATTCATGTTATTTGTATCTGCTTGGTAAGTGACAATGTCATTGCCATATTCCGCATGAGTGCGAAACTTGCATTATGTAACGTCTGATATTTATATTATAAAATTTCATCGATAACACGTTTGCATCATTGTTGTTGTTTGTATCATTGTTGAAGTATCTCGGAGCCACTTGACCTTTATAATACGTCTTGCTTCTCCAACGTCTCTGCCAAAAGTCGCTTTTGATTGGACTAAGAAATGTTGTAAAGTGTACTTGGTACATTGAAACTTCCAATGTGCATATACGTTCGTTTTTCTTAGAATAGTTTTTCTTTCTAATCTAAAATAAATCGATTTGTAATGAATGTCACATCGACGAAGGTTTAATCCGAGAATAAAAATTATCGTCCGTTCTTTCTTCCGATCTTACAATCCACAAAGTTACAAAGTAAACAGCGCAGTGAAGATAACTCAGATTCTCAGAGGACCTTCGTCGGGTCGAATTTCTTTCCTCGACACACGAGCGAATTGCATCGCGAGCGCGCACCGTCCGTTCCATTTGCATGAACCCTTCCCCGCTCCTCGAGGAAACGTCGGTCTTACCCTACGAGACACAGACACCTCACACACAGTACATTCGTGTTGCTTCATTGCACGAACGGCAAGCATCGAAATGTGTCGTTCTTATGTTTTTTTAGCCGGCGGTTTGGCTTTTGGCTGCCATTTTTGCTTTGCCCGCTTCTAACGACATTATTTCTTTGGCCGCGTAATTGGTGAAAGAGACACATATCCAGAGGCACCGCTGTGACCGCATATAACGTGACGCAAAACATAATTTGTCAGACTGGAGAAGCTGGTGGAGATACTGCGTAAAAAGGTGAACGGTGCCACGGCTGTTAACAAGATTCGTAACGTCCCGGCCTCCGGTGTGTGTGCCGTTCCTGCAGACCCGTTCAAGGAATCGGCGAATCACATGCCATTGTCATCAGCGTCATCGTCATCGGAGGACGAGAAGGATCGAGCGAAGGACGTTGATGAAGATGACAACGACGACGACGACGACGACAACGGCAACGACAACGATGATGCTGAGGAGGAGGAAGGAGAGGAAGAAGAGGAGGAGGAGGAGGAAGACGACGACGATGACGACGACGACGACGACGACGACGACGACGACGACGACGACGACGACGACGATGACGACGACGACGACGACGACGACGATGACGTCGACGGCGACGGGGACGGTGAGAATTTGGACGCATTCCGAAGTGGCAAGGACTCGTCGATCGCGAATGACCCCAAACCGACTCCGCCGACGATCGACAGCAGTGTGAATCTATCTGGGCCGGTGACCGATCTCTGAGCAAGTGTCGGGAGCGCGATTGTTGCCTTATGTCGATTTGCACATCGACTTTTCGTAAGTTATTTCCGCGTCTTGTTCAAGTGCCAGAGCGGTGGTGGTGATGTGTCGTCCAGGACATAAGTCATCGGTCAGACTTTTCGAGGCATTCGTCGTGCTCTCTTCATCCGCGACCGTTTGATCTCCCCTCGTCGCTCAAACGAACGATTGGTTCCGAATCCGAATTGGAAGGCAAAGCGAGTTATCTTTCGATGGACGGACTATTGGTCCTTTTCTTTTTTAGTGTTAGGACTAGTTTGTACGTTTGTTCGTTCGTTCGTTCGTTCGTTCGTTCGTTCGTTCGTTCGTTCGTTCGTTCGTTCGTTCGTTCGTTCGTTCGTTCGTTCGTTCGTTCGTTCGTTCGTTCGTTCGTTCGTTCGTTCGTTCGTTCGTTCGTTCGTTCGTTCGTTCGTTCGTTCGTTCGTTCGTTCGTTCGTTCGTTCGTTCGTCCGTTCGTTCGTTCGTTCGTTCGTTCGTTCGTTCGTTCGTTCGTTCGCGCGCTCGTTCGCTCGTTCGCATATATTTTCCACACAGTTATTTATTATTATTAAACGTTACGCGTGATATATCGTTGGATATGCCGTTACTATTTCTAAACAATTGACTGAAACGTGATCGTCGGACTGAGAAACTTCGGTGAGGGTTCGTATCGCAGAACCTGTGATACGAGTCTGCCCCCGATGACAAACACGCGAAACGAACATTTTCCGAGACGTGCGGTTTGGCAGAAGAAGAGACGATCTGTTATTTCTTGCGAGCTGCTTCCAGGGCGGTCATCGCGCGCGTTTTTATCTGTTATATGACAAATGTTAATACTTTTAATCTATAAGACGCTGTTTTTGTTAAAAACACTGCCTTTCTTCACTTCTCGCCTTGTATATATAGTTGCATCTTCCTCTTTTCTTGTTTTTTAGTCGCCCCTCTTTAGCCATTCTCTTCGTATTTATTAAATATTGTAATTATATTTCTATCTCTCTTTTACCGCAGCAGCAATTAGTATTAGACTACGACTCATCGACAGTAGGCATATAATTTCACGGATTCGAGCGATCTTGTAGAAGGTACTTATGTTTATTCGTTAAGTTGGAGATTTTCTAGTAACATTCTTGTTACTCTACGAAACATATGGTCGTATAGAAGTTATATTACGCTGCAAATGGACGAACTGTGTGTGTGTACCACCGATCGACACAGTTGTTACCTCGTGTTTCGTGTGCAATTTTGCCAAAAAGAGTTTTGCATTTTAGGGTACCATTAGAAACGATTGGCACGATATCTTAAAAATTAGACCGAGACTGCCGTTTATTCAGAGCGCGCGCCACGAAGCTTTTATCGCTGTTCGATCGAAGAATTTTATCTTGCATCCCTATTCTTTTTCCTTTTTGTTCTTCTTTTTTCTATCTTGTCGCACAAACTATCACAGCTGCACGGTCTGTATACGTGCAGAGACTTATTTTATTCACCTATATAGCGTTTATATGTAGACATTTTTACGATTATATTCTGCGATCGTTACGGCAGATACCGCTAGCAATACGTCTCTCGACTGGCAATAAACGTATACGCGTAGGTTTTAACGGAGTGATAACACGCTCTGATCGCATATCGTAGGACATCGCATATCGTGTCATATTTTGTATAACTTTTTTCTAGGGCAGTCGATTTTGTGTGTGTGTGTGTGTGTGTGTGTGTGTGTGTGTGTGTGTGTGTGAGTTCCGTGTCGATGCTGTCGTTCGTCCGACGGCGGTCGGTCGCAAACTTTACAGTCGTATTCAGGGAGTATTGCGAGGCGTACGTTTTGCGAGGCGTTGCGACTCCGCGTAATGGGCGATCGTCATCCGTTTTACCTCGGTGATAGAATCGGCGGAGAGATTAATTTGTGCTAAACTCACTTATCCGAACTCACGCGGTAATCGTAAGTTGCTGCTCCAACAAAGTAAAGCCGAACGTCTTTGTTCGGTAAATATCAGACGGTATCGCGGATTGAACACATGTGCCTCATACGTAAGACGCGTATGTAGTGTCCATCTATTTTTTCGCATAAAATCGCTGCTGATACACGCTTCGTTGCGACCTTCGTTCTCCGGACGAAGAAAGAAAGACGGGTTCGAGAGAAATCGACGGGGAGACCTTTGTCTCGCAAAATTGGATTTCCGAACTTTGAAATGGACGATTATAATTATATTTTCATATGTTTCATACATGGCAATATGTGTTTTATATTTTTCAATATCTGAAGTATACTTTGATATCATGTAGCGACACAACTTGCGTCTTTAACGGAAAAGAGTTCATCGGAATGCTTCTTGGTAATCATTATTATTATACAGTCCCTCGTGATTTCTGCTGTGTTGGACTGTTCTTTTTCTGTCAGAAGAATTAGAATAGAGAAGAATGGATAAAATTTCTGAGGTTTTTCCTTCGGACTGTATCATCACAATGTTTTTGAGAAAAAGATGATTTTCAAAATTGCCACTTGTTTCTGAATATTGAGAATTTGTCATTTCGCGATATAAATTCCCCGTCGGTTCTTGTCGATCCGATCGATCCGTCACAGGATACATTTATTATTGGCAATCTCCGATAAAGTCTCGGGCGGATCTCGATCATTTTTTAATATGTTCTTATAACGCGGAATTGGACGGGGGAAAGGCGATTCTCCAATTTGTCAGATAACTCATCACTAATTGGTATTTTTAAATCTGTAGAATGCATACTATACATTGTAATGCGTATATATACGACGTAACTCTATCTCCTCTAGCGAACTCGAAGTGCCATTAGAATCGAGCGTAAAACAAGTTGTCGTTCTATTTTTGATTATACTGCGAAACGCTGTGGAGCAGAGTGAAATGTATTGAGGTAAACTGAATAAAATTATGTATTTATGAAGAAGTTTGGACAATTGCCTCGCTCGATGCTCGAGCTCTCGTCTTCGATGTATCACTTTCATCTCCTGTCTCAGTTTTTACCGTCCTTCCTTCCTCGCTTGCATTTAATGCGCCGTGACGTAAATTGACACGGGATCGTTCAATTCATCCTGATTAGATTGTAGCCACAAAAGAGCAAACGATTCCCGAAAGAACCGCCGAACTTTTTCGTGCTCCTTCTGAGAATTGTTTTCCTACGGAAATTGTCAATCCTTTCCCCAGGTGAATAATGACTTCCTTGGATGATTCGCGCGCGCGTACACACACACACACACACACACACACACATACACACGCGCGCATACATATTATGAGCTCTCTCACATTTTTCCGACAGCTCCGCCAAAAGTGCTTTCCTACTCGTGTTCTTCGCTTATGTACGAGGTATCTCTCGAGTGTGTTGTGATTAGAGGGACCTGAAAGATGTTATTCTTGCATATGGGTGTTTATCTTTGCGCGCCACGCAGCCTCCCACGAAGATCGAACTGAAACAATAAGAGATTCGATGTATCGATGACGTAGGTTGTGCTCGCTCGTAGGATCCGGTTTGGAGGATCTAACACGCGACAAAATGTAAAATTTGTCTGAAACAGTGTCTGAAAATAGTGCAAAATCTGTTGTCGATGCAATTGCGTCCAAGTTGAATCGAATACAGTGGTGACGTGTGAACGACGTGGCAAACAATCATGCAATTAAAATTGAAGGATATAATGCCTGACATTTCTTTTTTTTTCTTTTCAGTTAAGTTTCATTATACGCGTACACACATAATAGGGACATTGTGTCTTGGTGATTCTTAGAAGATAAATGTTGTTTTATCGGCTGATATACGATGATACCCGATGTGTACAATCCTCAAATTTTCTCATTATATTCTAAAACTTATTCGTCTTTATTGCTCTCTCTCTCTCTCTCTCTCTCTCTCTCTCTCTCTCTCTCTCTCTCTCTCTCTCTCTCTCTCTCTCTCTCTCTTTCTCTCTCTCTCTCTCTCTCTCTCTCTCTCTCTCTCACTCTCTCTCTCTCTCTCTCTCTATGCTTTTGTAATTACGGGATAGAGTTTGCGTGTCCCTTTCAGATAAAGCGAGCTTTTCGGTGTTTTGGGGAAAAACCTCGACAAAAAGAGACCGCCTTCGTAAATGAATTATCGTTTTACGACAGTGTTCTTTTCGCCATAAAATCTCCTTCTTTTATGTAGCCGGCAGATGTTTTTTTTGTAGGATTTTTCCGCGACCAAAAGGAAGGTATTAGCGAATACCTGACGTTGTATGTTCTTGCCCGGTTTTACTGCGCGGCTTTCATCAGTTTCCACCGCTAAATCGGCCTCTCCTACTACTTTATCTCGACTACGACTGTGGTTTTTTCTTCGTATTCTGGTAACTTATGATATTTCGCAGATTACGGGGTGGAGCAGATATATCGAGTAGATAGATAGATGGAGACTAGCCGGTTATTATATGTTGTTAAATTTTACGATAGTATATCTTCTCTGGTCTTTTTAACGTTATTTTATCAGTCAAAATACACGGCTCGCGCTGTTCATTTCTCTTTCTCCCTTTTTCTCTCTTTTCCGTGTAAAATGACGTAAAATTATATATTACATTGCAGAATATCAATTGTTCATAAATAATTAACTTTCCGATACGATATTATAACGTTATTGATGTTTTATGAAACTAATCAATCTATCATTTATACATGCACACATATATTTTCCGCTTGAAATGCTTGCTAATTCTTTAGAAAAATTTGCTTGGTTAATTAATGCCATTACGGTATATTATGTTTATTATGTTTACCAATTATTAATTGCGATATCTATACCTCCGCGATCATTATTGATTTCCGCTGCCGCAGTCATTAGTCGAGGACACTAATTGGCTGGCTTTTGCAGGACGCAATTTCTCTCGTGCGAGAGATGTCTAAATTATCGGCTCTCAGTTTTACACAGCCACACGTTCTCTGGAAAATCTAGTCTACTCTTCTTTTGTCAGCGAGGCAGTTGAACGTAGCAATAATTTGAGAAGTTTCAGTCAAAATCCTACGACAAAGGAGAAATTTACCGAAGGCTGTAGTCCTTCATGAATTCACGAGAAGAGCCTTTGTGTCTTAAAAGCCACCGGCGCCTCGGCAATTTCGTTAATGACAATC